AGAGTTTACTAGCTCTTCAAGTGAATTTGAAGACCAAACGTGCCCATTGTTGCTGCTTCTGTTCGCAGGTTCTGCGAGTGTAAGTTTGGGTTCAGCGCCCGTCTGTTTGGACTTGGCATATTTGCCCTCCGGCTCTGCAGCTCATACAGTGGATGTGGAGTTTTTCCGGCGCCTCCGCTCATCCTGCTATATAATTAGTGGAGACGAGCCACACAAGGAGACCGTCATGAGGTCTATTCTGGACTCCCTGCTGGAGGGCAAAGCGTCCTGGCCCGATGTGCAGGTGAGTGGAGGTTGTTTGCAGGGATGCACCCAAATGAAGATTCTGGGCCAAAACCAAAAATTCTGAATGCACTTTGCCTGAAAACTAAACATTTTTTTGTAATCATTATTAATTTTTTAATAATATAAAGTACATTTGTAAGACTTTTTAAATTTGAGTCTATAACTTCACAGTCAAACTTTGTTAATGTACATTTATCTCTATTAACAAACCATTAAATAAAACTATTAGCTCAAATAAACTGCCAATTAGCTGCTTAATAATAATTGAGGTAGTGTTTAGGTATTAAGTAGGATTAGGGATGTAAAATAATACTTTTATAAGTGCTGAGAAGCAGTTAATATCTTAATAATAGGCAAATAATTGTGTGAATAGTTACTTAAACTACAGTGTTACCTTTCATACTGTAGGTAATAATACTAATTAGGTGACTGGTTCGAGCTTCGGCTGGGTCATGTTTTCCCCTTGTTTGCGTGGGTTTCCTCTGGGTGCTCCCACACAAGTTCAAAGACATGCAATATAGGTGAATTGGGTAAGCTAATTTGTCTGTTGTGTATGTGTGTGTCCTGGTCGAGCGTTGGGCTAATGACTCAACTCATAAAAATTAGATGTTCCGAAACACCAATAAGGTGAGGCTAACTACATACAGTTCCTTTGTCTTCATGCTTGGTTTGTGCTTTGACATGCACTGTCAACCCTGGGCCCTTATATAGACAGGTGTATGCCTTTTCAAATCATGTCCAATCAGCTGAATTGAGCACAGGTGACTCTAATGAAGCTGAAACATCTCAAGAATGATCAGTGGAAACAGAATGTACCCGAGCTCAATTTAGAGCTTCACGCCAAAGCCTGTGAATATTGATGTACATGTGATTTTTCAGCTTTTTTATTTTTAATAATGTTGCAACAATTTCAAAAACTCTTTTTTTCACGTTGTCATTATGGGGGATTGTGTGTAGAATGTTGAGAAATTCAATTAATTTAATCCATTTTGGAATAAGGCTGTAACATAAAAAAATGTGGGGGAAAATAATAATAATAAAAAAAAAAAAATATATATATATATATATATATATATATATATATATATATATAGGTATATGCATATATATATATATATATATATATATAGGTATATATATTATTACAATTTCAGGTTCTAAGTTACGTTTGTTAAAAGCAAAAGTTACTTGCAGTAATGTTTTTGTCATAAATCGAAAGCAAATGACATTTGTCTCCACCTTTTTTGTTGATCCATGTTTTTATCATTTAAGAAATGTTGCCAAAATTCGTTCTTTCCTATCTTTTGATGATGCCAAGAAATTAATTCATGCTTTTATTTTCTCTCGGCTTGATTATTGCAATGCTATCTATACTGGTCTACCTAAGGGTTCTACAATGAAGTTGCAGAGTTTTAATGAAATTAAAGAAACGAGAGCACATCACACCAGTATTAATAGAATTACACTGGTTGCCTGTGCACCAAAGGATAGATTTTAAAATTCTTTTATTAGTTTATAAAGCACATTTCCGACTGTTTAACAAAATATAATCCAAACCGTTTGCTACGCTCTTCTAGTGCTGGACTTTTAGAATTTTATCCTGTAAACCTGATGCGATCTGGCAGCACTTCTTTTAGCCATTATGCTCCAAAAATTTGGAACTGTCTCCCTCTTGAAGTGAAAGAATCCCCAAGTGTTCATGTTTTTAAAAAGCGTGTTAAGACACATCTTTTTAAAATTGCGTATGATTAAACAAGTTTGTTAGGTGTACGCATTTTATCTGTTTTGTTGTAGGTTAATGTATGTAATGTATGGTGTGTGCTTGCGTATGTCAGGACTATTGTGTGTGTGCATGTGGATATATACACATATTTTGTGTATATGAATGCTTTTATTTCAGTATATGTGATAAGTTTTTGTGGTCTATTTTAATGCTTTTGTTGTTGTTTGTGAGGCACTTTGAGTTGCATGTATGTTGGAAAAGTGCTATACAAATAAAGTTTATTATTATTATCCGAAAACTGGTCCGATCTGGGACTCAAAAACCATAGTGTGATCTGAACTGAGATCTGTTGCACCTTTAGTTCTGACACACTTTAACCAAGTTCTTGTCTTATTGTATTATTACCTTACTAAACTATAGTGAATAACGTATAATGTTATGATGGCATGTTTTGGTTCCTCTACAGGTGACTCTGATCCCCACATTCGATTCGCTGTCGATGCACAACTGGTACCAGCAGACCCACGAGCGGCAGAAAGATCTCTCCATCACCGTCCTCGGCAGCAACAGCACGGTGGCCATGCAGGACGAGACCTTCCCAGCATGCAAAGTGGAGTTTTAGCCAACCGCACCCCTGCCTGTCACTACAGCACTTCTCTGCGCTCGGTTCACACACTCGTTTTGACTCCGCAGCGGCTCTGTTCATCCCTCATGACTTTCATCTGCAGCATCCACATAAATTATTACAGATTCTGCATGAACGGGGTCGACTCTTGCCTTTTGTATGCCCAGTTTTTAGCAGTTTTATGGTATTTTATGTAATCCATCGCATCTTGTTGGATATCTAGCACGTTGGACAAGAATCAGCAGCAGTTTCTCGTGGTCCTACATTACAGTTTGCACAGAAGACACACATTGGGAAAGTACAATAGGGTTTGACTGGTTAGGGTTAGCTTTGACTGCACTAAATGTTAGTTAGAAAATCGGGCCAATTAAAGTATTATGCTTTTGTTTAACAGCATTAGGAGAACAGAAATAGCCTTGCCGTCTCTATAAACATGTCACTAATATACCGGTACATCAGTTTGTACCTAAAATAGATTAAAAGCTTCGACGGAAAGTGTGGTTTCAGAATATTAGGCTGTTTCTGTGTATCGAATACAAACACTATGTGATTATTTTTGTGACTCATATTACAGTATGTAGTAAAAGCCAATATTCTGCGTTTGTTTAGTGGAAAATAGTGTAGGTTTTTATTATTTTGGCCACTTAATTGTTTTTTGGTACCAAGATAAACGCCTTATTGTTTCGCCATCATCAATCAACACTAAGCATCAGCATGTCATTCGTATCACTTGATTAGATCACTTGTTTTTGATTTGCTGGATGTCGTGCAGACAGCTCAAATGCTGAGCATATTATCACTGCTTTAGCTGCTGTAGTTTCTGCTAGATAAATAATTCCGGTCGTATTTCCATTACACACTTTCTTCGTTATTTTGGACCTTTATGAAGTCGTTAGTGTTACCGTTAATGCTTTACCTTTTCAGAATTGCACTTTTATTTATTTTAGTTTTTCTTTTCTGAGCCGATTACTATTTTTATGAGGTACAACTAGTTGGTTTTGGATTTTTTTGTTGTTGTTGTTGTTTAAATGCATTTTGTTTTATACATATATATATATTCCTTACAAGAAGAGACCAGCCAAATAAATAAGTAAATAAACGAATATTACAGCAAACGTGTGCTTGATGTCACTAATAAATGTTTCAGAGCTGAATTTCGAAATTGAAGCAGTTTTCAAATCACAAATAAAGCTGATAAGTTAAGCTGTACAGTCTCTCTTTCTTCCTGCAGTGATGTGAGGATTAAGAAAATACACAGACACGTAAATAATAAAAGTGGAGTTTAAAGTCCAGTGATTCATTTGTGCAAATTTCATTCATGAAAAAAGTGAATAACAATTATTTATAGGGATTTTTGTGTGTTTTTGTATTATTCTATTAGTGTATTCTACTGCATATATTATTTAATTCACTTTAATAATGTTAAGGCATCCTGTAGTATTAACTAGCCAGAACTGATACATTTTATTAAATGCTGTAGTGTTATTTAGTTCATGGTATTAAATATTAAAGTTTAGTTTTAACTATAGTAACCCTGCTGAAACAAACACCTTAAACCTTTCAGCTGGTCGACCAGCCTGGTTTTAAGGGAGTTTTGGTCATATCCAGGCTGGTTTTAGCTGATTAGGTTGGAAAGTGACCAGATTAAACCAGCTATGTCCATCCAAAACCAGGCTGGTCAGGTTTGTTTTCAGCAGGGAAGCTCTTGTATAATATATACTGGATACAGTGTATGAGTACACCCCTCACAAATCTCTCATTTAAGTTAATATTTTCTATAGGATGCTTTACAATATCTGTTCATAAACATTGCATAAACATTTTTTTATATATATCTGTGCATAAACATTAGATTAGTCAGAACTAAAGCCAAATCTGGAGCTAATCTAACAAAATAACTTGCAGTAATGGTTGGAAAAATCAGTAGCCCAAATTTATGTTAAGGGAAAATAATAAATATAATTTTCAAAAATAGCAAAAATCAAGAGAAAGAAAACATATATACAATATTGTTAAAATCTTATATTGTAGATTTTATTTAATATATTGCATGGATTTAAATGTACTATATTTCCATTTCTATAGCTTATATATTGTAAAAACGCGTATTGGGTTATTTGTTTTTACTGCATTCATAAAAAAAACATTACAGTATTCTACATGAGTGTCGTCATCATACTACATAGTTTCATCCTGGATGCTAAATTGCTAATGGCTAACTTAATACGGTTTTGAAAAACATTAGTCTAGCTTAATTTGCGAAGAACTCGATAGAAACAGTCCTAACGTCTAAAAGATGTTTGTTTTCCGTCAGTATTTTACTTTTCCATCCAATAAGTGTTGAACTGCTGCTCTCTGGTGGCCTCAGATGTCAAACAACCTTCATAACTTTCGTTTCCTCAGTATCGAAAACATTTGTTCTGGGCTCCGACTTTCGTGCACTTCATGACCGTGAGTGTGTTTTAAGTTAATTTCTCACCCACCCTTTATCTGAATACATTTATTCTTCGCCGAAACACTTCTCTGAGTATAGTTAAAACGAGGTAATTTACTACTGAAGGATCCTGATGTATTTTGGCGTAAGCTGTCAGTGCAAACAAGTGACATTTCCGACCTTCTGCAATAAGTTAAGCGGTCGTTTAACCGTCAAAGTGTAAAGTGTATCCTGTCATAAATTGACTTATTGTATTTCTGTTTCTCACATATGATTTAATGTCAGTTATAGACCGCATTGGTCAATAGCCTGTTTTCGCCTTCCTTTCTTATTATTTAGATAACAATAACAGTAACTTATCGATAACAACCTAATATACGATTTAATTCTCCATGTTTAGTATGCTTGCTTATATTAATGGCTGACACAAAACTCGGATCTCATGTCAGTTTTTGAGCCACTATTCATATCTAAATGAATATATTAACTAAACACACTGTAAATAACCTGCTGAATAAATATTATCCTTCAAGTTATTTTTCGTGCTCCATTATTTACATCATTAAATAACTAAGTTAGTTTCACATCTTAAGGAACAAAATGATCTCTTTAATCTCAATTGCAGGTTTTAAAACTACATTTTGACTATAAAACTCTGTTTCATAATGTCATTAAAATAAAATAATAAAAAGTAAGTTAACTGCAATTAAATACACAAGTTTAAAATACACCCAGTTCATTTAAGTGTCATTTGTATTTAATTTCCTCCAGCAAGCCATTTTGTGTTTACCAGACCTCTAATAGACATCTAAACATAGATGTCTTGGCTTTTCTTCTTTCAGTTCATTGCTTATTTAGTATTATTCATCAAATACACAGATAAGACAAGACTTCAGATGTGCTGTAAAAAAAATTTGGGTTCCAAACAATATTTTTTGATGTCTATAAGATGATCACTGGCAGATGTCTTGGCTTATTTATTTTGGCTCTTTTAAATTATTTATTTATTACTATTCAACAAATAGATCTGACAGAATCCATGGCCTGTAAAAAATGCTAGGTGCTACACAATCGTTATGTGTAGAGAAATAATTCAAATAACATAAAAAGTACTGGCAATTTATTAAAAGTTTTGTTTTGTAGGGTAATATACAACTTCAACCCAGACTATAAAGCACTTTACACTAATAAAATGTCAATAAAAGTCACATTTTCTAACTTTTTAAGGTTAAAAGTTGATGGAGATGGAAAGGTCAAGCTCCCATAATGCCATTCAAAGGCATAAATAAATGGGGGAAAAATAAAAACAATCACAAAATACAGAAAACAGCTAATTTATGGATTTTTTTTTACAGTCTACCCATGTTTCTTATACCTTGTATATTTGATCGTAGGAACATTGAAAAACAGTGATCAAGAATGAGTCAAGGATTTGGTTTTGGTGGATCTTCAGGGTTTGGCGCTCCTGTAAAGGCAGTTCCAGCTTTTGGTGCCACAGTTCCAGTTTTTGTTTCAGGTTTTGGTGCTCAAAAACCTGAAAGAGCGGCTCCAAGTCCTGTTTTAGGCAGCAGCTTCACACCTGCATCTGTCAGCACTTCTTCTTCAGTCTCCTCTGCCGTCAGCAGCTCTGCTCAAAGCTCTTCTCAAACACCTCAAACTGTGACAGTGCCTCAGTTCTCTCTAGGTAAGATACACAACAACCCTAACAATCTCACACAATTGTGTTGAAAGTTATGATGTGCATTTTTATTATAACATGCTGTCTGGGGTTTATTTATAATGTGAGGAAGACATAAAATGTAAAGCAGCAGGACATTTTCTGTCTCCATTTTGACCGATTCATAAGATGCTCATTCAATGTGGCGATACCGTGATGGTGTCTACTGCTGATTGAAGGTTTCAGTCTTTTTCAGAACATAAAGTAATTTAACGTAAATTCACTTACTATATGAAAGGGCCTCAAGTTTTGATTGATTATTGGTCATTTATATATTACTCTTCTACACATTTGATCATCTGCTTGAACTGTCATTTTTTGAATTACTCTTTAATTTTGGGTGCTCATGATGCTCAGGACGAACACATCAGCCGAATACACAGAGTCCACGCTCACACTCTCGCCAGTCACTAGACAGAGGTAATTGACTGATGCTTTTAGATGTATCCAATTCATTCATTCATTTTCTTGTCGGCTTATTCTCTTTATTAATCCGGGGTCGCCACAGTGGAATGAACCACCAACTTATCCAGCAAGTTTTTACGCAGCGGATGCCCTTCCAGCCGCAACCCATCTCTGGGAAACATCCACACACACACTCATACACGACGGACAATTTAGCCTACCCAATTCACCTGTACCGCATGTCTTTGGACTGTGGGGGAAACCGGAGCACCCGGAGGAAACCCACACGAACATGCAAACTCCACACAGAAACGCCAACTGAGCCGAGGATCAAACCAGTGACCCAGCGACCTTCTTGCTGTGAGGCAAACGTGCTACCCACTGCGCCACTGTGTCGCCATGTATCCAATTAATTTAAGGTAAAACTACTTTCTAGTTAGAGGTGATGATCACCAAAGGAGGGTTGAAGATCTAAAATCTGGATGCAAAACACTTATCCAGCTAAAACCAGGCTGGAAATGGCTGGAAACCAGCCTGGAAAGGGTCAAAACCCCTCTAAAACCAGGCTGGTCAACCAGCTAAAACCAGCCAACCAGCCTAGGCTGGTTTAAGCTGGATTTTTCAGCAGGGCAGACGTGGCAAGCTTTGATAAATCACGATATTCAAGTGTCCGTGAACATTTTCAGTTTACTTTCTTCATTCGCACGTCAATTCCGCTTCATTCGCTTGTCAAATTCACTTCACAACAGATGCGTATTCGCATCATGGGCAGGGCTTCTATCTGCCCGGTGACTCTAGCTTGGTTGCTAAATGGCTAACGTTGATTTTATTGAGAGAGTAGCTGTGTTTATGTGCTTTATGAAGGCTGAAAACAGCGTCGATTTGTTTGGAGCCGTGCCTGAGTCCACTAGATCCTTTCAGAGGTGCACCCAGCTCTGAGTTCATCAACTCCTCCAGAAACGTAACATGAATGATGGAGGCTTTCAGCGGTGGTTATGCTGAGCCCAGTTTGATGAACTGTTGTCAGTGTCGGCAGGAGGACATAATCATAATTATACATCATAATCACTCCCCCATGGGAGATAACTCCTGATTGGTTAAGTTGGCTGAAGTTCAGATTTTTGAACGCGCAAAACGTTAAACTCGCACCACTTCATTTGCGTGAATCACATCATTCGCGACACCTCATTTTCGCATATTTTCCTTGACTTAAAGGTGCAGTAGGTGATTGTCTTCAGAAACATTTGTTGTTGTGCTGTTCCAATAGTAATGATTACAGTAAATGATCTAAATGCTTTTATATGTATTTTTATATTCAGGGTAAAGCATAAAACTAAAAAATGTTCATCCAATTAAATAGAGTCGGACCGTCATCTCCCTTAATTCCGATAGGCAGGTCAGACTGTCTGTCAGCAAATGTAGATTCCGACTTCTGCGCATCTGTTCACGCAGATCCGCCATTAGCGCGTGCCCGTCTGCATCACAAACGCATGCGCGCGAGCAAGCTGCGGGCTGCTCGCAGATGCCGAGTCGGAGCCGGAGGCGGCGAAGGACAGCCGAGCTCGGGCCGATTACTGTAAAGCCAGGCGCGGGTATAATTCGCCCTTAAAGTGGCCGCGCGGTCACAAGACAGACCGAGAGAAATCAAATGCTGCATTGAAACTTTTGAAAATCCTGAATCAGTATTGGAGTTACTTTAGCATGATAGAGGAAGGACGACGCCATGGCTGAAGTATTACTGTTAGACAGGTAATGTTCTGTTTTAAAACTATTTTAGTCAGGCTAAGCTTATGTTCGATTGTGTTGTTATGAATGACTTCTATGCACAGACGTGTTGTTCAGCCACTGAATCTCCCGGTGAAAGATTGATGTGATTATTTTCAGTTTCATAAGGTTCTTTGACAGCATCTATAATGTAGATTTATATTTAGTTTAACAGCAAAACACCAGTAAATAGCGCTATTCCGCCTAACCTGCTTTATTGAGCTGAAGTTGCTTTTATATTCACATTGGGTCATTTTTGAACCATGATAGCCTTCCTATACTGTTTACCGCTACTCTGAATATTCGCTCTGAAATAGCATGCAAGTGTGGCAAAGTAATACATGTAATTCCTGCACGGCGCTGGCACTAACTAACTGGCGAATGACATGAACTAGTTAAAGATAATATGCTAAGCGGTTAGCATTTTGGCAGATCACCTACTGCACCTTTAACATGTAAATCACTCGTGCTTGACGCCTCTTCCATGTCTGGTGGGAGCACAGCAGTTGGCAAACCATTTCAGATTTGCACTAATGTAGACAGCGCCCTCTAATGGATTTGTCATTTAAAATCTGCACTGAAATGTACCAGGAGCAATGTTTTTTTTATGTTTGGCAAAAAAAGTAGACTGAAGCACATTTATTTAACTCATATATTTGCAAACATCCCCAATTCCTTTACTATATAGTCCTGCTGTCTACTTAATAACCACTGATGTTTATTCCAAAGCTTCTGCCATGCTGGAAAATGAGTGGAGAAAAATGGAGTGGGGCGAAGAGTAAGTTGATACCCCACTTTTAAATTTTGGTAACACTTTAGTTTAGGTCACAATTCACGTTATTAACCACTGGCTTATTACAGGCCTATTAGTAACGTATTAACTGTTCATTAGTAGTTATAAAGTATGATCTTATTTTGCATTTCTAACCCTACCCAAAACCTAAACCCAATTACTATCGTACTAACCGTTAATAAACAGCTAATAAGGAGTTTATCAAGCTAGTAGGGTTAGTTAATGGTTTGGTAATGCTATGAATTGTGACCTAACCTAATGTGTTTTCAGGATTTTTGGTAACATTGCAGTCCAATAGTGTTCAATGTTGACTTTAACTGTGTGCTTGTAGGGCAAGAGAGAAACTGCTGGAGTCCGTCCGGTCCTTTAAACCAGCCAGCGAGAGTGTTTCTGAAGCCAGGATTCTGCTCATTGGTCCAGTCGGTGCTGGAAAGTCCAGTTTCATCAGTTCGGTCCAATCTGTCTTCTCTGGACGGGTCATTAACAGAGCAATGGTGGGCTCATCGTCCTCCACCAGCTTCACCAAAAAGGTACACATGACTACAACTGGGAAAGAAGCTATGATTAAATTGAATCTGGAGCCGACAGACAGGTCAAAAACAGACAGGTGTGCAAGAGTATGGGGTCTTTGTTGTTGCAATTTGCACTTTAAAATGCGCCACAGATTCTCTATTGGAGACAGGTCAGGACTGCAGGCAGGACAGGCATGACAAGATCAAATTTATTGTCTCCCTTAGGAGAGATTTGTTGTTAGAGAAAAAAAAGTTTTGCTGTACATAGACACCTCCAAAACAATATATAACACACAGTTGAAATCAGAATTATTCACCCTCCTGTGGTTTTTATTTCCTTTTTCCATTATTTTCCAAATGATGTTTAACAGAGCAAGGAAATTTTCACAGTATGTCTGATAATATTGTTTCTTCTGGAGAAAGTCTTATTTGTTTTGTTTTGGCTAGAATAAAAGCAGTTTTTAATTTTTTAAACAGAAGAGAAAATTTAAAGACAAAATTATTAGCCCCCTTAAAGGGCCATGAAACTCCCTCGTTTCAGCAGGGTGTTTTCACACCTTTACTTTGGAAAAAGTCAGAAAAGTGGGCGTGTCCAGCTCTGTTCAGGGGGGAGTGTCAGAGGAAGTAAAGAGGCTTGGTGTGGGAGTGTCTATTTGGGCGTGCTGAGTTTCAGAGTCAAAACACACACACACACACACACACAAACACACACAGGGGACAAAGTAACGGTGTTTACATGGACATCTGTAGTCAAATTATTTGCCAAATTATTAAATGATGGACTTTAACTGCAGTTTGGCTCTTTCATTCAGGGAATTCATTAATGTCCCTCCCGACAAACGTGATATTTGATTCGATGAGCTGCTCTAAGCGTGTATTTTTCATGCAATGTTTGATACCGCACGGCGAATGAGAGAAAAAAACCCTTCGCATTTCCCGGAAACTTAGATGCACACAGCAGGTAGTGTCAGAAAGCCGCGTGTGTTATTCCGGTCACAAAATGCGGTGAAAATCCTCCACGAGGTTAAAGTTTGGTTGTGGTGCTAACATGTTTACACTCTGTGCAATGGTTAGTTCGATACGAACAAACTGAATAAACAAAGAGCGCTGGTCGCTCACTTACCAAATCTGTAGAGACGGGACAATCACCAGCAACTAGAGCCGCATCTTTATTAAGAGGAGACTACAAGCGAATCCGGATCTCAGCGTTTGCAGATGAGAACAGCTCTCAGGTAAACAATGTTCCCCCTTAGACACGTAAGTTATTGTTGTCGAGCGTCGCGTACACTGTTAATCCACACGTGACTCCAGCTGCGCTCTCACAGAGAGAAACTGAACTGCAGCAAACTATAAAAGCAACACTTCACGCTTGTTTTGCCAACACAACGTGGCGTCTCTGTCGTCTAAATACTGTGACAGTAATGAATATTAATGAAGTTGCACAATAGAGCGCGCTGATTGGTTTGAACCAAGCCTTACTCATGCATTAATGCAGCACACTGTAAGACGTAATAAGACACACTCTGGCACAGACGTCCAGTCTGCACGCTGGAATACACACTATTATGTCATGGCCGTGACGCAGCTTCAAAAATTTGTTTCAAACCGGAAGTACGAATTTGCTTGAAATAACGCAAAAACAACCAATTTACACTTTTTAGTGAAATATAGGTGTCCTGATATTGTTTTTAGCAGTGTGGGACACATATACGACTGTCAACAGCTCAACACATGTGATTTGGTGTTTCGTGACCCTTTAAGCAATATTTTTTAGATCGTCTACAGAACAAACCACTGTTACACAATGGCTTGCCTAATTGATTTTCTGCTGTTCTGTGTTTCTCAGCTGCGCTCGTTCAACATTACAGGGTCTAGAGAGAAGGCAGATGAACCCATGGCTCTGGTGTTGTGTGATGTTATGGGTGTTGGAGAAGGAGAAAGCACAGGACTGACTCTGCATGACGCTCTGTCTGTCATTAAAGGACACACGCCAGAGGGACACCAGGTACATTCACTCATGCACGTTCATTTACATTATAGAAAAGCAGACCGGTGGGATTGATATAAATACATTTCTTAAGGGAACACTTTAACAACACTATGTACCTAAAAAAAATCTCATTTTTTTCTTTATTATGTAAATATTTCCTTTTAGCTGTGAACCAGTGACATGTTGACTGTTACACAAGTCGTTATTCAATTCAGTTTCTCCTGTATTGCAGTAAACTCAGTTTTGTCTCTGCAGTTCAGTCCTGATCAGCCTGTCGGCGTAGAAACTGAGGGCTTCATAAGGAGTCCCAGAACCAAAGATAAAGTGCACTGTGTGGTGTTTGTGGTGGACGGATCCAAAGTGGGTTCATACGCAAAAAGCTTCGGCACCACCTTCCAGCATTTAAGAGAACACATCAGCAGCTTGGGTGAGTCGGCTTTGAGTTATCAGTCATAACATTACATTGCTTTCCTGACTTGTTAATTCATGAAGCGCCAGGGAGTCAGGGAGTGATTTTGCATGTTCACTCTGCCCATCGCCAATGAAAATAGCTTGGTTTCTAATCCAGAAAAATGTCGTGAAAGATAAGCGTGAGCAAAAATCGAGCAAAAACCACACCACAACTATGATGACAAAAACACTGAAGAAGGATATCATTGAAATCACTATTTTTTTACTGATATTGTATTATATTATATTAAATTTATATTATATTATATTATATTATATTATATTATATTATATTATATTATATTTATATTATATTAATATTATATTATATTATATTATATTATATTATATTATATTATATTATATTATATTTATATTATATTATATTATATTATATTATATTATATTATATTATATTATATTTATATTATATTATATTATACTAAATTTATATTATATTATACTATATTAAATTTATATTATATTAATATTATATTATATTATATTAGTATTATATTATATTATATTATATTATATTATATTTATATTATATTATATTATATTATATTATATTGTATTTATATCATATTATATTTATATTATATTATATTATATTAAATTTATAATATATTATATTATATTATATTATACTATATTAAATTTATATTATATTAATATTATATTATATTATATTATATTATATTATATTATATTATATTATATTATATTAAATTTATATTATATTATATTATATTTATATTATATTTATATTATATTATATTATATTATATTATATTTATGTTATATTATATCATATTTATAATATATTATATTAATATTATATTTTTATATTAATATTAAATTTTATATTATATTATGTTATAATATATTTTTATTATATTTATATTATATTATATTTATATTATATTATATTAAATTTATATTATATTATATTATAATATACTATATTAAATTTATATTATATTATATTATATTATATTTATATTATATTATAATATATTATATTATATTATATTAAATTTCTATTATATTATATTATATTATATTATATTTATGTTATATTATATCATATTTATAATATATTATATGAATATTATATTTTATATTATATTATGTTATAATATATTTTTATTATATTATATTATATTATATTATATTATATTCATATTATTATTATATTATATTTATATTATATTGTATTTATATTAAATGTATATTATATTATACTATATTAAATTTATATTATATTAATATTATATTATATTAGTATTATATTATATTATATTACATTATATTTATATTATATTATATTATATTATATTATATTTATATTATATTATATTATATTATATTAAATTTATATTATATTATATTATATTATATTATATTATATTATATTATATTATATTATATTATATTATATTATATTACAGAAACTGCTATGTAAAAAAACATCAATATTGTCTGATTTTCAGGTGTACACCAAGTGGCATTAGTGACCCATGCTGACCAAGTCTGTAAAGCGACAGGAAGTGACATCAGCCAGGTTTACAGGAGCTTGACTCTTCAGCAGACAGTAGGTCACACTTCATTCATGATAATCTTTCACTTTGGTCCTGTATTGAACGGATAGTTGAACTTATTAACCCCAGAGAATTATTAACCCTCCTAAATTATAAGCCCAGGATATTAGTATCCAGCTTAAAGTGACATTTAAAGGCTTAAATGAAGGATCTGGAGTGAAGGTTACTTCTAAATGGGAGAGAAGTGTAGCTGCTTATGGGGCCGTTCACATATTGCGTCTTTTGCATCCACGAGTTTGTTAGTTGTGGCAACAGCTGACTGATCTGCTTCATACTTTGTATGGAAGGTACATGTTTTGGTAAACTAATTACCTCAGACAAATACAGAACACAAACACTGCAGTGCTTTTGCTTACTATGGATGTCAATGGTTACAATTTTGTGCTCCAAAAAAAAAAGTCTAACAGGTTTGGAACAAGTGTTACAACAATTTTAACTAAAGTAACTTACCCAACACTGCTAATCAAACTCCCCCTTTTAGGGCGTACTCACACTATGTACAGTTGCCTTGAACCGGGCCACGCTTGTCCCTTCTCCTGCCTCCTGTCAAACCTTTCCCTCTTTCCATATGCAACACTCCCACCTCAGCACAGCTGAAACACCTCTTCCCCTAGCTGTTTTTTGAATGAGAGGTGTGAAAACTCCCTGCTGAGACCTGCATGGTAAATTTCCCTTGAGGGAACAAGGGAAGGGGAGTTTGTAAGTGCGTGTCTAAAAGTGCACTGGAATGCAGCCTTTGTAGGGCTCTTCAGAAAGCAGGATTTTGAAGCAGGGAAGAAGTTTGGTGTTGCAGGATGTGTTCACAAGTGCTCATGCCTATGCCTTGATCCCTCCACAAGGACCCTACAAAGAGATCAGGGCATAGGGATGAGCCCTTCTGAATGGAATACTATATCAACTGAACTGAGGAATAAGAGTGTTACCTAAAGAAAAAGTTAAGTAATTATTTCATCAATCCTACAAACTAATCTGTAGAGAACTTGGAAACTACTGTCGTGACACTTAGTAAGTTCACTTGTTTTGTTTGACACTTTGTTTAATTTAATCTAAAGACAGGGAAAATATTCTGCGTTGGCCGGGAATCGAACCCGGGTCAACTGCTTGGAAGGCAGCTATGCTCACCACTATACCACCAACGCTTGCTGCTAGCAGGAAGCACAGAGCCTGCCACATAGAAGAGAAACTGCTGTTCATAAAAACTCTGAATTTAACAAAACTCAGTTTGTTCACTGAGGATGTGAGGATCATTCAGTGCTAGACCTCAAATAGATGTTTTATATAAAGATAAGCACTCGTTGTTTCTTCAGGTCAGACTTTTATTCCTCATCTGGGATCATTTAGAGCTCTTTGAAGCTCCACTAAAACTGCAGTTTGTAAAATATGCAAAGGGTTTACACAAAAACCTTAAATTATTTTCGACTGAAAGGTACAGTTCACCCAAAAATGACAATCTGTCATCATTTACTGACCCTTCACGTGTTCTGTTTGAGTTTCTTTCCACAAGAACTCAGAAAGATGTTTTGAAAAATGTTGAAAACTTGTAACCATTGACTTCCATAGTATTTGTTTTTCCTACTATGGAGGTCAAAGGTTACGGTTTTTAACATTCTTCAAAATATATTCGTTTGTGTTCAACAGAATAAAGAAACTCATCAATAATAATAATAAATTGTATTTGTAATGGCCTTTCTTACACTCAAGCTGCTAATAAAACTTTATTCCATAATAGCAACCTAGCAATGACAGCACAATACTCACAACAAGACACAACTATACAAGTATAACTTAAATGCTTCACTAGAAAGATATGCTTCGATGGTTTTAAAGGTTTATAACCACTTGAAGGTGAGTAAATATTAATTTATAATATATTCTATATTCAGCTGAAGTCAGAATTATTCGTCCTCATGTGTATTTATTTTTCAAATATTTCCCAAATGATGTTTAACAGAGCAAGGAAATTTTCACAGTATGTCTGATAATGTTTTGTCTTCTAGAGAAAGTCTTATTTGTTTTATTTCGGCTAGAATAAAAGCAGTTTTTAATTTTTTATAAATCATTTAAAGGTCAATATTATTAGCCCCCTTAAGCAATATTTGTTTTGATTTTCTACAGATCAAACTATTATGTTTAGAAATGTGTTGACTTTTTTTTTACTCCATTAAACAGAAAATGGGGAAAAGTAAATACAGGAGCACTAATAATTCTGATTTCTACTGTATGTCAGAGTGATATATATATTCAGCAAGTGTGTGCTATTTTAGACAAAAGTTCAGTCAGTTTTACTCCATTTTGTGGCTAATCAGGTCATCAAACCCTCAAAATACTCTGTAAAGGCTTCTCAGGGTTGAGGCTCTGCATATAAAAACACAATAGTGTATGAGACGGCTTGTGAACTACTGTCGTGATACTAAATAAACAGAGTAGTTTTTGTCCTCTTTTATATTTGACACTTTGTTTAATTTAATCTAAGGCAGGAAAAAGTTTCTGCGTTGGCCGGGAATCAAACCCGGGTCAACTGCTTGGAAGGCAGCTATGCTCACCACTATACCACCAACGCTTGATGCTAGCTGCCAGCACAGAGCCTGTCACATAGAAGAGTTCCTCCAACTATTTTTTCCACACTCTGAATTTAACAAAACTCTCTTGGATGTAATTTTATTCAGTGCTAGACCTAAAATAAGTGTTTTATATAAAGAAAAGGACTTGTTGTTTCTTCAGGTCAGACTTTTATTCCTCATCTAGAGTCATTTAGAGCTCTTTGAAGCTCCACAGGAGCTGCAGTTTGTAAAATCTACACGTTTTCCTCAAAAACCTTATTTATTTTTGACTTAAAGGGACAGTTCACCCAAAAATGACAATCTGTCATCATTTACTGACCCTTCACGTGTTCTGTTTAAGTTTCTTTTCTGATCTGTTAATCCTGTGAAACCGTGTGTGTGTGTGTGTGTGTCTGTGTGTGTGTGTGTGTGAGAATGAGTCCTCTGACATGTCCTGCCATCCGCCGTGATTTTCCCATGATCCTCTGTGTCTTCTGTGATCTGCAGATAGAGAAGGCTGGAGCTCTGCTGGGAATGGCCACGTCCTACATCGTCCCGGTGAAAAACTACAGCTCTGAGCTGGATGTGGATGAAAGCACTGATATTCTGCTGCTCAGGGCTGTAGATCACATCCTGCAATACGCCAATCTCTACTTTCTAGACAACAGCGATTAAAGCATTTCAGAAAACACACACAAATGGCAATGGACGATATGCACAGGAAGGGATTTTCAGCCACTGATAAGCTTACCGTGAAAGGTTTATGTGACTATTTTCATTTTCATACAGTTTCTTTTACAGCATTGATAATGTCATTTAATTCATATATAAGCAGTTAAATAGACTTAAGTAGTCATTTAGCTGTTTTAAGTGTAAAATGGGATGAAAGTCAGGAGCAGCAGATTAGTGCAGAGACTCCATTGAACATACTGGGCTAAGGTAAAACATGGTATTATGTTGGCTTGAGAAAACTAACATACTGTTATGCTACTTTGTCCTTGAAAACAAACGCATCTCCTCCTAGGCCGTTCATGCCACAAGGCCCAAATGTGGTCAAAATGTGCCTTCTACATTCAAGATTGTTGCTATATCTCCTCATGCCTATAAGACTTATTGTTTTTTGAATAAAAAATGTTAAATATTAAATTTTTATAATCCGGGCATATAAAAAAATTATACAAGCCCCAAATTTGGCCAAAAGCTGTATTTAGATGCGTTAGATTTTGTTGCTATATCTTTAAGGTTTATCAGACTTTTAGTTTTCCAATAAATAATTTTTAAGCATTATTTCTCAATATGGCAAGCCATTTTTGACTTAAACTCCATCTTTTTTACTGATATGGCAAGCCATTTTTGACTTAAACTCCATCTTTTTTACTGATATGGCAAGCCATTTTTGCATGTATCTCTTTCACACTTATTAAGCATTGTATTTTCAAAAAAATACGGCAAGCCATTTTTACATAATGTTTATTCCCTTAGTCCCTTTATTAATCAGGGGTCGCCACAACGGAATGAACCGCCAACTTATCCAGCATCTGTTTTACACAGCGAACGCCCTTCCAGCTGCAACCCAACACCAGGAATACATAATGTTCAAGTCCAGTTTTTGACACTCATAAAAACTGTCATAGAAACATCGGGGTTGATTAAGATCACTCATATTGCCAAGAAGTTTTTTAGCAGCACTATTGTATCATCACTAACCTGTCAAATGTCCCCTTAGCAATAAAACAGTATAACCTAGCAACCTTTTAAAAATGGCAATATCTCTATATCGGAACATCGTAGGGACCTGGGCATTAGCTTGTTTGACTCATGCTAGCAAATGGGACTTCCTGTGTACTATGCATGGTAACAATGATAATGGAAGCCAAGTGCTAATAACGATTAGCTACATGCTATGAATGATTATCTAAATGCAATAACATATGCTAGAAATGCCTACTAAGTATTAGCATTTGATCAAACATGTACACGAGCATTGCCATTTAGCAACTGCTTAGCAACCACCTAACAATGCCATAATTGTTTTAGTAACTGCCTAGCAACCACTTAGCAACCGCCGCCGTGCTTCCTGCCAACTGCCATTCCCAGTCCTAGCGCAGTCACGTTGGCTTTCTCAAGCCAACATCAAAGTTCATCAATAAACTTTAGGTTCTAGTTTAATGCGGTGCTTCTTGTCTGGTCTAAGACCCACTTCCGTAGATACTTAAAGTAACTTAAATGTGGCCATTTTATAATGGCAAATGGCATAACAGTTCACAGGAAGTGCTTGAGCTGGCTGACTGCAAATGAAAAGTCCCTGTGCATATAGTCCATTACAGACATTCCCATTATGGGTTAATTCATTCCAGGTTTGCTCCAATTTCATTTCAATGCCAAAGCTTGTAATTTTTTGCTAAAATATATATATATATATATATATATATATATATATATATATATATATATATATATATATATATATATATATATATATATATATATATATATATTTTTTTTTTTTTTTTTTTTTTTATACAACATTTACACTGTTAAAGTGTGTTAAAGTTTATCACGAACTAAATCTTTAAGTTTGATCTCAGGGTTTTTTAGGGTCTGTTCTCTGTGCTTGGTTAAAGGGGTAGTTCACTCAAAAATGTACATTTACTCACTATTTACTCTCTTTTGAGTGGTTTCTAACCTATTATTAGAGTTTCTTTATTTCGTTGAACACAAAAGATGATATTCTGAAGAATGTTAGAAACCGGTAACCATTAACTTTCATAGTAGGAAAAACAAATACTATGGAAGTCAATAGTTACAGGTTTCCAACATTCTTCTAAATATCTTCTTCTGTGTTTGTAGACATGACTAAAATGTGTCATCGTTTTCAAAAGCTTCTAGCTGTGTCTGAAATGGCACACTATGCACTCATGCACTATGTAGTTATGCACTTACACACTCAACAGCATAGTATATGTATGTAGTGTCGTCCCAAATGGCACACTAATGTTTTTTTATTAAACGGAAATTAAAACCGTTTTCCTGATGACGTTTGACGGTTGCCAAATCAGTGAAATAAATGACCAAACTAGTAAATAATACCTGCCGTGAGTATAACTGCATTCACCATTGGGAGGCGCTATAATCACTCTCGTAGGAGAATTTTACTTTCACCATCCAAATAAATAAAGTTATCCAACATGTGCGCACGATAGCTCCGCCCCTTCTGCTACATGAGCAAACCTGCGGTCGTTGAGTGCGTGAAGTGTCCATCATTACACACTTCATTTTAGCGGCTGAATGAGTGCATCATCCGGGTAATTAAAGTGCGCTTATTTTTAGAGTTTGCAGTGTGAACGCACTACCTACACTATTTATACTACAAAACTGGCGTAGAATAGTGCACAAGTATGCGATTTGGGACGCAGCTTCACACTGTCCACACTGCAACGCTGTCTTCAAATGTATCCACTTTGGACAGTGTTTTCAAAAACATGCGCCTTCATTTCCTAAAGACACCATTGGCTGCGTCTAAAACCGCCTACTACTCAGTAGGTACTGCGTTTGAATATAAACGTACTACTCGGCCATTCGAAAAGTGCATACTATACAGTATGAATGTGAAAAGTATGAATGGAATTCGGACGTACTACATCCGCTATTTTGTCATGGTCATGTGACCTACCAGCGTCAGTTGCGTCGCTTCACTCCCATTCATGAAATCTCTCGCGGGGCATCATGGGATAGCGCAGCGGGCATCAGATGCACACTTCAGAATCTCGCCAGAAGTAGTAGGTCATCAGGGTACTTCTCGCTTACTGATTTTCGAATTCTTTGAATTCAGACATACTACTCGGCTTGCAACCTGATTTTAGCGCACTATATAGTATAGAAGTATGCTGTTTCGGACACAGCCCATCTTATTATGGGTGAATATTTACATTTTTAAACAAAAGGTATAAATGTGGACTTGGCCTTTACCAAAGACTCGAAGAGCGCATTAAAAATAAAATGTGTTGTTATTATTCATTCATTCATTCATTCATTCTTTCTTTCATTCATTCATTCATTCATTCATTCATTTTTTCATTCATTCATTCATTCATTCATTCATTTTTTCATTCATTCATTCATTCTTTCATTCATTCATTCATTCATTCATTCTTTCATTCATTCATTCATTCATTCATTCTTTCATTCATTCATTCATTAATTCAATTATTCATTCATTCATTCATTTTCAGCTTTATTAATCTGGGGTCGCCACAGCGGAATGAATGCTTTATTTAGAATTAATAAAATATAATATTATATATCTAAAATATAATAAATAATATATCTAGAATTAAGATTTGATCATAACACTGCACTCATTTGTATATTAATGTTGACATAAAAACCCAACTGATTAAAGACAAGAATCTTGTCTTGTTTAATTTAGTTAATGTGTTAATTTCTTATAAACAAACTATATATAAACTATTATATAATAATTGCTATATTATAACATTTGACAAGTTATGCATATGAATATTTGTGGTTGTTTATAAAAAATAATCAAAACACAATTATGATTTGTTATTACTATCGTGATAATCAACACTGATATTTAGAAAAGACGCTTAGCCCAAATGTTGAAGCAGGAATTTGAGTGTCATTCACACACACACACACACACAAAAACACACATTTTCTAAGAAATTTCTTAACGATTTAAGCAAATTTTCTCAAATACACCCCTAGAACTGAATATTTGTTAAGAGGTAAACATATTCAACGAATCAATGCTATTTTAGACAGAAATTCAAGCAGTTTTACAGAATTGTAGTGTTATTTAATGTATTAAACCAACAATATAGCCTACTACCTCTGTAATATGCTCAGTTGACGACTCGGCTAATGAAAACACAATGTATGGGACTGCTTATAAATGACAGACAGTAAAACGTGTGTAGTTTTGCCCTCGTTTGCATTACACACTTTCTTAGCAAAGCAAAAAGGTTTCTGCGTTGGCCGGGAATCGAACCCGGGTCAACTGCTTGGAAGGCAGCTATGCTCACCACTATACCACCAACGCTTGATGAATATGGTTGACACAGAGGGCATTAGATAGACTTGGAGCTAAGCTTCAGAAAAACGACTGCATCCGAGTTTACCAAGCTCTCTTTGTCCATGTTCAGTCCAGTTTCCTGTTTTGGTGTGATATTACTGCTGATATCCGTCGTTTTGTTTCACCGTCTTACTTTTCAACGTAGGTTAATAATATAAGACCAATATAAACTCCTTAAATATGACAATAAACACGTTATCTAGTAATTAAAATGCTTAATGCACTTAGTGCAAATATACAATTCAGCAATTAGTAATTTACTACATATTACACTTTACCGACACACGACGATCCATCGTGTCTGAGTTTTATCCGTACTCTGAATGTAAAAACACTCCTTGTTCACTGGTTTATTCGATGCTAATGTTAAGGTTAGTCCTCAAAATCTGGCACGAGACAAATTGACACTTTCTTTAATTTAATCTAAAGACAAGAAAAATGTTTCTGCGTTGGAGCTTTTAACTTTATCTTAACCTTATCTTCTCCCATTCATTCTCTATGGTAGTGCTTAACACTACCGATGCAATATACTTTTGGCCACACGTTGATTCTTTGGTGCTGTTTCGTCATTTCCATCGCGGGGAATGTAAAAAGCCCAGTGTTAGCTGGGGAAAGGTGTGTTTACTGAATTGTCAGGTAAAAAAAAAAGTTTTGTGTTGTACAACAAATAATCACTGTCTAAACTATCATAACACAAACTTTGCATATGGTGTTTGCTGTTTAAACTAACGTGATCAAACAGAAAAGGTAAATATACAAGTATAAATATTGTATAATATAAAAATAGTATTGCATTATGAAAACATAGATTATTAAACAATAATAGAATGTGAAATTGGATATTGATTAATATTAAATGCTGAAATATAATAGAAATTTAATTGCATATTAATAAATGTTTTGTTTTCAAAGAATTTTGCTTAATAAATATACATTTCTTTATTTATACATTTAGATTCATTCATTTATTGATCATTGTATTGATAAATCCCTTATTTAATCATTATCTATCACGATTATTATTTAGAAAATAGTTGCATTAATTGTTTATTTAAAAACTAAACAACAGCTGTTATTTTATAAGTGTTTATTTAACTAATAAATTACTCAACATAAAAGATGGCAAAAAGTGTTTAGTTTAGTAGTATTATAGTTATTATAAAAACAGATTATTAATAGAATACAAATATACCATTGTAAAATATTAATAAATGTTACAATTTTATTTATATTGAATTACATATTGATTTATTTTATTTATTAAATTAATTATTTATTTTTATTAATTTATTTATTAAATTTATAGATAAATGTATTCATTTATATCATAAAAATAATAATTACATAATTTCAGATTAACCATTTCATTAATTGTTTTATTAAAAAAATAAAATCTTTTGAATCTCTATAGACGTTTTTTTTTTTTTTAAATAATGCAACGCATCATTAACAATAATTGCTATTTGTGTATAGCAAAGCAAGATAAAAGGGAAAGTGTTCTTTCCAGGCAAGATTAAGGTGTGCTTCAAACCACCAACTAGATATCCGAGACCAGATTTACTTGCATTATTTTAATTTGTAAAAATTACAATTATTTAAATTATTAATTACATAATTATTTATTTTAAATTTCGTTCTATATATTAAATTTTATTATCATTATTTCTGTACTGTACTGTAACAATTACATTTTTCAGTATTATATAATATGTTGTTATTGTGCTCTATATAATGACATTATTTTTGGTATCTACTGGGTATAACACACCCACACACACACAATTTCAACAATTTTTTTTAATTTATATTTTCTCTGTTTCTTGATTTGTTTTTTATTGTTATTAAAATTGTATCTAATATTTTTTCCGCCATATTTTAATTTGGCTGTACAAATTTTTAATTTTTAAATCTAATAAACTCAAAAAATAGATTTTTTTTAAATAAATTGTCATAATTTTTTATAATAATGACTGTTTAAATTTCAATGTCCATTTATAAAGTCATTATTTTAACCATTTGTGTTCTTAATAACCATTTGTATGAGAGTTTTAACTTTTTATCCTTTAAATATAATTTTTCCCCCTTTTTTGTCTCTTTTTTTTCTCTACACCTTCGCTAAATTATGAAATAAGAATAAAACGCCGATCTAAAAACATAAAAAAATATTACCGAAATAAAATAAACTCTTACAAACAGTCTACCAATTGATCAAATGTAAAACAAAGACGTAAAAGCCTCCAACCTTCACACAATATTGTTGTTTACTCCACACACTATCCTTTGGACTTGTCAAAATCACCTTGCGCATGCGCGTTAAAGCATGCTCGCGCACGCAGCGTACATGTTTTCGTCATCACGCAGAACCGGAGCGCTCGTGTTTTTTGGCATGATCGAGCATAATAAGTAACATCCCGAGTTCAGCCGAGTGGCCCTGGAGCGAAGGTAAGTTACAAATTATCTTTAGGTGTCAATTATAGTGGAAAACAGGCGTATCAAAGCGTGTCGCTACTGATCTGAAGTCAGCCGTGAGCTTGAGCTGAAGCAGGTGAGTGCATGTGTCGAGCTGCAGAACATCTATTATACATATATTACTATTATTAATATTATTATTAGACATTCATTAGTTTTGAAGTGACGTTTACTCCTAAATAATCGACGTCTTTATTGTGCCTCCATCTTGTTTTGTGTGTTTGTTTACTTGTGTGTATAAATAGGAAGTATGACATCAGGGGCCTGTTTCAGAAAGGAGGTTAACTGAAAACTCAGAGTATTTTAACCCTGAAATGAGAGAAACTCTGGGTTTTCCGTTTCAAAATGGCAGGTTTGTTAAACTCGAGAAAGCAGGGTAAGTCAAGCCTGTTTCTGAAAGAGAGGTAACTTTAACTCAGAGTCAGTTACTGTGGTAACTTACTCTGTGAATCTAACCTGGTCAGAAGCAGGTTTTATTCTCTAAACTCAGAGTTTCTGTCGGTCTCCTCCCCTTTTTTAAAGATGAAGCGGTATTTCTCGCCTTAGCCTTACGTTTCCACCCACCTATTTTAATGCTCATTTTGGATACGTGCATAAAAACGATTGATAGAAACGTCATGATGCACATAACTTTTTAAAATATGCATAAAAAAACGCGCATAACTGAGTAGGATAAACTTTTATTCGATAGAAAATGTGCGCATAAACTACGATGGAAACACTTTTACTGAACAAATTACAGTATGTGCATTAAAAAAAGATCATGATCATATGATAATGAAAATGTGTGTAAATGAGCAAACCAGCAGGCTGAGCACACTGTAACATGTCAAAAAAATATTGTTTAAGTCATTTCAAAATGCCTTTACTGTTTCAGTATTAGTGTATATTATTAATTACCTCCGAACGTCTGGTGCGTGTCAAGAGTCTCCGTGTCTCATGGCATCAGACGCCCCCATGTGTTCATTGTGTTTCAGCATTGTCTTCTGACATCGAGGCAGTACATTAATTAGGCTAAATAAAGAATTAATTGACGCAGCTTCTTCTACCACAGTAAATTCTGTTTTTCCTGTTGATATTTGGTGCCATTTTAATCAGGAAGTGACGATTTTTTTCTCTTTGACTCGTTGGATGGAATTTTATTCGCATCTTTTAAGCAATATTCCAGTTTTGCACATACATTTATGTAATATATTTGGATGGAAACATAGCTATTGCCTACATTTTAGTCACACACAGAAGAACTGTACGAGAATGGCTTATCCTTTTTTAATAAATAATTAAATTAAATTCACCTACGACATGCATGTAATTAACTAGATTAATGGGATTATTATTCTTTCTAAAATTATTTTTAGTACTGCTTACCTTCTAAATGTTATATTAACCTCTATCACTTGATCAATAAAAAAGGCAGACACACAAGTGCACTGTTAAATCATTTAAAACTAATAAATGTATAAAAAAATTACATTACTTATTTTATTATACTTAAATATTTAAATACTTAAAAAGTGAAATTATGCATTAACTTGAGCAGCTGTTTTCCCACGCTAACTGTCTCTTCTTCACTGATGGTTGCTTCTTTTCAAATATATACGCTCAAATTTGCTATAACTTTGCATGAGAACATCAAGTTCAGCTGGAGAAAGAAATGGTGATCTCTTTTATAAGATATTGCCATAGTCACTCGTAATGTCTGCGCTCCACTGATAATGCCTTTTTAAAGTCACGGTGTGCGCGCTTAACTCTGAGTTGGTCTACTCGAAGTTGATTGACCCAACTCAGATCAGCTGTTCTGAAACCGAAAACTCAGAGTTTTTAATCTCTCGGTAAATCAACTCAGAGTTCAAGTTTAAACTCTGAGTTGTTTAAACCTCCTTACAGAAACAGGCCCCTGACCGCGGTGACAGTTGTGTTTAAGGTTACGTCATGCTGTAATATATGTGTTTACATTCATTTACTCTAATGAAAATGGAGTTTAAATGTGATTAATATGATGGTGTGGTGTTTTGATGATCAGATTTATACAGCTTGATATTGTGTTACACTTCACAATGAAAATTAATCATAAGTGACATTTAAAATACCTTAAAAATAAATCTGCTATATAAAATAAATATAATAATATAATTTCAGAAAAGTATTATTTGCAAATCATAAATAGGGAAATCATATTAGCACCCAATGACTATCAAAGTACATTATTCACAGTTAAATAAATAGTGCTAGTGTTATTTTAAAGGCATACTTACATGTTAATTCAGACCATTAAATGAACAAATGTGCGAATATAAAACCAACTTTACCTCAATCCTGCTGAATTGGAGATTTTATTAAAAGCAAATGTGAATATCTGAGGCTTTTACGAGGATTTAAAAAGGTTTTGGTGTGAAAATATGTGAATAAATCTCACAAGCTCTGCCAAAAATAGAAATTCAGCTTAAAAATGTATTTCTTTTCAAGTATAATTATGTAATTATTACATTATTAAATATAATTTACTCAATTATTAAATATAATTATTAAGATTCTTACTAAAACACATAATGCTAATATGTTAATTATTATTTTTAAATAGTATTGATTTTATATAATATAGTAAATAGTTTTAATTTAATGTGACAACAGTTTTTATATGTGGATTGTTTGTTTGTTTTTTTTGTTTTTACAGTAAAAGCGTGATTAATAATTACTAAACACTCAGAGCTCAACTGTCAAGTTTGTACATTGGTTGGATTAATTCTTAACGCAGCTTCTGTGAGCGAACACAGTTGCATAATATATTAAGTAAGCAGCCTGTTAATTTATAAACACAACATGTACATGTTAGGAATAGTAAGGGTCTTACTTTTCCTTTTATACCCTCATAGAACTGTAAAAAATTTATTTTATGTGTATTTTAACATTTTGCAATCAAACATAACCTGACGCTTTTTTACTGAGATATATACACTCACCGGCCACTTTATTAGGTACACCTGACAATGGCTTGCCAGCGCAAATTTCTAATCAGCCAATCACATGGCAGCAGCTTAATGGATTTAGGCATGTAGACATGGTCAAGACGATCTCCTGCAGTTCAATTTACCTTTGGGATGTGGAGGAACGGGAGATTCGCATCATGCTATCATGTCAATACGGAGCAAAAACTCTTGAGGAATATTTCCAGTAGCTTGTTGAAACTATGCCACGAAGGATTAAGGCAGTTCTGAAGGCAAAAGGGGGTCCAAGCCGGTACTAGTAAGGTGTACCTAATAAAGTGGCCGTGAGTGTCTTTGTCTTTATAAGTGTTTATGCATTAGTTAATAATGATGTGCATTAGTTATTAAGTGCATGCATTAAGTAATAAGAGTGTGTATTGGTTAAAACTAATGTGTATTAGTTAACAAGAGTGTGTATTGGTTATTAAAAGCATGCTTTAGTTATTAAGAGTGTGTATTAGTTAATAATAGTCGCTGTGCTCCTGCAGGACAGTGGTGCGGGATGCTGCCTGATAAAGATGGACTGAATGGAGGTGGAGGAGTGCAGGACGGTCACCCAGCTGAAGACCCTTCAGTGACTCTGTTCAGAGAATACCTGCGCCTGAAGACCGTCCATCCAGAGCCAGACTACGGTACCTGACAGAATCACACACACACACACAGAACATTCAGTGTTTTCCAGCATCTCGCTGCAGGTTTATGACGACTTTGGAGTAAATGTTCACTCCTGTGACGTCTAAAAATGTCTCGGGTGGCAGATTAAGCGAACGGTGTTGAAATGTATTGCCTCATTCACACAAAGTCCACTAGTTTATAGTCCACTAGATTATTTATTACAGTAAACTAGGACAAGGGTGATGTGTTTATGCCACTATAACGTCAATTTATTGTTTATGTTTATGTTAGTTTTATGCTGAAGTGCAGAATTGTTCTCATCTGTCATCATTTATTCACCCACATGTTGCTGCAAACTTGTGTGCTGTCTGTTTTGTAAATGAAACCCCTTTTGCTATATTATTCCAGCCACTGCAGCTTCTGTGGACAAATAATTGTTGCACAGATTTATATTTCTACTACTTGAGTCATGCGTTGACTATCATTTGAAGCCCATGTTTTAACTATAGCATGTTATGGACTGCAGGGTTTTTTTTTGTATCTTTATTTCTGAAAGATGGGGGAAACATCATGCCAAAATAGTGTCTGATATCATCTTCAATGTTGAGGAATAAAATAAGAGTGTTTTAGTAGCCATTCACAACTGAAAGGCATCACATCTGGGATCAGTCTAATAACTCGGTGTCAATCAATCTTTCTCAGATGCTGCTCTGAAGTTCCTGGAGCGGATGGCAGAGGAGCTCGCTTTACCCATGAAGAAAGTGGAGGTAATGAGTCTGCGTGCGCAGAATTCCGCAGATTTCTGCCGATTTTTAGCCCATCATTAATTCTGTTTATTTACTTGAGTAAATGTGTGTAAATCTTTTTTTATTCAGTTGTTTAATTAATTGCAGTAATGTTATTGACTAATATGAAAATGTTCTTCTGATTTATGTACAATGCAGTCTGTACAGTATTATTTTCTGTCTTTTAGTAGAGATGTTATTAGAGAGACTTGCTTTGTTTACCAAATAACATGAATCTAATTCAATTTGCATTTTAAACATTAAACAAAAGTAAAAAAAAAAAAAAAATTTATTAAACATATTAAGGTTTAATTATGATACAAATAAAATAATTCCGCAGAAATCTGCAGATTTTCACCAAAATTCTCAGCAGAAATAGCAAAAAACATCCGTAGTAATGAGTCACCCCAGCATATTACACTACAAATAATGGTTCTGAACTGTGCCAAATTAGGGGTCTCTAGCTTGTAACAACTGTTAAACCCTTTTCATTCCATTAAATGCAAAGGGTAAGACATTATTAAAGGGGGTGTTCATAAGTCATGAAACTATTATAATCATGACATAACAGGAATATTAATGAGATTTTATGCAAGCATTAAGCTGTTTTTTTCAGTTACAGCTTTGAAAAACAGAAAGACGGGAAATGAAGTATCCATGAGTTACTTTGTCAGTTACAGATTAGAAAAACAAAAAGGCGGGAAATAAAGACCTAATGCGCTTCTTTGTCAATTACATATTTGAAAAACAAAAAGGCGGTAAAATAAAGAACCCATGAGGTGTTTTGTCAGTTACAGATTAGAAGAACCAAAAGTTGGTACATAAAGAACCAATGAGCTGCTTTGTCAGTTACAGATTTGAAAAACTGAAAGGCGGGAAGTTAAAGAATCGATGAGTTGCTTTGTCAGTTACAGATTTGAAAAAAGGTGGGGAATAATAAAGCCATGAGCGGCTTTGTCAGTTACAGATTTGAAAAAACAAAAAGGTGGTAAATAAAGAACCCATAAGCTGCTTTGTCAGTTACAAATTTGAAAAAGGAAAGGTGAGAAATAAAGAACCAATGTGCTGCTTTGACAGTTACAGATTTAAAAATGAAAATGCGTGAAATATAGAACAGATCAGTTACAGATTTGAAAAACAAAAAGGCGGGAAATATAGAACCCATGAGCTGCTTTGTTAGTTATAAATTTGAAAAAGGAAAGGTGAGGAATAAAGAACGGACTACCTGTTTTGTTAGTTAGAGATTTGAAATACAAAAAGGCGGGAAATAAAAACCAATCTCATTCACACACATACACTACAGACTATTAAGTTTACCCAATTCACCTGTAACGCATGTCTTTGGACTTGTGGGGGGAAACCGGAGCACCCGGAGGAAACTCACGCGAACATGCAAACTCCACACAGAAATGCCAACTGACCCAGCTGAGACTCGAACCAGCAACCTAATTGCTTTGAAGCGACATCGCTACCCACTGCACCAACGCATCGCCTTCTTTGTGAAAATACGGTTTTCAATCGAGCTGTTACTAAGTGCAGAGAACCTTTTAATACTCATCTGTTTTAGCGTGTCCATCTTGTTCTTGTTCACATATTAATCTCTGCCTCTCAGGTGTGTCCCGGTCGAGTGGTTGCCATCATCTCCTGGATCGGCTCCAGGCCGGAGCTCAAGTCTGTGGTGCTGAACTCACACACTGATGTGGTTCCTGTGTATGAGGTAAAGCTGAAACACATCCGTCTCTGCACTGATTAACAACACGTCACATCACTGTCTGTGCGTCTGCTGCAGGAGCACTGGAAACATCATCCATTCGCTGCTGTGAAAGATGCGGACGGCAACATCTACGCCAGAGGAGCTCAGGACATGAAATCCGTCACCATACAGTGAGTTTAACGGTGATACAACTGTAAAATTGTGAGGTCAAGTGTCTTTTTCTTTTCTCTATAGGATTATGTGAAAATGTGCAATCACAAGCTGAATTCTTAACAAAAATAACTGGACTTTGCTTGCAAAAGTTTATTAAGCAACAGGGAATGTGATCCCTTGAAGATCTAGTCACATAAAGAGCACTTTAGTCAAATTTGGTGGATAATTATGGCTGTACTTAGTGGTACGGTTCAGTACAGTACAGAACAGTTCACAATTATTTTCGTTTCCACTGTCAGAAGTACCAAAATTGTACTGTACCACTTTTTTGGCACCCTTTTGTAAGGGTACCTAATGCCTTGTTTTCACTAAAGCCTGGTTTATACTTCTGCGTCAAGTGACCGGCGTAACCCACAGCGCATGCAACGCGCGTAGCTGTGCATTTATACTTCTGTGCGCTGTCTCTGTTGGTCTGCATTAACACTTCCGAAACGCTAGTTGGCAGTGAGGTGTTAATGTTCCTCTGTGCCGAGTTTCTTCGCTGCTGTTTTGTTTTTTCTGAACACTTCCTGAATGTACAAGTCGCTCCAACTTGCTCATTTTGAGGCAGGAACCGGCGAATATGCAATAACTTTAACTATGAGGTAAACACAAAACAAAACTTTTTATCCAGAGCTTCTTCACGGGACTCCACACTTGTAAACCATCACTCCATTGGGCTTGCGCTGCTTGCGCGGCTCTCGGTCCCGCCCAGACCCGACAGCGCCACCAAGCCGACCAATCACAGAGCTTGCGACGTGTAGTTACATTTTTTGAGAGGTGCAGCGACGGCCACGGCGTAGGGCTATGCGTCTATGGCTGCACCGTAGCATACGCGTGCGCTTGACGCAGAAGTATAAATCAGCCTTAAGTGGTACAGTATAGTACCAGATGGGTCAGTATGGCTCACCTTTACCAGGCTTGTGTCTCCACTGTCAAATGTTACCAACGGTTCCCTTATGGTAGGCGTTGTGTACGAAAGAAAGTTGCAGTCGAAGTCATTCTGGCTTGAAGTTGCGCATCTAGCTCTGCCTTTTGGTATCCTTTTGTTTTGCTAGGTACCCTTTGGAAAGGGTACCCAAAAAGTTGTACGGTACCTTTCACTTTTTGTTACCTTTTGATAGTGAAAACGGACATAAAAGCACACTGAGCCATAGCGCACTGTACTGTACCACTCAGTGGAAACAGGCCATAAGTGTATCTAACACAACAATACAGTAATAAAGGCAGAGCTAGACTCTCTTAGGGTGTCTGCTAGGTTTAAAAAAGTCTTTAAACAAAGTTTTAGGCCTTAAAGCAGTGGTCACCAAACTTGTTCCTGGAGGGCCGGTGTCCTGCAGATTTTAGCTCCAACCCTAATCAAACTCACCTGAACAAGCTAATCAAGGTCTAACTAGGTATACTTGAAACATCCAGGCAGGTGTGTTGAGGCAAGTTGGAGCTAAACCCTGCAGGGACACCGGCCCTCCAGGACCGAGATTGGTGACACCTGCCTTAAAGTCTTACATTTACTGTAATATTATGTTGAATGTCTTAAATCACTTTAACTGGCTCTTAATTTTACAATTTCTTTGTAAAGCTACCCCATCAGACTGACACCCGTCCAATCACCAGCAATCTATCTCAATAAAACGTTTAACAAAACCCTGCTGAAAAATCCAGCTTAAACCAGCCTAGGCTGGTTGGCTGGTTTTAGCTGGTTGACCAGCCTGGTTTTAGAGGGGTTTTGGCCGTTTCCAGCCTGGTTTAAGCTGATTAGCTGGTCTTGGCTGGACTCCCAGCTTGGCTAGGCTGGTCAAGCTGGTTTTAGCTGGTCATCTCCCAGCCTGACCAGCTAAGACCAGGCTGGAAATGGCTGGAAACCAGCCTGGAAGTGGCCAAAACCCCTCTAAAATCAGCCTGGTTGACCAGCTAAAACCAGCCAACTAGCCTAGGCTGGTTTAAGCTGGATTTTTCAGCAGGGAACCTTTATTTATTACCTCTATTCACTGATATGGTATAATTATCTTTCTTGCAATAACATTAGTTTTTAGTTTCTGGTTTCTTCTTGTGTCAAGCTGTAATATGCCAAGAAGATGCCAGAACAGGATCTGCTGTGTGTCGTCTATTGTTGTTTATGGGGTTGTAAACATGTCGCTCCTGTAGTCCAGTTTGTACTTCTGCGATGAGTGCTCACGGTCACATGCCTTGAACACCTGTGTGAATGTTTGTTACACTGTCGTTGCTGTTTAAGTTACCTCATGAAATTGAAGATAAAGTCAATCCAACCCTTTTACCTGAAGAAATGCAAGCCTGATCACGGTAATCCGTACTCCACCGTAAGGTCCATAGCAAAAGTCATGAGTTAATTTTTTTATTTTACCCAAAAGCTTGAGTAAATTCCTAATGAAGTAACTGGGTTTTTTCGGACAAATTGTTTCTCATAACATCAGTAAACATAACCACAGCTTTCAAGAGTTCCCACTTAGATATGCTTAGCGTTTACAGCAGGTTTGGCATGATGTCCAGGGAGAGAACCCTGAGCTCTGAGATATTTAAGCCCAAGGCTCCCGCCTGGTCAAATAAGCATTTCCGGAGATCCGAGATCGAGAACTCGAGAGCTCCCCCTTGTAAAAGGTAGGAAAAGGAGGAGATAGGGTGGAAGGGGGGATTCTTTTAAAACAAAGAAAGAGCAGAAGGGAGAAAACGATCCACTTATTGTAAACTAGGATCACTCTGATTGGATGATTACTGATTACATATGAGCAGCCAGTCGTGCTCAATCATATCACGAGCTCCTCTCGAAATTAGTTCATAAAACCTCACTTATACTAAATGAAAATAAATTACTTTTCGGTGGGAATCATGAATATTCTGAAACAAATTTGCAGGTTTATTCTCAGTCAGAGAGGAATAATAATCAGTTGTTTGAGTTGAATATGGAGTTTTGATGTCTCATTCATATTTTCCTGCAGGTACATTGAAGCCATTCGCAGACTGAAGGCGGCCGGGAAGAGATTTTCTCGAACCATCCACTTAACATTTGTCCCAGGTCAGACCACACCAGCATGCTAGTACCAGACCATATCTTTCCAGACTGTTCTTATGGCTATTTATGCACTGAATTGAACTAGTTTCATGAACACAAGGCCAACATTTAATAATTAAAAAATGTCTTGAGCACGCTCTTGAATCATCAATGCACAACACACAAGTACCTCAGACTGAATTTGGAAAATGAAGTTTCACTTCAGGTCTTATCTGATGTTTAGTTTCACAAAGTGAAGTTTATTTATAAACAAATGTCGAGAGGATCACGTGCTTATGATTGTCACAGCTGTTCCAACTTTAGCTAATGACTGATTATCCTATCAGACGATCCTTAACTCACTCTAAATAACCAGCTTTTTCTCATCTCAATATCTTCGTCTTGAAGAAACCCCCCCACCCAACCCTACTTTCCCTCCTTTCAGATGGTCGTCACGGTGGCCAGCGATTAGCCTTAACAGCAAGAATGCCCCTGGTTTAGTTCCTTTTCAAACCAGTCGGCATTTCTGTGCAGAGTTAGCTCGTTCTCCCCGTGGTCGCGTGGGTTTTCCCCGGGTCCTCCGGTTTCCTCCCACAGTTTAAAAACAAGCACCCTAAACAATTAATCCAAATACTTTAGCTAAACTCTGAGTACACCTTTCAGCATCCATATCTGACGCTTAGCTACAACAAGCAAGAGGGGGAGTCATCGAGATCTACCTGAGCTCAATCTCCCCTCTCGCCTTGCAACGGGAGGGAGCCCAGGGCTCGAGGATCTTATAAGCTCAGGGCTCTCTCCCGGGACAGCACGCCAAACTAGCTTTACTATCAATCATCAGCTAAGTGTGAACTCTTGAACATGAGATTTTTGGCGTGTTAGTGTGTTTTGTGTGTTTGTATATTATGTACAGCACAGTACTGTTTGAAAGTTTGTGAACCCCTTTACAGCTTTTGGTTGTTTTCCCAAGTTTTTCTTATTATAACGACCAGATTTTTGCATATTAGATATTATATGTTTGTTTATCAGTTGGACATGTTTGTTTCAGAGGGAATTGTGTGTGAGTACTAGCTGAAAAACTACATGAAAGGTGGATTTAGAGTAACTGTAAATCTCTGAACTGTAAATACAGCTGCACTGTATGTGTATATTTTTACAATAGCGGATCGGCATTACGATACAAAGCAATATAATCCATCCACAAGACTGTATGTCCATTCTCATTTGAATTTCTGTCAAATTAGACATGGCATCTGTCTAAATCCAGTTTCTCTACAAATTGACGGTATTTTCAATGTTCTTGACAGACGAGGAGGTCGGCGGTCACAAAGGAATGGAGACGTTTGTGAAGCACCCAGAATTTCAGAAGTTGAACATGGGTTTTGCTCTTGATGAAGGTAAACAATTCTGTAGATTCATTCTTTTAGTTTCTGCAGTCGCTTTTGGACTGCACTATGGTTGACAATCCAACACAATGGGCAGCACATTGAACACATTTTATAAGTGGTCAGAAACATGTAAATAACTCATGGAAGAATAAAGTTACGTTAAAACCAAGCACACCATTGCTTTTCTTGTGAAATTCCCAATAAGTTTGACGTGTCACATGACCCTCTTAATATTGAAAAAAGCAAAAGTTGGATCCAAGATGGCCGACTTCAAAATGGCCACCATGGTCGCCACTAATCTTGCAAAGCTGGCCCCCTTACATATACTAATGTACCACAAACAGGACGTCAATATCACCAATCATTCCCATTTAATTAAGGTGTATCCATAAGCATGGTCAATATACTTCATGTAGAAATGAATACATAACTTGTGTGATGTTATTACGAACAAAATAATGATATTAATAATATCTGAAATGCAAATTTACCTTCTTTTCAGGATTGGCAAACCCCACCAATGCCTACACTGTATTCTATGGAGAAAGAAACCCCTGGTGTGAGTATCATCTTTGCCTGTAGTCACATTGTCTGTGTGTGAGTACTGGTTTCGGTGGTTTACAAGGACAGAATATGTATAATGGCATGGGTATGACCTAGTTGTACTCTATTATAGAGGTTTATGAGGACATACATGGTGTCCTCGTAATTTAAAACACCTAAAAATGATTTTTAACAGGATTTTTTTGCCATTCAGATTTTGCCACTGGTTTCCTGAGGTTGTTGGGTTTAGGGGTAGAGCCATCTAAATAGTGTTATTTACAGTGTAAACTACATAGCACCTATGGAGAGTCCCTGTAAACCACCAATACCAACAGGTGTGTGTGTTTATATGTTAATAATGTGTGCTCTGTCCTGCAGGGATCACCGTTCGCTGTCCTGGAAGTCCAGGTCATGGTTCCAGGTTTGTGGAAAACACAGCAGCAGAGAAATTAGTGAGTGTTCAGAGAATAATCTAGTAAATCTGGAGCTGCAGACAGACCATTCTTTTAAAAAGGCAATCATTTCTGTTTGTTATATTTTATCTTATCTTTTTTATGTTGTCTAGTAGTAGCATTAGTAATAATAATAATAATAATAACTAGAAGGTAAAGTTTGTTGTTTAACTTCGATATTAGCTTAAGAAAGCCAATGAGACAGCGCTGAGAGTCAGATGCAGTTGGTAGGAGACACAGCGGCAGCAGAAGTCACAGCATCACCAACAATGTTGCATTGAATGTATGTCCTCTATGCGCTTCCGCCAAAGCAATTAAACATGCACGGATGTAAAGAAAGCACTCAGCTGCAGGGGAAAGCAAAGAGCTTGTGAAAAGAAATCACTTCAAGAGGAAGCAGCAGCTAAATGTTGCAACATGTTTTATCTGTTTAGTGTGGAAATAGTGCAGTGCTGCTATTATCCATATTAGTAGTCAATTGGTGAACTTAGGCCCCGTTTACACTAGTGCGTTTTAGTTTTAAAACGCATAAGTTTTGCTACGGTTACGCCAACCGTCCACACTACGCCGGAGTTCTCGAGCGCCGAAAACGGAGCGTTTCGAAAACGCTGGAGAGGCCGTTTTCATTCTGAAACACTGCTGCTCCGTCTCAGTGTGGATGATGGAAAACGGAGACATCTAAAAACGGAGGCGGGGCTGCAGACATTCGCCTCTCTGATTGGGGCTTTCCCTGAATATTAAGTAGCCTAACACACACAGTTCAGTCCTGCATTCTCTCTGTGTAAGTTCAGCCTTCACAAGTTTGATCAAGGCTGCAGTCTCTTCTTCTCAGTTTGATATGGAAAACAGACTATACTGAGGACACGGGTAAATCTTCAAAGGGAACAGTGTATTTTATAGCTTCATTCACATCCCCCTGGCAATGTTGTTTCACTTTCTCAACAATAAAATGTAAACATGATTTAAGGAACTGCCTATTTTCATTTTAATATTAGCAACTTAGACAGCAGACATGTTGAGGCGTCGTGCTGCATATATGAGCGTCATCTTCACTGTGTGGATATTTATAACAAAACGGAGCCGATAACTGCCTCCTTTCAATTTCAATGAAAATACGAAACATCCCCTCTCTTTTGCTGAATATCAGTTTTAATAATCGATAATGGCCATTATAAAAGTATAACATACAATAAGTTTATACATTATAGGAAATAAAGGCAAGCGATCAGTCAATATACAGAATAGGCTACGTGCGGTTACATGAATCAATCATTAACTTATCTTTGCGCTCAGCCAAAACACGTTACCTGAGAACAAGTAATAGATTCCAATGCCCAAAGTCAGGGAATATGTCGTTAGATAAAGACAACAAGATGAATGAAATATCCCGTTTAATAAATATAGTGAGATTAGATCCAGCGGGAGATGCTTGATGAGAAGTCCGACTAGCACAGCTCTCATCTGGGTAGATGGGCTGCAGCGCTTGCCCGAGGGTGTCTGTGTGGTCACGTGATGTGCGTTTTCAGCGTTTTGGTGTGGACGGAGAGCAGTTCAGAAACGCTGGGTAAAACGCGAGTGTGGACGCGGATCGTTTTCATTCTAAAACGCCGTTTTAAATCTAAAACGCACTAGTGTAAACGGGGCCTTAAAAGCATAATGCTCTAAATGATTTATAGTGAAACTGTAAACGTCTGATGAATCTGAAAAAGATATAGCAAACAAACTGCAATGCGGAACACAGCTTTTGGCCAAATTTGGGCCACAGAAATAAGTGAAGTTTATTCATAAACTAATTTCGAGAGGATCACGTGCTTATGATTTATCACGGCGAGTCTCGCATTTGCTAATCACTAATCTTCCAATCATATGAGCCCTAAGCCACTATAAATAGCCTCAGTTTTCAGTCCACTTTATCTTCGTTTGGAAGAAACCCCCCTCCTCCCCTATTCTCCTCCTTTACCTGTGATTGGGCAGCACGGCGGTCCAGTGGTTAGCACTGCGAGCCACACAGCAAGAATACTGCCGGCCCTAGTTCCATAGGACCGGTGGCTGTTTCTGTGAGGAGTTTTGTATGTCCTCCCCGTGTCCGCGTGGGTTTTCCCCGGGTTCTCCAGTTTCCTCCCACCATCCAAAGACATTCAACATACATAACAATCAAGCTTGTCTAATCCCTTACGTTCCCTTAGCTACAGCAGCAGGGGAGTTCTGAGATCCATCGAGCTCGGGCTCCCTTCTTGCTCTGCCAACGGGAGGAAGCCCCGGGCTCGAGGAGCCCTTGAGCTCGGGGCTCTCTCCCGGGACAGCATGCCAAATAAGCTTTGTAAATCATCAGCTAAATGTGAACTCTTGAAATGAAATTTTTCTGGATATATCTGTATATTTCACATTATTACACTTTTGGTGAGTGCTCTGTTTCTCCTGTCCACAGCGGCGAGTTATAAACTCCTTCCTGGAGTTCAGAGAGAAAGAGAAACAGCGGTGAGCTTTCCTCACAAGTTGAATTTTGTTTAAAGCAGAGCTGTTGAACACGAAGAAACACTGGTGTGTGTGTGTGTGTGTGTGTGTGTGTGTGTGTGTGTGTGTGTGTGTGTGTGTGTGTGTGTGTGTGTGTGTGTGTGTGTGTGTGTGTGTGTGTGTGTGTGTGTGTGTGTGTGTTTTCAGACTGAACACCAGTGAGTGTTTTACTCTGGGAGACGTCACCACTATTAACATGACCATGGTCAAAGGAGGCGTCGCTTATAATGTGGTTCCTGCAGAAATGGACGTCAGCTTTGACTTGAGAATCCCTCCTACTGTTAACCTGCAGGTCTGTGCTTTTATCTATCCATCCATCCATTCATTTATTCATCCATCCATTCATTTATTCATTCATTCATGCATCCATTTGTTCATTCATGGATTTGTTTATTTATTCATTTATTCATTCATCCATCAATTTATTCATACATTCATACATCCATTCATTCATTTATCCATCCATTTATTCATCCATTAATTCATCCATTTATTCACTCACATCTATGTATTCATTCATTCATTCATTCATTCATTCATGCATTCATTTGTTCATTCATGCATTCAGTTATTCATTCATTCATTCATTCATTCATGTATTCATTCATCATATTCATACATTCATACATCCATTTATTCATTTATCCATTTATACCTCCATTTGTTCACTTACCCATCTATATATTCATACATGCATTAATTTATCCATCCATCCATTCATTTATTCATTCATTCATTCATTCATCAATTTATTCATACATTTATTCATGCATTAATTTATTCATTATTCAATTAATTGAACTATTCATACATCAATCATCAATTTATTCATTTATTTATCCATTAATACATCTATCCATTCATGCATTCCTTCATGCATTCATCCATTCCTCCATCAATTCATCCATGCATTCATTCATTCAAGCATTAATTCATCCATCTATCCATCTATTCATTCATTCATTCATTCATTCATCCATCTATTCATTTATTTATTCATACATTCATACATCCATTCATTCATATGTACATGCATTCATGTATCCATTCATTCATCCATCCATCCATTCATTAATTCATTCATCCATCCATTTATTCATTCATTCATTCACTTAATTATTTATCCATTAATTTTTTAAACCATTCATACATCCAATCATCCATTCATTCATTTATTAATCGATTCATACATCCATCCATTCATACATCTATCAATGCATTAATACATTCCTTCATCCATCTATTTTTTCATCCATTTACCCATCAATTCAAGCATGCATTCATTCATCCATGCAATAATTCATCCATTCATTCATTCATTCATTCATCCATTCATTCATCTTTCCATACATCCATCTATTTATTCATTCATCCATTCATTATTTCATGCATTCATTAATTCATCCATCCATCCACCATTCATTCATTAGTTTTAAACTATTTTTAAACTGTCTTTGTCTTTAAACTGTGTCAGCTCTAATTCACTTTGTCTTGCAGGAGTTTGAGGAAAAGATTAAAGTCTGGTGTCGAGAAGCCGGTGAAGACGTGACTTATGACTTTGCACAGGTCCGATTTACTTTTACACTCTTCAAGTTTCTGCCTGGACCTTTTTGGTCCTGTAATTAAAACATTTTGTTCTGAGTTTAATTTGTTAGTGTGTTGCTAGTCTAAATGTTTTTCTTTTAATTGTCAGTCCAATGACAGTTTATTTTAGATTTTTTAATTGAATCTTTTATTCTGAATTTAGGAGTTAGTAGACATCCCATTTTTCCATCAGCTACGCATTGTGTTTGTCTGCTTTCAAAGAAATATTGACCCTGATATTGGAAGCATAACAATAAAACCAAACTACCAAGGTCCAAGTACTGAGCCCTGTGGTACTCCGCTCCACACCTTTATTTTAAGGCTGATCTTCAATGATTTTCTCTGCTCTTCAGAAACACATGGACCAGAACTTGACCTCCACGGATGAAAATGACCCCTGGTGGCAAGCCTTCAGCTCCACATGTAAAGCAATGTGAGAAAACCTACTGTACCAACAAAGGCTCATTAGCAATATGTGCCCAGGGCTACATTTTTAAGAACCGAGAAATATGTGCCTGGGGTTACATATATGTCTGCGTTTTCTGTGTAAAACGAATGCTATGGACCCCTTACTTCCACATGGATGGCATTTCCATTGTGACTGCTCGGTAGCTCGTCCACATATAGATTTGGATTAGGGAGCAGACTGGGGTTCGAGTCCGGCGAAGGAGGGTTTCATCAACCAGGTATAGCAAAACCAAAAAGAAAGCAGTGTGAAATCGTGGTAAAAGCATGCAGCTGAGATCATTTGGGTTTAGAGAGGGGGTGTACGGGTCAGTCAATAGCAAGCTGATATATACATGACAACAATCCGACTATTTTCTCTCATGGACGTGTGCGAGAAGGATGTTAATATTGGCAGTAATAAACATAGCGGCTTCGTAAATTGTGTATTTACGAGAAATGACACCTATAAGAAAACATCAGATTGTCAAAATCATACAGGGTTGCCTCTAGTGGACTTGTGTAAGCAAAAACTCCAAGCATATGAAGCTCAGGGCACACATTTCTCGGTTCTCAAAAATGTAGCCCTGGGCACATATTCCCAATGAGCCTGTGTTGAAAAACTGCACCCAGTTCTGTGAGCATGCATTTTGTTGTTGAACACATTGCAGACATGTGACTTTCTGCATCTCCTGACAGGAACATGACTCTGAAAAAGGAAATCTTCCCTGCTGCCACGGACAGCCGGTTCATTCGGGAAGTAAGTCAGTTTTTACTCCAGTCAACAACCACAGTGAAATCACAGTAATGACAAATGCGAAGGCAAAATTATTCGCCCTCCTGGGAAATTAAAACCACTGTTGTCCAGTTGTCTAATTAACCTAAATTGCCTTGTTAACCTAATTAAGCCTTTAAATGAGCTGAAAGCTAGAATCTTGTTAAATATTATAAGTAGTCATCATGGCAAAGATAAAAAAAATTGTTAGTAGAACTTAGTTATTCAATATTATTAGTTGTTTATTAACTAATATGTTTAAAGGTGCCATATACTGCATTGGTTTATTAAGTGAAATTGTTATCAGATGTCTAAATAGTAGGTTTATGGCTACGGTAAGATCGAAAAATCTCCAGAAATGGTTTTATAAGCTCCTGCATTGCTCCATAAAAAACCCTTAGAATCTGAAGGTCCATGATTGACCATATATGGTTCATGTTGTGAATATTAATGAGCTCCTCTCTGATGTGTCACTCTTACCGTACGTTCACACCGAAAGCGGCGAGAGGACCAAAGCATCTGCTAAATGTAAATGTTTTCTTTATTGTTTGTAGGTGGGTCTTCCTGCCATTGGTTTCTCTCCAATGAATCTCACCCCCATCCTGCTTCACGATCACAACGAGTACCTGAACGAGCAGGTGTTTCTGCAGGGCATCCAGGTGTACGAACGCCTCATTCCTGCTCTCGCCGGTGTGGCTCCGCTGAGCGCAGAGCTGTAGATTCACTCTGCATCCGAAATAGCTCCTCATACCGTTAAACAGTGCACTATTTGACAGAGCAGCCATTTCTTGTGGTGTTTGAAATCATAGTGGACACTCTGAAGTGCACTCAATCAATCCCACAATGCAACACAACAACAAGTGTACATCCCACGTGCACTCAACAGTTAGAAAGTACTCGTAAATGCCATGTAAGAGTTCAGCACTCATGAATTTCCGCATCCAACCACAAGAAGGCGTTCACAGCAGAATCATATCAGTGTACACTTCAAAATAAAATATATATTTAATTAAAGTAATGTACACATGACAGAAATCAACGTACTTAGTTTCATTTCTAGTAGACCACTAAGGGTCAAATAATTATCACAGGGTCTGACCTGAAATTAAAAATTGTATCCATCTGAGGCGTTTAAAACTAAACGGCATCCCTTCAGTGCACTCCACATTGCTCACTCAATTTCATTCACTCTTTTGAGTGGACTATATTAGTAGACTCATGTAGGGAATAGTAAATGAGGGTATAGGGGGCGATTTCAGATACAGCATCAGTCTTTCTGTTCATCTCTCTAAGCTTGCCGACTGAAATACGGTGCTGATTTTCACTCATATCGAGAATCGTATCTGCCATAACACCAAAGATTGAGCTGATCCCATATAACCGAGATCATCATTTTGCGTTCGCTTTAACTCAGGAGTCCCTGTCTTTCAATAATGTCTTAGAGATGCTTTGAAGTCTTATTTGTCTGCTGGCATTTACAGTTAGAAGCTGCTGTAAACCATTTTAATTCATGAAGTTTGTAAATTTAACACACCGAAGTAAGGTGGCCTGTGTCTCATATGAGAAATGAAAATGTTTTCAGAGACTCAAACGGTGTAGCTGTGCTTGCCATATATGCATTATATTTTTAATACAGATGATTTTGATGCAAATGTATGGGTATATACTGAATATATGTATGGGTCATGTATAATAAGACTTATACTATACTGTATTATACCACACAGTTAGACTGAATCACACCTCGTGATTTCAAGAGTTATGAATTTTGAAGTTACCTCAAACTGGTGCTACTTTGCCTTCCTGATTAAATAATTAAAAGGGTACCATATACATCAATGCTGTCAGAAGTCGGTTATTATCGGTCGTCATTGTTGTAGTAGTGTTATTATCATCATCTGAAGTGGGTAATATTGACTTGAGATTTTGCTTTGGTAAACAACAAAGTACTGGAGAAGGGTATAAACGGAGGCCGGAGCCTGCTCGAAGTGTCTTGGAGCTTCAAGTGGGCTGGGCAAACCTTATTTAGTTGTATTTAGACTTGAATATTGTGCTTTATGAATTTGTACACCTAACCCTAAACCCAACCTCACAGTAACCTGTTGTGTTTTATTAACGTCTACATCTAAATCCAACCCTAAACCCAACTTACTTGCGGTTTGAGTCCCTCCAACTTGGAGATCACCCAACCTACTTGCGGTGTAATTCCTCCCACTTGCAGGTCTCCGGGCTGCAGCGATACCTACTTGAAGTACTGCAGCTTTAAAAGTTAATTTGAGGTGTGTTTCTCTTTCGTAATGCACTGGTCCCTCACACAAAGATCAGGACCACAACAACCCAATCATCAGGCACAGAAACTGCCTTTTGGGACATGGAATGTCACCTCACTGGGAGGGAAGGAGCCTGAGCTTGTGCGGGCGATTGAACGGTACCGACTAGAGATGGTCGTGCTCACCTTCACGCACAGCTCAGGCTCTGGAGATCAAGGGCTGGAGATTTTTTATTCTGCCGTTCCTCAAGGTGAGAGGAAGAGGTCTGATGTGGACTTGCTTATAGCTCCCCAACTCAGCTGCCATGTGGTGGAGTTTTCCCCAATGAACGAGAGGGTCGCCTCCTTGCTTGTTGGGTCTGGGCTAGGTCTCTTACTGTAGTTTGTGCCTACCGGCCAAACACCAGTGCAGAGTACCCGGCTCTCTTGGAGTCCTTGGGAGGGGTTGCTTAAAGGTGCTCAGACTGAGGACTCTGTTGTTCTACTGGGGGACTTCAATGCCCACGTGGGTAATGACAGGGATACATGAAGAGGTGTAATTGGGTGGAACGGCCTCCATGATCTGAATCCGAGTGGTGTTCAGTTGTTGTTCTTCTTTTTGGTGGTTGTATCATCAGATCTTCCGACCGTATGTCTTGGACACTCGAGTAAAGAGAGGGGCAGAGCTGTCAACTGATCACCTCCTGGTGTGAATTGGATCAGCTGTCAGAGGGGAAAGCCGGACAGACTTGGCAGGCCCAAAAGTACACTGCTGAAAAAAACAGCTTAAACCAACCTAAGCTGGTTGCCTGGTTTTAGCTGGTCAACCAGGCTGGTTTTAGAGGGGGTTTGGCCACTTCCAGGCTGGTTTCCAGCCATTTCCAGCCTGGTTTTAGCTGGTCAGGCTGGAAAATGACCAGCCTAAACCAACTAAAACCAGCTTGACCAGCCTGGTTTAAGTTGGACATAGCTGGTTTTGGCTGGGCTCCCAGCCTGGCTAGGCTGGTCAAGCTGGTTTCAGCTGGTCATCTCCCAGCCTGACCAAACCAGCCTGGAAATGGCCAAAACCCCTCTAAAACCAGCCTAGTTGACCAGCTAAAACCAGCCAACCAGCCTAGGCTGGTTTAAGCTGTTTGTTTCAGTAGGGTGTTGTGAGGGTCATCCGGGAATGTCTGGCAGAACCACAAGACGGAGGAATTATCAACTTTCACCTCCGGAAGAAATTTGACTAAATCCCCAGGGAGGCTGGAGACATTGAGAGAGAGTGGTCCATGTTCTCCAACTCCATTGTTGACGCAGTCATGAGCAGCAGTGCATGCAAGGCCTGTGGTGCCTATTGTGGCCCAGTGGTGGACACCGGAAGTAAGGGATGCAGTCAAGCTGAAGAAGGAGTCCTACCAGGCTTGGCTGACCTGTAGAACTCCCAAGGCAGCTGATGGGTACCGACAGGCCAAGCATATTGCAGACAAAAACAAATACTCAGGCCTGGGAAGAGTTTGGGTAGACCAAGGAGGAAGACTACTGGTCGAGATTCTGGCAAACCATCTAGTGCCTTAGGAGGGGAAAGCAGTTCCACACCCACTGTTCACAGAGCTTTCACAATTTTACTCTTCATTTCAAATGCAAGTATAATCTTTACAACATTGATGCTGTAAAAGGAACCGTATAAAATGGAAAAAAGACACATTAACCGTTCACCGAAAGTTAATCAGTTTGGGAGGAAACACTAGTTCCGCATATACCCTATTAACAGTCTAGTTCTAAGATAATTAGACTAAATACACTGCTTGAAGTTGAAATAAGTGTTATAGGCTAATACTTTTTTATAGACTTTTTTTCTTCCCTAAAGTCCAGGTATTTTTTTTTTCAAGAACTCTTACCAAGTTTAATTATCCTACTGCACTGGCAGATAAACTGACTGGTTTCTAAACTGTATTATCTTAAATAATTCATTCATTCAGTGTATTTAAACATGATTTATTTTGCAGTCCAGCAGTTAGCCTACAGGTATAAATCATTTGTTATAGCCTCTTCAGTCAAAATACAATGCAATTTAGGGTATTCAGACGGTTAATTGAAGTATAATTCTGAAATATATCATGTCATACTCATTAACGTAACATGAAAGTATCTTCATAGAAAGAATCATTTAGACTTTTCCCTCCCTTTTCACATTGTATTTCGCTTACTTTGACCAGTCCGGTAGATGGCGGAAGTGCACCTTTATTTTGAAAGCCGCCATGAAGCATCAGTAGAAGAAGAAATAAACATTCATAAATGCAGGTGAGTGCAACAAATGCTGAGCTGCAGACAAGTCGTTTATTCGTGTGTTATAGATGTATTATTATTATTATTAAGCTCTCGACATCTGTGTTCCTGTCATGTTTACGATTAAAGAGTCGACGTTTTAGTTTAACCGCACTTTAGGTTTGTTTACTTCTGTATACTAGTATAGGAGATGTTTACATGCATTTGACCGGTAGCATTATCTGATGTGTAGGATAAAATGTCAGGACACCAGTGTTTATTAGAAAGCTGTTACGTTTACTGTTATGTCATGGTGAAATAAATGTGCATTTACGTCTGTAAAATGAGTTTAAATGTGTTTAATGCGGTGTTTTAGAGATTAAAAAGCTCGATACTTCAGTTTTCATTGTCAAGTATAGTACAATAATATTAAAGTACTGAGCTTTTCACATTTGTCAAGCATATACGTATATTGTCAAGTATAGTTAAATAATATTAATTACAAGTTACTTTTTAAAACACCTTAAAAGCAAGTCTGCTGAATTAGTATATTTATTAATAGAAAATGCAAATATGTGAGGCTTTTATGAGGATGTTTAAATGTTTTAATATGAATTTGGGTGAATAAATCTCACAAATCGTGCCAACGAAGAGTATATGATATGCATAAGTTATATTTAGTTAAGAAACTGTATTAAAGTATTGAAATTCTATAAAAAAAACACTAATCTATGAAAACAATTCAACATTTTAATATTAAAATGTTTTTAATTATTACTAAACTCAGAGGGTTTAGCTATTTAGTTTGTACTTTGGATGGATTCATTATTAACACAGTTGCTTAATATATTCAGTAAGCAGCCTTTACATTTATAAACAACAGGAAAGCATGAGAGTTGATGCTGTAATCATGATCAAAGGAATTGTATTTGTTAATGTATTTTTGCATAAAACCCTTGAGAAAAAAAGACATTTTGCTCACATATAAAACATAGTAGAGCTTAAAATACACAGTGTCAGTTTTGCAATTACCATACTCGCAAACATAAAACTTGTTATAAATTTATATATTTATTATTTTTTATAAGCTCCTTTTTAAGTTTGAAGTAGTAAATAATGGAAGTAATGAAGAATACTGAAAATAGAATCCATTTGAAATTAATATTTGCAATATTATACATTATACACTCACCGGCCACTTTATTAGGTACACCTTACTGGTACAGGGTTGAACCCACTTTTGCCTTCAGAACTGCCTTAATCATTTGTGGCATAGATTCAACAAGGTACTGGAAATATTACTTTTTTTGCTCCATATTGACATGATAGAGTCCACTTTCACCGTCACCCAAGAGTGATGGTGTGGGGAAGCCCCAGAGAAGCATCCCACCCAGACTGTTGCTTGCGCAGAGTGAAGCATAGGGGTGGATCAGTGATGGTTTGGGGTGCAATATCATTCCCTAATCCCAACACTTGTGCTAGATGAGCGCATCACTCCCAAGGACTACAGAATCATTCTAGAGGACCATATGCACACTATGCTTCAAACACTGTGTCCTGAAGGTGGTGGCGTGTATCAGGATGATAATATACACAGCAAGACTGGTGACAGAGTGGTTTGAACGTGAAAGTGAAGTGGAACATCTCTCATGGCCTGCACAGTCACCCGAACTGGCAGCAAAAGGAGGCCCTGCACTATACTAATGGCCAGGTGTTTCAGTTTCATCGTCCAACCCCTGTATACACAAGCACTTTTTCCTGACATGAGTGGGTTCAATAATGTAAATAGCTTTTTAAATAGGCTTTATGTTATAGCAAACAATATGCTGTTTTATTTGTGTGTGTTAGTTCCTAAGAGTGTGCATTAGCTAATAAGCATTAGTCAATATTAAAGTGCGTTAGTTGTTAAGAGTGTGTAATAATTTATAGCATGTATTATTAGGTAATAAGAGCATGTGTTAGTTATTAAGAGTGCATTAGTGCTTTAATTAATAATAGTGTGTATTAGTTAATAATAGTCGCTGTGCTCCTGCAGGACAGTGGTGCGGGATGCTGCCTGATAAAGATGGACTGAATGGAGGTGGAGGAGTGCAGGACGGCCCCTCAGCTGAAGACCCTTCAGTGACTCTGTTCAGAGAATACCTGCGCTTGAAGACCGTCCATCCAGAGCCAGACTACGGTACCTGACAGAGTCATACACACAGAACAATGAGTGTTTTCCAGCATCTCGCTGCAGGTTTATGACGGCTGATAACCCTTTGGAGTAAATGTTCACTCCTGTGCTGTTTAAAGCCACTTAAACTCTGCGGACCGGGTCCGTGACATCATCGACTTTCGCTTTAAGATTTAAAGGGCTAGCACTGCACCAGACCCCCGTAAGTAGCTTCGTTTGAAAGTGTAGAATCTATATTTTATGCACATATGCATCACTTTGGTTTTTATTCTACTGTACAAAAGTTATTTACACTTAAATACACAGTATTTAATACTGCAGCTGGAAGGGCATCTGCTGCGTAAAAACGTGCTGGATTATTTGGTGGTTCATTCCGCTGTGGCGACCCCGGATTAGTAAAGGGACTAAGCCGACAAGAAAATGAATGAATGAATAATCATGTACACTATCTGAACTAAAGCTAAAAAGGATGTCACCTCGGTGTTACCTTTTGAAAAGATACCTTTAGGTACAATATAGTGCAGTGACAAATGTTCATTAGTTTGGGTGAAAAAAAATCAAAACAGTGTCTGACATTTTCGTCAAAGTAGCTGGATAGAATCAGAAAAGTTGGTTTTGTAGCTCTTCAAGACTGAAAAGAATCACGTCAGGGATCAGTCTAATAACTCAATGTCAATCAATCTTTCAGATGCTGCTCTGAAGTTCCTGGAGCGGATGGCGGATGAGCTCGCTTTACCCATGCAGAAAGTGGAGGTAATGAGTCACTCTAGCATATTACACTAGAAATAATGGTGCTGAACTGTAGTAAATTTGGGTTCTCCAGCTTGTAACATTATCAGAATACTTTTATGCCTCTATATAGAACCCTTTTCATCAGAATCATCCTTTGAAAATGATATCTAGGACCTAAATTAAAACATGTTTTTTAATGAACTGTTTTATTATTATTGTCATTTAACCGGGTTGAAAAAGAGTCGGCAAATAAAGAACCCATTTGATGCTTTGTCAGTTACAAATTTTTAAAAAGGCGGTAAATAAAGAACCCATTTGGTGCTTTGTCAGTTTCAAATTTGAAAAAAGGCGCCAAATAAAGCACCTATTTGGTGTTTTGTCAGTTACAAATTTTTAAAAAGGCGGTAAATAAAGAACCCATTTGGTGCTTTGTCAGTTACAAATTTGAAAGAAGGCGCTAAATAAAGAACCTTTTTGGTTCTTTGTCAGTTACAAATTTGAAGAAGGCGGTAAATAAAGAACCCATTTGGTGCTTTGTCAGTTACAAATTTGAAAGAAGGCAGTAAATAAAGAACCCATTTGGTGCTTTGTCAGTTTCAAATTTGAAAAAAGGCGCCAAATAAAGCACCTATTTGGTGTTTTGTCAGTTACAAATTTTTAAAAAGGCGGTAAATAAAGAACCCATTTGGTGCTTTGTCAGTTACAAATTTGAAAGAAGGCAGTAAATAAAGAACCCATTTGGTGCTTTGTCAGTTACAAATTTTTAAAAAGGCGGTAAATAAAGAACCCATTTGGTGCTTTGTCAGTTACAAATTTGAAAGAAGGCGGTAAATAAAGAACCCATTTGGTGCTTTGTCAGTTACAAATTTTTAATTAAAAAGGCGGTAAATAAAGAACCCATTTGGTGCTTTGTCAGTTACAAATTTGAAAGAAGGCAGTAAATAAAGAACCCATTTGGTGCTTTGTCAGTTACAAATTTGAAAACAGGCGCCAAATAAAGCACCTATTTGGTGTTTTGTCAGTTACAAATTTTTAAAAAGGCGGTAAATAAAGAACCCATTTGGTGCTTTGTCAGTTACAAATTTGAAAGAAGGCGCTAAATAAAGAACCCATTTGGTGCTTTGTCAGTTACAAATTTGAAAGAAGGCGCTAAATAAAGAACCTTTTTGGTTCTTTGTCAGTTACAAATTTGAAGAAGGCGGTAAATAAAGAACCCATTTGGTGCTTTGTCAGTTACAAATTTGAAAGAAGGCGGTAAATAAAGAACCCATTTGGTGCTTTGTCAGTTACAAATTTGAAAAAAGGGGTAAATAACGAACCTTTTTGGTGCTTTGTCAGTTACAAATTTGAAAAAAGGCGCCAAATAAAGCACCTATTTGGTGTTTTGTCAGTTACAAATTTGAAAGAAGGCTGTAAATAAAGAACCCATTTGGTGCTTTGTCAGTTACAAATTTAAAAAAAGGCACTAAATAAAGAACCCATGAGCTGCTTTGTCAGTTACATATTTAAAACACAAAAAGGCGGGAAATAAAGAAATCTAAACTCACAGAAATAACGGCATAATTTCAGCATAAAGCAGTTCTTTGTGAAAATACAGTTTTAAATCGAGCTGTTACTAAGTGCAGAGAACCTTTTAATACTCATCTATTTTAGCGTGTCCATCTTGTTCTTGTTCACACAATAATCTCTCAGGTGTGTCCCGGTCGAGTGGTTGCCATCATCTCCTGGATCGGCTCAAGGCCGGAGCTCAAGTCTGTGGTGCTGAACTCACACACTGATGTGGTTCCTGTGTATGAGGTAAAGCTGAAACACATCCGTCTCTGCACTGATTAACAACACGTCACATCACTGTCTGTGCCTCTTCTGCAGGAGCACTGGAAACATCATCCATTCGCTGCTGTGAAAGATGCGGACGGCAACATCTACGCCAGAGGAGCTCAGGATATGAAATCCGTCACCATACAGTGAGTTTAACGGCAATACTGTTTGCTTTAAGCAATTGTGATATTTAGTTCTGATAAATTACAGATCATATAGCAAGTGTTCGCATTCATTTTCTCCTGCAGGTACATTGAAGCCATTCGCAGACTGAAGGCGGCTGGGAATAGATTTTCTCGAACCATCCACTTAACATTTGTCCCAGGTCAGACCTCACCATAATCTTTTCATTCATTTGTTAAAGCATCCTTATGTAGATTTATGTACTGAACTGAATTAGTTTTGTTCAACGAAAGCGGAAACACTTCATAACCAATTGACTTCAGGTCTTATGTGATTTTTGGCATAGTATTATATTGTTGTAAAGTACAATTGGGGCTGCACAATATATAATTTCAGCATAACACAATGTGCAATAGTCCAATCGCAGTATCTGCGACGTTGAATCAGTATTATAATTGACCAGCAGCCACATCTAAATCTAGTGATTTATGGAGTCACTGGAAAGTTTAACCACAAAGTTACCAAAACATTTATTATTTTATGAGTGTTTATTTTTTAAATCAGTTCAAAGTATTCAGGTATTAGAAATTACCTAACTTTAAGAAAGATTAATTGTATTTATGTACAGCAGGGGTCTCAAACTCTCGGTCTGAGGGATGATAGTTTGTGGCCCCTGCCTTAATTTGAAAGTTTAATGTTTTGATATGTGTAGCACTTTACAGTTTTGTGCATGGAGCTTAACAAACCCACCAATCACGGTGGGGTATATGGCTCTCAGGGGCGGGACATCGGTTAATGTCGTCTGCAGTCACATATCGACACCTGTCCATCGCCAATAAGAGTCCCCGGTAACCCAGACAAATTATAGAGTCGCACCGTTATTTGTGCGTCATTTGCATTGCGCTAACTGCATTGTATTTTCATTGCCTCACACAATAAATATCACATATATTTATATGATGTAAAAGTAGTCAAAACAAATGACAACAACACAGTCTTGCTTCTTTTTCCTTTAACAACAGAACGGCGGACAATAGTAAATCTAGTTATTATTATTAATACTATTTAATACTGATTGATTTATTTTCTTATTCATTTTTTTTTTTTCATCGTATTTTGTGTTAAAAAATCCAATCTTATCACAAAATAGGGTGAAAAAAATAAACAAATAAAAAAATTATAATTAGCAAAATAATTAATTACTTGTGGGAAACCTGATGTGGCCCAGCCTCAGCCAGGCCCCCAGGTAAATTGAGTTTCACAATTTATACTCAATATTGCAATATATTGTAGAATTTTTTTACAGCCCTAAAATGGTATTTTGAATGTTCTTGACAGATGAGGAGGTCGGTGGGGAAAAAGGAATGAAAGCGTTTGTGAAGCATCCAGAATTTCAGAAGCTGAACATCGGATTTGCTCTTGACGAAGGTAAATTCAGAGTGTAAACTCAGTCTTTTAGTTCCTGTAGTCACTTTTCAAACATGTAGACTTGCTTTTAAGTAACAATTACACCATTTTAGTATCACTCGAACAGGTAGATGCAGTCAATATACCTCATGTAGATTTGAATAACTATCTGGTGGGATGTTGTTACAAACAAAATAATAATCATGCAATATCATTATTATAGCATCCTAAACACAAATGCAAAACCATTTACTCATATTTTTTTTCAGGATTGGCAAACCCCACCAATGCTTATACTGTATTCTATGGGGAAAGAAACCTCTGGTGTGAGTATTACCTTTGTGTGTGTTTGTGTACTGGTTTTGGTGGTGTATAAGGACAGAAATTTGTATGTTGACATGGGTATGACCTAGTTGTAGTCTATTGTGGTGGTTTATGAGGACATGCCTGGTGTCCTTGTAATTCAAAACACTTAAAAATCATATTTGGTGTCGTCTTTTGACTTTCAAATTTTGCCACGAGTTTTAAAAAAGTAGTGTTTTTTATAGTATAAACTACATTACGCCTTTGGGAAGTCCCTGTAAACCACCAATACCAACAGGTGTGTGTGTTTATATGTTAATAATGTGTGCTCTGTCCTGCAGGGATCACCGTTCGCTGTCCTGGAAGTCCAGGTCATGGTTCCAGGTTTGTGGAAAACACAGCAGCAGAGAAATTAGTGAGTGTTCAGAGAATAATCTAGTAAACGTGAGTAAATCTGGAGCTGCAGGCAGATGATGTGAAGTGTAATTTCACCGTTCCTTTTAAAAAGGCCTATATTTTTTGTCTATTAGATTTTATCTTTCGCTTTATTTTTTATATTGACATAAAAATTATTTGTATTATTATTATTATTATTATTATTATTATTATTATTATTATTATTATTATTATCAGCATTATTGCATTTTTCTTAGTATCATTATTAAAACTAAATAAAGATGATAATAATAATAATAAAATGAAAAAAATAATAATAAAAAAATAACAATAATAAAGTTGGTGCCAGTATGATTACTAAATGTTTTAAAATATATTCTTATTATATTCTTATATATGTTTAAATATATTTTTTATTGAGCAAGAATGATGTAAATTGATTGATAATAGTAATAGTGTAATATAACTTTACAAAAATTAGATTTTAAATAAAAGCTGTTGATCTGTTAAGAAACACTCCTGTTAAAGGTTTCACATTTTCACAAAAATATTAAAAAGCACCATTGTTTTTAATGTTTATAAAAATTAGCAGAATTTATTATTATTTTATCCTCAAGTCACCATATTTGCACTTAAGACTGCTCAGTTTCAGCTTTAAATCACAAAAATAAATTACATTTTGAAAATACACTTACACATTTACAGTTTTAGTAAGTGTACTTAATGAATTTTGACATGTCTGTTTCTCCACAGCGGCGAGTTATAAACTCCTTCCTGGAGTTCAGAGAGAAAGAGAATCAGCGGTGAGATTTCCTCAGAAGTTGACTTTTATTTAAAGCAGAGCTGTTGAACATGAAGAAACACTGGTGTGTGTGTGTGTGTGTGTGTGTGTGTGTGTGTGTGTGTGTGTGTGTGTGTGTGTGTGTGTGTGTGTGTGTGTGTGTGTGTGTGTGTGTGTGTGTGTGTGTGTTTTCAGACTGAACACCAGTGAGTGTTTTACTCTGGGAGACGTCACCACTATTAACATGACCATGGTCAAAGGAGGCGTCGCTTATAATGTGGTTCCTGCAGAAATGGACGTCAGCTTTGACTTGAGAATCCCTCCTACTGTTAACCTGCAGGTCTGTGTGATTTCATTCATTCATCCATCTATCTTTTCATTCATTCATTCATTCATTCATTCATCCATTCATTCATCAATCCATCTTTTTATTCATCCATTTATACAATCATTCATGCATTTACCCATTCTTCCGTCTAGTCATTCATCCATTTATCCATCCATTCATTTATCCATATGCATATGCATGATGCCTATTCTTACATGCATTCATACATCTATTCATTCAAACATTCATACACCAAATCATTAATTCATCCTACTATATATTCATTCATCCATTTATCCATCTATGCATCCATTCATTCAACTTTCACCCATACATCTATTCGTTCATCCAATCATTCATGTTAGTTCATGCATTCATTCATCCATTTATTCATTCATTCAATATTTATTAATGTAACGTTTATTCAGCAATTCATTCATCCGCCCATTCATTCATCCACCCATTCATTCATCCATGCATTCATTCAACATCCATCCATACATACATCAATTTATTCATCCATCCATTCATACATTCATTCATGCAACCATCTATCCATTCATCCATCCATCCCCCATCTATTTATTCATCCATTAATTCAATTATCTATCGATTTATTCATCCATCAATTTATTAATCCATTCATTCATTTATACATCCATTTATCCATCAATCCATCCATCTATTCATTCATACATCTATGCATCTATTCATTTAACTTTCATCCATCCATTTTTACTCTTAATTCATTCATTCATCCATCTGTTCGTTCATGCATTCATTCATCGATTTATTTAGTTATTCAATATTCATTAATTTAACATTTATTCATCCATTCATTTATCAATCCATTCATCCATCCGCCAATTCATTCATCCATGCATTCATTCAACATCCATAAATTTATTCATCCATCAATTTATTAATCCATTCATTCATTTATTCATCCATTTATACATCTATGCATCTATTCATTCAACTTTCATCCATTCATTTTTACGTTAATTCATTAATTCATTCGTTTGTTCATTCATGCATTCATTTATGCATTTATTAATTCCTTTAACATTCATTTATCCATCTATACGTCAATCTATTCATTCATCCATCCATGCATTCATTCAACATTCATCCATCCATCTATTCATTCATCTATCAATTCATTCATCCATCAATCCATTCATTCATTCGGTTTTTTTGTTCATGCATTCATTAATCTATTCATTCATCCATTTATTAATTCCTTTAACATTCATTCATCCATCTATACATCAATCTGTTCATTCATCCATGCATTTATTCTACATTCATCCATCCATTCTTCCATCTATTCATTCACTCATTTATTCATCCATCCATCAATCCATTCATTCATTCATCAAACCATTTATTCATTCATTAATTTATTCATCAATCCATTTATTCATTTATTCATTCATTCATCCATCAATTTGCTTTAAACTGAATGACACTATTTACATCAAGTGTCAGCTCTAATCCACTTCATCTTGCAGGAGTTTGAAGAACAGATTAAAGTCTGGTGTCGAGAAGCCGGTGAAGACGTGACTTATGACTTTGCGCAGGTCAGATTTATTTTTACACGACACACTATTCCAGTTGCAGTGATCTCTGCTTGTTTCATGTAGACTGATTTTCATTATTTTCTCTTCAGAAAAACACAGACCAGAACTTGACATCCACTGATGAGAGCGACCCCTGGTGGCAAGCCTTCAGCTCCACCTGTAAAGCAATGTGAGGGAAACCACACTCAGTTTTGTGAGCATGCATTTCTTCACAGACCTGTGTGAGACTTTCTGCATCTCCTGACAGGAACATGACTCTGAAAAAGGAAATCTTCCCTGCGGCCACAGACAGTAGCTTCATTCGGGAAGTAAGTCAGTTTCACTTTCGTCTTTAAGATTCAACAACCACAGTAATGACAAATACAGTGCTAATATATTTAGATTATATTACATTTTCTAGTTTAGGTATAGAGTTTTCTTTTAGTTTGGCTGGAATAAAAATATATGTTTAAAAATGTAAAACATTTGTAATGAAGTTTACGGCCCTTTGGCTGCCGGGAAGAAGGAGGCGGAGAACCGACGCAGTTTTAAAATATTTATTAGTAAAAACAATAAGAAAATAATAAAACAAAAGTAAAACAATATGTCCGGGCCAGGTCCTTTCTCGGCTTCCTCTGCCATCGTTCCTCCTCTTATAGTCCAGAGCTTCTTCCGTGGGACTCGAGGCCGGTGCGCGCCACAGGTGTATCCACTTACGTGGCGGCCTCATTCCGTTCCCATGGCTCTCGGCCCCGCCCCCTCGCCACAACATTTAATTGTAAACTGTAAATATTATCAGATGCGTTTTTTGTTAGTCAGTCATTTCTTAAACAAGAAGATCGAATACGTGAGTGGAACGAAGTGCATTCGAATGAAAGTTGATCCCATTCTTCAGAGTTTCAACATCTGGCAAACAGCCGTCTCCACAAGGACCAACACTATACCTCCATATTGTTTTATATTTGCTGTGGACTGCGCCGCCTGTGTACGTACTCTAATAGAATAAGAAGTCTTATCAGGTGTGTCTTCAAACTCTCCCAGTGAGTGATCGTACAGGTGCGGATATATCTGCACCAGCTCTGCTACTCTACTCTCCAGTGTGTTCATGTGGCTAGTGTTGTTGTTTGGGATATTAGTCTCCAGTCTGCTCTCTGTGGATTGAGAAACAAATTGTGGAAAAAAATTGCAGGTCTAAGAAGGGGGATTTTCAGAAACATGCCCACTGATTGTGTAATCATTACTGACCAATGGCAGCACAAATATGTATAGGAGCTTTGTCCATCAAAAAGTCGGCTTTGTGATGTATCGAACTGCCAAAACTAACTCAAAAAGAACTTAATTTTGGCCTCATTTGGTTGGAAATTATGTAATTTCAGAGTTTGTGTGATGTATGGTGTCTTTAAATGGCAGCTGCACCACTGTGTGACGTCACATGACCTTTATGAATTAAAATGGTTGTCAATTGTTGTCTTTTTTTTGCAGGTGGGTCTTCCTGCCTTTGGTTTCTCTCCAATGAATCTCACCCCCATCCTGCTTCATGATCACAACGAGTACCTGAACGAGCAGGTGTTTCTGCAGGGCATCCAGGTGTACGAGCGGCTCATTCCTGCTCTCGCCGATGTGGCTCCGCTGAGTGGAGAACTGTAGATTCACGCACTCATGCACACTGCCATAACATAACTGATCATATGAGCTGATCCCATATAAACGAGATCATCATTTTACGTTCGCTTTAACTCAGGAGTCCCTGTCTTTCAATAATGTCTTGCATATGCTTTTAATGCCGAGTTCAGACTGCATGATTTTCAAACTAGTCGTGTCACAGATGTTTTCACACTGCATGACTATCTGGGCTAGCGTTTCGTCGCTGCTTTGTTTACTATACTGACTTTACTATAGGGAGAATCGCCGACAACTTCGTCCAAACTACGTCTCACAGCCAAAAACATGTCGTATATCTTTTGTTATTAACTACATAATAAGAAAGAAGCCTTTAATGGGGTAGAACATGTCCATGTTTGCTCACCTGGGTTTAAAGGGAATTAGCCATTTCTCCTCAACGTTGATAATAAACTAATTTATTTCTGTATGAAACGTCAAACAGACACGGTTGCTCCTGAGTCCTGTCAAACCTCCACTAGTTTTTCCTCCATTTCGTGGGTCCAAATAAACCGAAAATGAGCGCTTTGAACTTCTCCCCCAGCCTCCCGCTGGCCTGCAGCAGGTATACACACACGCACTCACAAGTGAATGCCGCTCTCTTATTGGCTGTAGGCGATCGCTGACGTTATTTTCAGTCAAAACTCAATTCACACGGCAGGATTTGAATCGCCGACAGCTCCAGATATTCAGCATGCCAAATATCTCACAGGCATCGGCGACTCATCGGTGATTCTCTCAGATCGCGTCTTTCATAGTTCATACTGTGTGATTGTCACTCACGTGCACGAGCAGCGATTTGCCTGTGATTTCAGGCATTTGTCGGCGATTTCTCAAAACCTGTCGGCGAGCCAAAATCGGGGCTAAAATCACGCAGTCTGAACTAGGCATAAGTCTGATTTGTTTGCTGATAATCACAGTTAGAAGCTGCTTTAAACCATCTCAATTCATAAAGTTTGTAAATTTGACGCACCAAAGTAATGATGGCCTCAGATATCAGAAAATGTTTTCAGAGACTCAAACGGTGTAGCTGTGCTTGCCATATATGCATTCAATTTTTAATACAGATGATTTTGATGCAATTGTATGGTTATATACTGAACATATGTATGGGTCATGTATAAGGAGACTTATATTATACTATACTACAAAGTTAGACTGAAACACACCTCATGATTTTAAGCGTTATGAATTTTGACTTTGCCTTCCTGATTAAATAAAAGTAAAATGGTAGCATGTATATAGCGTCCACAAAACGGCAGGAGAAGACAAGGCAAGGCAGGTATTATTAGTCCCTCTGATTTATTAGCCCCCTGTTTATTTTATCCCCAATTTCTGTTTAAAGTTGAGCAGATTTTTTTCAACACATTTCTAATCATAATAGTTTTAATAACTCATCTCTAATAACTGATTTTTGTTTATCTTTGCCCAGTAGATCAGCAGTTTCTGAAAGACCTGTCTGGCAGCAACAACCATGCCACGTTCAAAGTCACCTTTCTTCTCCATTCTGATACTCAGTTTGAACTGCAGCAGACCGTCTTGATCATGTCTACATGCATAAATGCATGTAGTGGTTGGCTAATTAGAAATTTGCGTTAGCGAGCAGTATGCGTGCACACATATTCACACATACACACAATGTTTTAAGCCAATAATGTTTTAAACAAGCCAACAGTTGTTAAATAATGTACGACAGTATAAGGGCAAAGAGTGTGATTTCAGACACAGACTCTGAGATTCAATTCAGTGTCAGGTTTACTGCTGTTGGCTACTCTCAAAAACATGTATTACCCATAATGCATTGTTTTCTATAGCATAGCGCTCTTTTATAAAATAAAGAAAAACAGTATTGTACTTTAGAGCTTTGTCCTCAGTATCAATAGCTGTTATGCAAACAACTGATGACAATTCTTTCAAGATTTAAGTAATCAATAGCCATGATTTTCAAACACACCAAATTATTTATACGTTTTTTTTCAACACCCATACATTCTCATTCACCTTCATACACTACGGACAATTTAGCTTACCCAATTTACATGTACCTTATGTCTTTGGACTTGTGGAGGAAACCGGAGCACCCGGAGGAAACCCACGCGAATGCAGGGAGAACATGCAAACTCCACACAGAAATGCCAACGGACCCAGCCGAGGCTCAAACCAGTGACCTTCTTGCTGTGAGGCGAGAGCGCTACCCACTGTCACCCACACCAAATTATAACGTTTTTTATTTACTAGGCTATATATTCTCGAAATAGACTGATATACAATACAATATATAATAATATACAGATTACTCATGTAAGACTACATGTACAGCTGTAATGTTTTACTGACTACTAAACGGTAAGATCCTGAGAGAGGAACGCCAACAATAGATAAATGGAAACACAGTGTCAGTGAAGGTGGTTGTGTAAGTGTGTAGATGTTCGTTATTTACAGGATCAGAGAAAGACACTGTTCCTCTGTCATAATCCAGATCAACTCGCACTCGATCAAGATCTGATCCACAAAAACCAGTCGCTAACAATCCATGTGCATAATAATACACACTCCAGACATCAGAGTTTAAGAAAACCTGGCCCTTCCTCTGGTTTGATGCTGTTGTTACTCCAACTCTCCACTCAAAACTCCTATTAACCTCCACGTCCCAGCAGTGTTTTCCTGAGTTAAAACCCTCTGAACCCAAAACAAAAGGGTAATAGTCGAATCTCTCTGGATTATCAGGAACTGGTTGTTTGTTCTCGCTGAACGTCACACTGGTCAGATCATCAGACACAACAAACTCTGGATATGCTGTGTTTGGATCCAGAATGACAGGAGCTGAGGAGACACAACCAGTTGTTTATTTTAATTTTATTCTAAATAATGATAATCATTAATAACCTTTAATAAACAGTTCAAATGTTTATCTATGAACATCTCTGATGTGAGTTATTGAAGTAGCTTCTTCTGGAGAACATCATTGTCTGAAAAAGCCCTCATCATAGGTTTCTTGACTGGAAAAATAAAAATAAACACAGCAGCTCTTCTTTAAAATGGCAACTTAAAGGGCCATGAAACCCTCTCGTTTCAGCAGGGTGTTTTCACACCTCTACTTTGGGAAAAAGTCAGAAAAGTGGGCGTGTCCAGCTCTGTTTAGGGGGGAGTGTCGGAGGAAGAAAAGAGGCTTGGTGTGGGAGTGTCTATTTGGGCACGCTGAATTTCAGAGTCAAAACACACACACACACCGGGGACAAAGTGACTGTGTTTACATGGACATCTGTAGTCGAATTATTTGCCAAATTATTGAATGGTGGACTTTAACTGCAGTTTGGCTCTTTCATTCAGGGAATTCATTCATGTCCCTCCCGACAAACGTGATATTTGATTCGAGGAACTGCTCTAAGCGTGTATTTTTCATGCAATGTTTGATACCGCACGGCGAATGAGAGAAAAAAACCCTCCGCATTTCCCGGAAACTTAGATGCACACGGCAGGTAGAGTCAGAAAGTCGCGTGTGTTATTCCGGTCACAAAATCCAACACGAGGTTATAGTTTGGTTGTAACTGTTAGTGCTAACTATTGCACTCGGTGCAATAGTTTGTTTTATACGAATAAAATACGAACTGAGTAAACAAAGAGCACTGGTCGCTCACTTACCAAATCTGTAGAGACAGGACAATCACCAGCAACTAGAGCCGCGTCTTTATGGAGAGAAGACTACAAGCGAATCCGGATCTCAGCGTTTGCAGATGAGAACAGCTCTCAGGTAAACAATAATCCTCCTTAGACATGTAAGTTATTGTTGTCGAGCGTCGCGTACACTGTTAATCCACACGTGACTCCAGCTGCGCTCTCACAGAGAGAAAATGAAAACAAAACTTAACTGCAGCAAACTATAAAGCAACACTTCACGCTTGTTTTGCCAACACAACGTGGCGTCTCTGTCATCTAAACACTGTGACAGTAATGAATATTAATGAAGTTGCACAATAGAGCGCGCTGATTGGTTTGAACCAAGCCTTACTCATGCATTAATGCAGCACACTGTAAGACGTAATAAGACACACTCTGGCACAGACGCCCAGTCTGCATGCTGGAATACACACTATTATGTCATGACCGTGACGCAGCTTCAAAAATTTGTTTCAAACCGGAAGTACGAATTTGCTTGAAATAACGCAAAAACAACCAATTTACACTTTTTAGTGAAATATAGGTGTCCTAATAGTGTTTTTAGCAGTGTGGGACACATATACGACTGTCAACAGCTCAACACATGTGTTTTGGTGTTTCGTGACCCTTTAAGAATGTTTATGAGTGCAGTTCCTGAAAAAGCCTTCCAAAAATGAAGAACAGCTTAAGAAATGTTCATTTACCTGCAGTTGTCTGATTCTACTACTGTTTCCACTAGTCACGAGGTTGACTTGTTTAGAGTTACACCCCAAATTGAAAAGGGGTTCGGGAGTTTCTTTCACTGATTTACTTTTGCTTCATAAGACCTTGATCCATCATCAGAAGTCATCGGTATTAATTTTGACGTTGTTGTTGTTTGTTGTATGTATTATATCATGGGTTTGCACTGGGTGCCCCAGTTACCCCCACAGTCCAAAGACATGTGCTGTAGGTGAACTGGGTATGCTTAATTATCCGTAGTGTGAAGCCTCCTTTCCACTGCACACGACAAACAACAAGAAACAGACTGGAAGTCATTCATTTCCAATGGAGAGTAGTCCGGGAGATCCGTGGAGCTCCTATCATCTCCGGAAAATTCGGATTCGATTTAAGCTGTGGATCCGTTGAAATGTTTGAACTCCTGCGACTAGATCGTATGCAACCGGCTGACCGGATGTGATGTATTCCAGAGTTGCTCAAGCAGGTCCGTGCGCGCGAGATGAGAAATAGGAGTTTATTTGGTTATTTTTTGAATCAGAAAAAGTCTATATTTAAAAAAAAAACACATTTCTATTTATAAATGTAAGCAATAAAGTAATAAAAATGTAATGTTTTATGTTGTCTCCACATTCCCTCCAATATTTTTAGCGATCCGAGTTTCTAGTATTCATTCATTCATTTATTCAACCGCGTAGAATTGCTTACGCACTCCTTTATTTCGGAGTCGGACACTGCGAGAACAGCTTCTCCCCCATGGTACACGTTCATTCATTCATTTTCTTGTCAGCGTAGTCCCTTTATTAATCCGGGGTCGCCACAGCAGAATGAACCGCCAACTTATCCAGCAAGATTTTTACGCAGCGGATGCCCTTCCAGCCGCAACCCATCTCTGGGAAGCATCCACACACACACACTCATACACTACGGACAATTTAGCCTACCCAATTCACCTGTACCGCATGTCTTTGGACTGTGGGGGAAACCGGAGCACCCAGAGGAAACCCAGGCGAAGGCAGGGAGAACATGCAAACTCCACACAGAAACGGTAACTGAGCCGAGGTTCGAACCAGCAACCTTCTTGCTGTGAGGCGACAGCACTACCTACTGCCACTGCCTCGCCCTCCATGGTGCACGTCAGAACTGAAAATTCTGTGCGACTGCCACAAGGGGGCGTATTCCGACAGTCGTGTCCAAATGTCGTGTGCAGTGGAAAGGCGGCTTATTGTGTATGTATTGGTCCTCAAGGTAGGGGGTTAAGCGTTGGGCTAACAATCCACCTCATAAAAACTAGATGTTACGAAACACCAATATGGTGCGGCTAAATATCAACTTCGATTTAAATGGCCCTCAAAGTAAGTAAGTTATTTAATATATGAAGAGTTTAGATGCAAAACCCTCTAAATCCATCAGACATCTTTTCTTGTAATTGAGCATTTTCTATCAGGCTTTTGTAATTAGGTTTAGAGGTTTTATTTTATGGTAAATAAAATAGCTTTTTTTTTTTTTTTAAATGTCACTTTAGACAATTCTTTGTCCAAACTCAAGTCTTAAACTGTTAATACCCAAATAGCAATGACTCACTGTACTGGACAATGTCCTGCATCTTCTTCCAGACTCTGAACGGCAGGTTGCCCAAGTAGCGAGACACATGAATCAAAGCTCCAGAAGGCATCTGTGGATCCGGCTGTGAGATCTGGACTCTGGAGGAACATTCAGGAGTCAGAACTGCAGTGGCTTTGACTTCAGAAGCAGAGAAACCAGCAGATCACTCACCTTTCCATTGAGACTGGAAACTCCTGCAGAACAAACACACAACTGATCATCAACAACTCAATCAATCATCAATCAATCAATCACTGATCTGAAATCAGACCTTCAGAAAGCAGACGTCATTGGCTTTCAGCATCTCCTCCGTGTCTTTGATCGTGTGTGAAAGAGCTGAGATGTGTGTGTTCATCTCCTCCAGCTTCTCCTTCATCATCTGCTTCTTCTGCTCCTCTTCCTCCCTCAGTGCAGTGATCGTAGCTTCTTCTTCATCTCGGAGAAACTGATGAAGCTTCTTAAACTGCTGTTTAATCTGACGCTCTGTGTGCTCAGCTTGAGCCTGAAATCAAACCACATTCACTTCAGTCATCTCAGACGCTTTCTGGAGCAGCAGAAGACTGATGGTGGAAATGTGGGTTAGTGAACTACAGATGGCAGGTGATTGGTTAAACACCAACTGCATGCTCTTGACAAAATTGTTGTTTTTAGGTATTTCGCCATGCAACTTGCTAGATCAAGAATAATGGTCAGACATCAAGAAGTCTACATTCACAGACATCCCAAGTCTTCTTCGAGGACCACTAGGAAACACCCATACATGTCTTTGGACTGTGAGGGAAACCGGAGCACCCGGAGGAAGCCCACGCCAACACAGGGAGAACATGCAGACTTCACACAGAAATGGCAACTGACCAGGCTGGGCTTGAACCAGGGACTTTCTTGCTTTGAGGCGACAGTGCTAATCACTGAGCCACCATGCCACCCCTGACATGATTGATGGTTAGAGTCAGTTTTAAAACCTTCATTTTTTTATTGCATGGCATCTGTTTTGGAGAGGCTTTAAGGAAACAGGAGAGACCAGAAGGTCCAAACATGCTGAATTAGAGCTCAATGAGGAAATCAGGAGATCAGAAAATGAAATGAACAAACAAATCATTGGAAAAATTCATAATAAAATCCACTTTTTTCCCCAAATAAAATATCCATCCTTACCTTGATGTGTTGAACACTTTTCTCAAACTCTTCTTTTATATTTTCATTGTGTTTAAGTTTCTCCTGTAAGGACTTCAGTGCTGTATTGAGCTCCTCCTAGAATTTAAAGGAAAAGTCTGTAAGATACTATAGATTTATTTAATCAAAACAATACAAATTAAAATGATACACTCCCGCTATAATATATATATATATATACAAACAATTCTGTCTGGTTCTTGAATCTGATTGGCTGATAGCCGTGCGATCTTTTGCCAGTAACATCACGCTAAGGCCTCTTCACCCTTCACCTCTGTGTATTACTCCGCCCACATACAGCAAGCAACAAGCAGAGGCGCTACAGTTTGACCAATATTACTGTTGTTAGACAACAAAATGTACTTTTGAGGCTTTTTAGTGGAGAATGTTGTTGTTCAGATTGCAACTATGCAGTTTATTTATAAGAATAGTGCCTATTTTAAAATATTTACAGCTCTTAGAGCTCGTCGGCAGCGGTTGATGTTGTCTATCCACAAGATGGCGCCAGAACCGCATAATAACCCTTTGCTCAGTGTGTTATCTTGCGCCAAATAAAAAGCTCAAAAACGGAAGCCTCGTGGTTTTTAAGGTGGACCGGATGAGTCAATAAGAAGCTGCGAATAAGAAGCTGGATTAAGCCTCGTCCCTCCTTATCGCAAACACAACAGCAGTCTGGTGAGAAATCTCTGAGACATTAATGTATATTTATCTTTATATTATTTAGTCTTTGGAATGCTTGATTCTGATCGGTCAATCACAAAATTCAGAGCTAAATTTTTCCCAGAAAGCAACTGATTAAACTGATAGCACAAGCTCATCTGGGTACCACCAATCATATTAGCCATTAGTGAATATATTTATATACATATTTATATTTTTTGCAGAATAAAGCCATTCAGTCTTATACAACAATATACTGCAGGAACACCCATATATAATACACATCTTTTATTATATTGTTTTAATTATGTTTGATTATTTTGGCCATTTTTATTAGCATATATAATTCTTACCATATTTTCTGCAGCCATTTCACTGAGGGGTCTGAATGTGTGACCGAGGTGTTTCTCTGAATCTCTGCACACTAAACACACAGGCTGTTTGTCCTCCAGACAGAAGAGTTTGAGTTTCTCACTGTGTAAACTGCAGATCTCCTCAGATCCTGATGAACGTCTCTCATTTCTCTCCTTCAGGAACGACTCACACAAGTTTTTTAAAGCCAGATTAACTGGAAGATCTTTTTTAGAGGATCTTCTCCTGCAGACGGGACACTCCTGAGTATTCTTGCTTCTCCAAAACTGTTGAAGACACTCTTTACAGAAACTGTGAGTACATGATAAAATAACTGGAGTCTTAAAGATGTCATGACACACAGGACAACTATAATCATACTCAGCTGATGAAGCCATTTTACTGCTGCATGTTCAGAAACAAACTGATCTGTTCATAAGCGATTGTTGATTCCCTGTTTGATTTTGTCCAGAAATCCAGAGTAAAAGTCAGTTTGACAGAAAATGGTGAAAAAAGGAGTCTCTTCCTGGTCCATGTGTTTCAGTGGGTGAAGTTTATGATCGTCTTCAGCTTGTGAAACTGGTCAAACAGGAACATCAGAACAAATTGCACTCACGTACACGTGTAATTTAAAATTAAAAACGAAACACAAATACTGTCCTTTATTTTCAACACTTTTATTTGATTAACTGCTGAAGTCACATTAATTAACAGGCTCCTGCTTATCAGCTGATTGTTAGTGTTTGGGGAGCAGAAATCTCACTGATTTCAGCATCTTCTGCAGTGGTTTAATGCTGTATTTGTGAAGGTCTATGAGAGATCCATTACAATAATTCACCTACTGCTAATAAAAGCATGAAGCAGCTCTACCCAGGGCTTAATTTGTACCGGAACACGCCAGATCCAAATCTGATCTGGCACCTCATTTTACTGATCCCCCTCCTCAACCGCCCTCCTCCCCTGTTCACCTTCTTCTGCGACTCCCCAACCCTCTTCCCTTTCATCCGCAACATCCCTGCTCTGCTCCCTTTTCGTCCGCGACCCCTCTGCCATCCACCACACCAACCCCCGCCATCCCCCTCCAGCACTTCACTTTCGTCTGCGACCAACTCGTTCTCCAACATCGAACGCGACACATACGTCCTCGAGTAATATGACAGATCCATTGTTCCGGGACCTTACAATTCAAAAATTAAGCACTGGCTCCACCCCTTCGTTCCTTTTGCCAGAAGAGAACTGGACTCGATTAAGCCTGGTTTCTCTCAAGGTTTGGGGCCCTATCATACATGCGGTCCTATGACATGTATGACATGATTTGTTGCTATTTTCAGACCAGCGCAACCCTAATTTTCACGTTTTGGGACACATTATATAAATAGCAAATGCATTTGAGTAACTTTGTGGACTCTGGTGGGTGTTCTGGTCTAGAAAGGAGGTGTGTTTATGTGCATTGCTGGTGTGTTGCTATTCTGAAAAACTGAAATAGACAGCGCCATTGACCAATTCAAGAGTTCACACTTAGCTGATGATTGATTATAAAGCTTGTTTGGCATGCTGTCCCGGGATAGATCCCTGAGCTCATAAGATCCTCGAGCCTGGGGCTCCCTCTCATTTGCAAGGCGAGAGGGGAGTTTGAGCTCGGGTAGATCTGGAGAACTCCCCTGCTGTAGCTAATGAACAGATAGTGATTGCTCTTAAGAGATAACTATTTTGGAGCATGTCTATGGTGCCGATTTAGATTAGTCAATTAACTTAGGTTGTATGTTTTTTGATGGTGGGAGGAAACCGGGGAACCCTGGGGTCAGAATTATTAGCGCTCTTTGGATTTTTTTTTGTTCTTTTTTAAATATTTCCCAATTGATGTTTAACAGAGCAAGGACATTTTCTCAGTATGTCTGATAATATTTTTTCTTCTGGAAAAAGTCTTATTTATTTTATTTTGGCTAGAATAAAAGCAGTTTAAAATTTTTTAAACACCATTTTAGGGACAAAATTATTAGCCCCTTTAAGCTATATTTTTTCTCGATAGTCTACAGAACAAACCATCATTATACAATAACTTGCCTAATTACCCTAACCTGCCTAGTTAACCTAATTAACCTAGTTAAGCCTTTAAATGTCACTTTAAGCTGTATAGAAGTGTCTTGAAAAATATCTAGTCTAATATTATTTACTGTCATCATGACAAAGAGAAAATAAATCAGTTATTAGAGATGAGTTATTATCATAATCATAACAAGCTATTATGATTAGAAATGTGATGGAAATAATCTTTTCTCCGTTAAACAGAAATTGGGGAAAAAATAAACAAGTAGTCTAATAATTCAGGGGGGCTAATAATTCTGACTTGTGTGTGTGTGTGTGTGTGTGTGTGTGTGTGTGTGTGTGTTAATTATTTTGGTTATTGTGTAATCTTTACATCCTGTCAGATTAAAAAAAAAGAAAACAAACAAAACAAAAGAGGAGTAAACTATTCTGATTAATTGATATGGATATTTGCATATAATATTAAATATGAATATTTTTTTCTCAGCAAGGCTGCATGGTTACAATAAAATAAATCTGTTGTCTGTGTTAGATCACACTCTCCGCACCAGATAAATAAGATATAGCCCCGGACGCCAGGTCTTGTCAGAAATGCTCTGTGTATCTAGGCTTGGATTTGCTAATCGGGAGGACCGGGAGAATTCCCGGTGGGCCGGTCCGTTTTTTAGCCGCGAGGGCCGGTGTCCCTAGCTCTAGACTCTGTTGCTCTCAGCAGTCGCATTTTTTTCATTTATTTGTTTATTTGACCAAAGCCTCACTCTTTTTATGCATTATTTTGCCACAGCTCTGCTCTTTTTATATATTTTCTCTCAGCCTCGTGAGCAAGATGCAGCCTGCAGGTTATTGATGATATAACCCAGATAAGTCACTACACTGAGAAAAGCTGTTGTGGTCCAGTGGTCAGCACGTCGCGTTAGAACACCGCCGACCCTAGTTTGAACCTCATCTGAGTAGTTTATATATATATATATATATTTTTTTTTTTTTCATTTTTATTGTTAAGACATATAATACTGTTTGGGTTGTTGAGCATTTGAAGTTCTAAAGCAGCTGTTTTCTTAAAAAAGACGTAATAGTGCCATTACAAACTGATTTGGAAATAACGTTATTTTAATATAGTCAGTCGTGAACTGAGGTGGGCCGGTCTGAGGCTTGAAACTCCAGGGCTGAACTCCGGCCCTGATCTAGACAACAGGTTAGTGGAGTCGCCCAATACCCAATGTTAACCAGTATTCAGCTGAATAACAGTCTCCTATCAATATAGGAGTTGACTGAGAAAACCAACGAGGAGCAGAAGCAGGAGATGAAGTAACGATGATAAAGAAAGAGCAGAGTTTATTGAACAAACTTAGCTGCGTATGATTCAATGCTCAGACTTCATCTGACAAGGATATATCCAACAAGTGTTATTATACCACAAGCAACAGCAATGGAAAATTACTATAAGAGACATTACAGAGCTTAAAATAGAGACATTCTCCTATCCCCTATTCTTGAAAACATGTGGCTTGAAGATTGTAACGACTTGGAAAAAATGAAATGATAAAGCAATAATTACAGCAAAACAATCATAATAAAATATAAAATCAATAAAATGACAAATAATAATAATAATAATAATAATCAAATCATTAACTAATGATCAATAAAATTATAATTATATAAATGACTAATGATCATTTGATTAAATACAATTATTAAATGAAGAATAAATGAATATAAACAAATGAAAATAAAACACAACAGCAATAAATGGTTACTTTCTTGAAGCAACACACATACAAGGATTGTCAGATCCTTAGTTAGATTCTACTGAACGGTAAAATCTTTAGAGAGGAAGAAGTGTTTGCGAAAAAACTCTCATAACAACCGAAGAGAGGGTAGAGAGTATCAGTGAAGGTGGTTGTGTAAGTGTGTAGATGTTTGTTATTTACTGGATCAGAGAAAGACACTGTTCCTCTGTCATAATCCAGATCAACTCGCACTCGATCAAGAGCCTGTTTAATACAAAAACTAGACCCTGACTGTCCATACTGATATTTATACACACTCCAGACATTAGAGTTAAAGAAACCCCCTCCCTTCCTCTGGTTTGATGCTGTTGTTACTCCAAGAGTCCAGTATTGACTCTCTTTAACCTCCACGACCCAGCAGTGCTTTCCTGAGTTAAAACCTTTTGAACCCAAAACACAGAGACAACGGTCAAATCTCTCTGGATTATCAGGAAGTAGTTGTTTGTTTCCTCGGTTTGTCACACTGATCAGATCATCAAACAGGCTGAGATATTTATTTGCAGTGCTTAAACCCACAACACCTGGTAGTATATCTACTTTGATTGTCACTCTGGTCAGATCATCAGACAGCTCGAGTTCTGGATGTGCAGTGTTTGGATTCAGGATGACAGGAGCTGAAAAGACACAATCAACAGCTGCTGTTATTCTGATGTTCATAAAATGATCAATACAGATTATTTTCAATTATGATCGTCAAACACATCAGACTTTTTTTTTCTCATCACTGTCAGTCTTCTTAGTTTTATTATCAGTGTGTAACGCCGTCAGAGTCAAACATTAAGGGCCCTAACATACACCCGGCTCAATGTGGCGCAAGGCGCGACGCAATAGCTGTTTGCTAGTTTCAGCTTGGCGCAAGAGTCGTTTTGAGGCGTTGCGCTACGCTGTTTAAATAGCTCATTTAGCTAATTTTTTCGCCCATAGGCGTTCTGGTCTTAAAAGGAAGGTGTTCTGAGGTGGACCGCTGGCGCGTTGCTATTTTGAGAAACTATAATAGATTTTTCATTAGACCAAAACAAACCCGGTCTAAACTCCAGCGCAGAGTTGCACCTCGCTTACACACTGCTTAATACACACAAGAGAGCAATAGGCAAATATCTTTACATAGGAAAAAATTAAATATTAAGGATATATATAGGATATGATAAGAATAGATATAGAATATAAATATAAAGGATTAAAATATTACAAAACATATTATTTTCTAGCCCACATAAATATGAAAAATCACTGCTTTTATGTCTTCTTCATCTCGGGAGGCTTTTTCAGTTCATTCATAACAATCTGCTTTTGTATAATGTTATTATTATTAGCAGTATTATTTATTATATCCATATTTATATTTGTTTTATTAAAAACAAGCTTAGATTTGCCCACCTGTCAGGTTTTAGACCATATGGGGCACTCCATGTGTTTTAGGATATAACTACAGGTTTTTAAACACTTCGTTATTATTGTTCATTTATTCGTTTGCTGGAAATTAAAACTGAATTTAGAAATAGTTTTGACACAAATATTTGCGCTTAACAAACAAAATGAATTATTTATAGGCTAATTGATGTCTGTGCGTAACGGTTTCCCTATCCAAGAGCGAAAGTGAAAGTAGATAATTTATCTCTCATTCTCGTGCTGCAGATGCTCTGTTTAACTTGCTAGTGAAACTTGCTCTGTTTTCTTGCTTGTGAAATGCTCAGTTTTTCCACCTACACTTACTTTACATTATGTAAATAGTAAATGCGCTTATGGCGCGACGCAACTGGCTCTTAAAGGGAATGGGAGATGAGACTCTAATTGGTTTATTCTCAAAACACACCTATAACTCATTAAGAAAATAAACTCAACCCTTTTAGACCATGCGCCACGGCGCAAAGCTGATTTTTCAATCCTTGTATTAGCAAAAATAAATTCTGTCATGACCTGAAAGTGTTTGCGCCCTGCGTTTTGCGCCTGGACCGACAAAATAGAGCCCAAGATGTTGGGTTCAAACATTTGTGTCCATCAAGGGGAAAATCGGATTTTGGAGAAGAATAAAATTAGTCAAACAATCAGAAACACTGAAAGTGTGAAAAATGTGTGAAACTCTTGAGTATCTTAAGCTTCAATTGATAAAGTTCAATAAACTTGTCACAGAGACAAACTCCGTTATTCCCTCTTCTGACCAGCAGAGGTCACCCTTCCCTTATTATTAACTGTCTCATCGCTCACTCTTCACTACATTTCCCATCTACCCCATACCTGCAATGATTACTGGTCCAGCTGAGAACACTCCACCATCTATTTAAGCAGACCGGTTTCTTTCACTCTCTCCGAAGTCTTGTTTGCATCTCACTAGCTATGTTTCCATCAAAAAATGCGAATGAACTTTGAGCGCAAAACTGGATTATCGCATGAAAGACATGCAAATAAAGCTGCGTTTCCATCCAGCGAGTGAAAGCGATCAAAATCGTCACTTCCTGACTATCTGGCGCCAAATATCAACAGTGAAAACGGAATTTGCTGCGATAGGAGAAGCTGCGTCAATCTTTTCTTCATCTAATAAATGACTTGCGCCTCAAGCACTGAATGCACAATGGCGTTTGAAGGTGTCAGATGCGAAGCACAGACGCTCTTGATTCTTGAGGTCATTAATAACATAATAACACTAATACTGAAACGGTAAGGCGTTTTAGAATGGCCAATACAACACTTTAGATGTTTTACAGTGTGCTTAGCCTGCTGGTTTGTCCATTCACACACATTTTTTTAACAGAATCACATGATCTTTTTTAATGCGAATGCTGGAGTTTGTGCCGTAAAAGTGTTTCCATCGTAGTTTATGCGCATCTTTTTTTTATCGAATAAAAAGTTTATCCTACTCAGTATTGCGCATCAGTTTTTTATGCGCATTTTCTAAATTTATGCGCATCTTGGCATTTTCATCAACCTTTTTTTATGCGCTTAAGCAAAATGTGCATATAAATAGGTGGATGGAAACATAGCTATTGATAATTCTGTGCGTTTATACCTTATTTTGGCTTTCCTGTTGTGACCCTGTCCTCTTACCGTTTATGATTGTTTGCTGCCTGCCATTTGCACTGCTTATTCGGATCTCGGATTCTGATTGTTTTCCGCCAGCCCTGACCATTAGCCTGTTGTTTGACCACAATTCTGTTTACCCTGCTTAATCGTGTACGCCGGTCTCTCACCACTGCCTTTCATACTAATCTTAATAAAAACCTGCAAAATGGATCCTAATCCTTCGCCAGCAGCTGTCACTCACCTGTCTTTAGCATTATCTACACAGGCAAGTCAATTCGCCACACACCAACATCAGCTAAAACTCCTGGCGTCACTCACTGAGGAAATGGTGAAGGCGCTTCAGAACCGCGCCGGCGATCAGCTATTAGAATTATCGAGGGGGAATATGACTGCAGCTGAATACGCTCTCACCTTCCACACGCTCACTGAACAGACTGTGCGGGTGGATGACACACTCAAATCACTGTTTAGTAGAGGATTGAATCATGAACTGCAATCCGAGCTGGCATGTCGTAACAGAGTGAAGGATCTGAATCAGTTTATAGAACTTAGCCTTCAGATTGTTAACCTCGTCAGAGCTCGACATTGACATGTTCCCCACAGTTTTCACAGAATGTCCGTCCCTGCCTGCCACTGATGAATCCAAACCCTTGCAAGCAAACTCATATCATATATCCTCTGTTGAACAAAATCATCGCCTAACACAACGTCTTTGTTTATACTCTGATCAACCCAACCATCTTCGAGTTTTGTGTCCTTTACGACCAAGCCCTGGTTCCAAAGATCTAGTGAGTTTTTCTTTGCATCCATTGAATCCCGATGTGTGTGGACATACCCATTACTATTTAGACAAATGGCCACCAGACAACCAAAGCATTGTTAGATTCAGGAGCTGCTGGAAACTTCATGTCTTAAGAATTTGCATACCTTTAACTCGCTGTTGCTGTCCTTTAACAGTGTAAGATGGACGCCCACTAGGATCTGGACAAATATCACATCTCACACAAGAACTTAAGATGCGCACCAGTATTCTTCACACAGAAATAATCCAATTTTACATCCTTGTATTACCTCACACTCCCATAATTCTTGGACTAGCCTGGCTGCTAAGGCATAATCCAGACATTTCCTAGAGAACGGGACTACTTATTAAATGGAATGACACCTGCTTTCCTGAATGTATCACTCCCATCTCTCCTCTATGTCTGTTCGATCTGTCGCTGTCTCTGATAAAGCTAATTCTGACATTAACCTCCTACCTGAATATAGTGACTTGTCTCTGGCCTTTAGCAAAATCAAAGCCACTAAAGTTCCTCCACACCGGAGGTATGATTGTGCCATTGATCTGTTACCAAGGACAACGCCCCTAGAGGACGGATAATTCCCCTATCAAAACCTGAGACAGAGGCCATGGAAAATTACATCAATGAGGAGTTAAAAAGGGCTTCATATGATCTTCAACCTCTCCGGCCTCTACAGGGTTTTTTTTTTTTGTGCAGAAAAGAAATAGAAGACTTCTTCCATGCATTGATTTCTGAGGTCTCAATGAGATAACTATCATGTTCCGGTATCCACTGCTTCTTGTACCTGCCACCTTGGAACAGCTTAGAACTGCTAAATACTACAACAAACATGTCCTGCGAAGTGCACACAACCTCATCCACATTGGTGAGGGGGATGAATGGAAGACTGCTTTCTCCACAAGCACTAGGCATTATGAATACCTGGTCATGCCTTTTGATATGGTAAACAGTCATTCATTACTGACATTTTCAGAGATCTCCTAAATCGCAGAGTCAAAGTATATATAGATGACATCCTAGTATACTCTGATAACCTTGAAGAACATGTTCATCATGTATGTCCTGTTTGAGCGAAGGACATACATGATGGATATGTTCTTCAAGGGTATCAGAGTATCGAACATCAACTCTATGCTAAAGCTAAGTGATGTGAATTTCGCCACACATTTACATCGTTTCTGGGCTACATCATTAGTCATGAAGGTGTGGCCATGGATGAGTGGAAGGTGAACTTAATCCCTAAATGGCCTAAGCCCTCGACCCTAAAAGAACTACAAAGCTTTCTTGGTTTTGCCAATTTTTACAGACGGTTCATCACAGCTCCCATTTTTCACAAACCCCAACCCTGAGCACCCCTTTATTGTCAAAGTGGATGCTTCAAATACTAGCGTGTATCAGGGTTCTGCCACTCTGGTCTTGTAAATTCTTGTTTTGGTGGCAGATCTCTGACACTACCCATGTCCGGTCCTGTTTCTGTCTCTGTGTGCGCGCGCGCCGTCGTGGGTGTACGCAGAGTGTGCGCGCTTCTGCTTGACGCGGCCGCGCGCGCGCTCTGCGTCCCTCAGACGCGTGCGCTCTTGTACTCGTGTTTGTTTTTTCGTTTGTCAGCAGCGTGGTGTTTCATTCCCAGCGTCTCAGTCTTGTTGGTTTCGGTTTTGGTCGGCGCTGGGATGAAGCATGCACGCTGCGTGTGTGAGCGCGCGGTGAGTGCTTTTTTATTCATCGTGTGCTCGTGTCTTGCGTCTTTTGTCAAAGCACGTGGCTCGGTGTTTACATTGTGGTCACGTGCTTTTGTCGTGTGCTTCAGTGTTGTGTTATGTGAGCGCATGGCTTGTATTGTCTCTCTGTGTCATGCGCTCTCCCGTCTATTGTCTAGTCCCACCCTCCTTGTTAACCCATTATTAGTTAATTGTGTTTACCTGTGTGTCAATTTACTTTTTGCTTTATAATCCCCCTCATGTTTTCAGTCCTTTGCGAGTTCGTTGTCTACACTCCCCGTGTTCCTGATCCAGTCTTGCCTTGTTCTTGTTGAGCCAAGTTTGTGAGTTTTGTTAATGTTTTCCCCCTCGGGGTAGTTTTGTTTTGCTTTTTATTTTTATTTTATTATTAATAAATACCCATTGTTTCTTTGCACTTGAGTCCTCGCTCCTTTTTCCCCTTTTCCCCACCACAACCGTGACAGCGTGGGTGCTATTCTGTCACACAGACAGGAGTCACCTCCCAAACTAGTATGTCAAGTGCCTGACACCACAAATACTGTGAATGTAACTGTTGTAAAAGTAGTTCTCTGTTGTTTATCACCACACCTGCATGATCTTCAGTGTGTGTGTGTGTGTGTGCGTGTGTGTGTGTGTGTGTGTGTGTGTGTGTGTGTGTGTGTAAGAGCTCAGACTCACTGTACTGGACAATGTCCTGCATCTTCTTCCAGACTCTGAACGGCAGGTTGCCCAAGTAGCGAGACACATGAATCAAAGCTCCAGAAGGCATCTGTGGATCCGGCTGTGAGATCTGGACTCTGGAGGAACATTCAGGAGTCAGAACTGCAGTGGCTTTGACTTCAGAAGCAGAGAAACCAGCAGATCACTCACCTTTCCATTGAGACTGGAAACTCCTGCAGAACAAACACACAACTGATCATCAACAACTCAATCAATCATCAATCAATCAATCACTGATCTGAAATCAGACCTTCAGAAAGCAGACGTCATTGGCTTTCAGCATCTCCTCCGTGTCTGTGATCGTGTGTGAAAGAGCTGAGATGTGTGTGTTCATCTCCTTCAGCTTCTCCTTCATCATCTGCTTCTTCTGCTCCTCTTCCTTTCTCAGTGCAGTGATTGTAGCTTCTTCTTCATCTCGGAGAAACTGATGAAACTTCTCAAACTGCTGTTTAATCTGACGCTCTGTGTTTACAGCTTGAGCCTGAAATCAAACCACATTCACTTCAGTCATCTCAGACGCTTTCTGGAGCAACAGAAGACTGATGGGGGAAATGTGGGTTAGTGAACTACAGATGTAACTTTATGAAGAACTATGACTTGTATTTCATGTCATGTAGTGCCATCTAGCACAGTTTTAAGTCTGTAGGATATACATTTTGGTCTGCCTGGTCAGTTTTAGGACAGAATATGACCCCTTTGGATTTTTTAATGAATATAATAGGTTTATACTCTTAACCTGAGCTTCTAATTATCCAAAACATCTTCTGCACGTGTAACTGTCAGACTCATGAATATTTATAGTGTTAATTCTGAATTCACCTGATGAAAAGCTATTCAATAAAATTATCATTTGCCATCTCCCAGTTTCACCCACCTCGAAACATTTAGCTGCAGACAGAGGCTTAATACCAGGCGGCAACCTCCCTCGGGAGGCCAAAACGGAAGTAATTGAAACTGCAATTTATCGAAATTCTGCTAGTCCTGCCTCCATAATAGAGCAAATTTCAGTTGAGTCCACTGTTAGAATGGCCAACTTTACAGCAGAAAAAAAGGTGTTTACAGCCTGCTACAAAGAAAAATTTTGGTTCATAAAGCTAATATTTCCCTTCATGACAACTGTAAGGGGGTGAATTTTTTTAGAACTTATCAGTCACATCAGTTTCCTTTATATTAAGTTTGCATAATTAAGGGCGTGGCCACTTGAGTGACAGCTAGGTCTCGCTGGTCACCGTCTAACCTCAGCTGACTCCTGCAGATTAGCCACTGATTTCGGCATATTCATCCTATTTTTGTTTGGTCTTATGTGGCTTTACACAGTCAGTTGTCTTTTGGGATTATTTCCTACAATTATCCGATGATATGGGATGCTGTGTGCACTTAATTGTGCTCACAAACCATTCATGTGGCCTCCATGTGAGTAAAGTTACATACTTGTAAACCATCTCTATTAATGCATTTGTTTTATTTAAGATCATTTATCATTTATAATATTCTTTAGAGCTGTAAAGCACTCCAGCTGTGGACTGTAGAACGGTCATCTGAAGCGTTGTCATACAGTGTTATGCTGGATTTCATCAATAGTCTTCCATTAACTAACACAGACTATATCTGAAGTGTTTGGACGTAATTTGCGTTTTCCTCCTGTAGAAAAACGTCATAAGAACTATGTTTAGTGGCTCAATGTGTTACAGCAGTGTTTTAAAAGTCTAAACACTTTATTGATATAGTATACAACCAAGCACAAGTGGTCAGAACACAAACGAGTCGCAGGTGATAAAGTATTAAGCATTCTCCCAAAGTGAGGTGTTTCTAAGGCAGGTCCAAGCTAAATGCCAGCAGGTGTCTGTAGCTCCGCTCACTCTCTGCCTCTTTGCCCTTTTTTGGTATCCCGCCGTGGGTGTGATCACGCACTAATAACATGGCAATGGTTGGCCGCTCCTACTTGTAGCTTCATTTGCACTCTTAAGAAACCTATGAGTGACGTCACAGATACTACGCCCAAATATTTTGCAGTCTATGCTTAATACTAAACACTAATTAAAGTAATATCGTGAGGGCAAACGTACCTGTTATTTGGAATTCTCTGACTCTGCCATTTTTCTTGAGTTAGCATTACTCTCACAGTGCTTTATTATAAATAACAGATGATTGGCAGCAAGTAATCACTAAAATGGTACAGTGTTTGACATGTCCATCAACAGCCAATCGGCTGTTGCAATTAAATTTCCCTGATTTGTCAAAAGATTTCAGAGGATTTCCTGCAGTGTGACTCACAACGAGAATCACACAAAAATCTAATAGGAGACCACTTCAAACCACTGTGGTGAACTTCCAAAACCTGTCCTACAGTGTGACATGGGAATCATAATTACATTTTAATAAGCTACAAAATCACACAGTATGAGCCGGGTGTGCTGATCAATCCTCACCTTGATGTATCGAGCTGTTTTCTCCAACTTTTCTTTCATGTTTCCATTACGTTTAAGTTTCTCCTGTAAAAGCTTCAGTGCTGTATTGAGCTCCTCCTAGAATTTAAAGTGAAAACATATAAGACACCAGAGAATTGTGCTACAGTCATTGCAATACATAATGTTTGACCCCAGACAACAAAACCTGTAGTAAGTCATGAGTTTCAATTTTTGCAAATTGAGTTTTATGAATTTCACATGAATGCTAAATGAATCAAATTATTAAATCTTTATTCTTAAGCGTAAACCAGCCTTACCTTCTTGAATGAAACCATTTCACTGATGGGTCTGAATGTGTGTTTGAGGTGTTTTTCTGAATCTCTGCACACTAAACACACAGGCTGTTTGTCCTCCACACAGAAGAGTTTAAGTATTTTGCCGTGTAAACTGCAGATCTCCTCTGATCCAGATGAACGTCTCTCATTTCTCTCCTCAAGACGCGACTCGCACAAGTTTTTTAAAGCCAGATTAACTGGAGGATCAGCCATTGAGGGTCTCCTGCAGACGGGACACTCCTGAGTATTCTTGATTTTCCAAAACTCTTGAAGACACTCTTTACAGAAACTGTGGCCACATGATAAAATAACAGGAGTCTTGAAGATATCCTGACACACAGGACAAATATAATCATATTCAGCTGATGAAGCCATTTCCTCTGTTTGAGATTCAGCAGTCCAAACTTTACTTTCACTCTCTGAATGTTTTATTAATAAAAAAAGAACTGCAAAGGTATGTAAAACTAAATGATCTCTGTCTTTGTTCTTCACTGATTGCTGATTGCTGTTTGATTTTGTCCAGAAATCCAGAAAAAGGGAAGTTTGGCATGAAGAAAGTGAAATACTGAGAGTCTCTTTCTGGGAAGTGCTTCAGTGGTTGGAGCCGTTTATGGTGGTGCTTTAGGTTGTGCACCAAATCAAACAGGAACACAAGAACAAAATGCAGACATACTCATGTAATATAGTTTAAAAAAGCAATAATTGTTCAAGAAAAACAATGTGTTTGTATTATTAATTGACATTATAGAGCATGCGTTCACACAGATTTGATCTCAGAGTTTGAATGTGCTTGAAGCTGTGTTAATGTTGATATTTAGAAACGTTGCTTTGGCACTGTCAATAGTATCATTTCTTGTTTGCTGTGGTGTATGCCAGTAAGTTGCAACTGATGGAAAGAGGAAGTTTTCCGTGTGATTTTATATTAAAGATGTGAACGGCCACATAAACAACAATGATTGACATACAGCAGACCCTATTCGTGATTTTTGGCTTGCGTTCAACGTACATACAGTTTTTCAGATAAAGATGTAAGATTCCGAAGGTTATGTGTGTGTTAGCCTTTTCTAGCACTTCTGAAAAGAATTCTGTCATTAATTTGGATTTATATTTGTTTTCCGCTCCAAATTCAATCTGACAACAGTTTTGACTGACTCCAATCTGACCATCAAATGTATACTGTATTTCTAATTAGGAATGGGTCAATTTTGTCATTTATGAATCAAATTAGAGTTTCAATTTATAACCGATCCCATACTCTTCAGTTATACGTTTATTAGGGACCCAATGCTTTCAATGTTTCTGTTAAGGACTTTTATTTTGGTGTTGTGTGTGTGTGTGTGTGTGTGTGTGTGTGTGTGTGTGTGTGTGTGTGTGTGTGTGTGTGTGTGTGTGTGTGTGTGTGTGTGTGTGTGTGTGTGTGTGTGTGTGATAAAAGAGCAGGTAGAGTGTGACGGGCTAGGAGATTTCCTCTCCAGTTCTGGGAGTTTTTGCTCAATAAATTAGTCATCAGTATTTTCAAGTCCATCGTCTGTATTTACATTCACACACTGGCAGCCAAAATCCACGCCTTACACTATGAAGTGTGTATGAACTCTGACTACTTTTATAATGTTGATTAGATTTCACATTAGGCATTTCACTCTGTATCGCGTTGAAAGCTGTCAGTGTCGACCAATCGCAACAGGCTGTCATCAGTCCAATCAGCACAGATAAGCTTCGTGTTTGGCGAACAACTGAATCGCTGAATGATTCATATGGGAGTCGCTGGGATAATTAGGTAAAAATAAATGCAGATTATAAGACCATGAAAGTGTTTTTTGACCTTGCATTTTGACCCTTACAACCAAGATATGACCCTATTTCATGTATTATATGGGCTCTTTAAAAACCCTTTTTACAGTACATTTCAACACAAGTTAAAAAGAAATTACATATAAAGTCCATAATTATAGCAATAAACAAATTTTTCTAATAAAAATACACAATGCTAATACAAAACTTGGCCTCTGTATCAATTTATTCAATAAACACCACATTATTTCTTTTATTATAAATACATAGCAACTTTTACAGCATGCAATCATTCATTTAAACTATACATGCAGTCTCAATCTGGAGTACAGTCAAATACTCAAAAGGCATACATTTAAATGGTCACTTTTTAATTAGGTTACATGAGTTGAAGTCTTAATATTTACTAACATGAACTAAAAATGAACAATACTTGTGCAGCATTTAATAATCATTTAATTAAATATATCCTAATGCTTTATTGAAGCCCAATTGTATGCTTGTTAACATTATTGCACTGTGAGCTGACATGAACCTATTATAGTGGGTTATTTATTAGGTATCTGTACTGTATATGACAAGGGCCTGCTGGTTAGAACATTTCTGCAGTGGTTCGAATGTGTCAAATTGTAAAAGTAGACTTGAAAATAATTAAAAACAATATCCTAATTAATATCAATAATAATATTAATTATAATTAACAGCATCATCATTAATATTATTAAAGTAGGTTTTTTTCATTTCATAATAAATATTAAATTTCATTTTTTAATAAATTGCCTCATTGTTTATGTATATGATTTATATATGATATTAGAATCCGTGTTAGCTTTAGTAAGTGATTTTATGTTTTAGAATTGAATATGTAATGTTCAACTTCTCAATTATATTAGTAAAGCAAACACAGGCCCTATATGTGCCATTTACAAACATTTCAGTTAATATGGAAAGCGAGTGCATGTTTTTAGCCAAATTAATATAGAATTTTATTTTAAATGCATGTGCTTGTAAAACAATAAAATTTGCACAAAGAAATAATGGGGTTTTTCTCAAAAGAAGTTGTTACTCCACCCCGTTTAGAGCGAAATAATGGGCGTTTTACGTTACAACTACCATGGCTCAAGCCATAGATCTGCGACAGAGAAACTATGGGTTTTTAGAAACAGTCGTCACAACATCGTTTTTTTCCAAAACGATGCATTGTACTATGACAGTTCAGCCGCAAGTTCAACTCTTGAGATAGAAACTGGCACTGGGGACCAAGAATTAAGTGTAAAACACTAAAAACATCTGTAAAACTTATATAAACTTATATAATAACTACACACTACAAATCATCTATAAAGCAAATAGTGAAATCATTCTCTGTTAAGCATTAACTCTACATTAATAGGCGTTAGGAAGCAGTTTAAGTGCAGATACAAATGCTCTATTCTTCACTTATAATCCCATAATAATTATTCTTTCATACTTAACAGTGGCTTGTTCTGTAGACAATCTTAACACAAATATTGTTTAAGGGGGCTAATAATATTAGTCTTAAAATGGTTAATTCTCTTAATAACGATTGTTTTTAATATTGGAAGAAATTTCACCAGCAGTTTACAAAAGAACACAAAAACTATATTAATTTGTGTGTGTGTGCATGAGAGAGTGAGAAAGAATCTAATTTGCTGATCATAAATAAGTCAACAAATGTAATGCCTGGGTTCACTTGAAGAAGGCACGGGATCTCAGGATTATCAAAACATGTATATTTATTCACAAAATATACGGAGATGACCACAGGAAGCACATGGAGTGAAGACAGACATCAACGTAGTGAAAGTACCAGACAACGACTGAGGGAGACACAGGACTATAAATACACAGTGGATGATGATAATGAAGGGGTGAATACAGGTGGAACAGATGAACACTAAATAGGGGCGGCAACTGGAACAAAGGAGTACATGGGGAATGTCATGATGAAAACAACAGACAGAAAACTGGGGGTCTGGGGTCTGTTCTTCGTACCTCGCTTAAATGATCTAAGATGATTTGGCAGATCCTGGATCCTTTAATCTTGATAACTGATCTCTGGCTAATTTGTATCTCCAAACAAGTTCGCGAATCAGATTAAAATGTCTGGATGAACTGATCTGAGATCGCTGCGTGTGTTGTGAACAGTGGTGTAAAGTAACTAATTACAAATACTCAAGTTACTGTAATTGAGTAGTTTTTCTCAGGAATTGTAATTTACTAAGTCTTTTTATAAATGTGTACTTTTACTTCCTCTTGTGTACATTTTTAGTGCTGTATCTGTACTAGTACTTTTACTCCACTACTTTCCTTCAACCTGCACTTTATTTTTACTTGTCTATGTGGATTAGAAAAATCAGTCCTGTGATTCCCGTCCAATCAAATCACACATAGAAGGTAAATCACCTCATAATGTACTACCTTAACACATGTGCACTTTTGCAGCAAACTGTTTGGAAGCATTAAAAGTGTCTAATATCTTTACATGCATTGACCCCTGTTTAGATGAGGGATGCCCAAACCCAGTCCTGGAGGGCTGATGTCCTGCAGATTTAAGCTCCAACTTGCCTCAACACACCTGCACAGTTGTTTCTAAAAAGCATAGAATGAGATTGATTAGCTAGCCCAGGTGCGTCTAATTGGGATTGGAACTAAACTTTGCAGGACACCAGCCCTGCAGGACCAAGTATGGGGACCCCTGGTTTAGATGCATGTCACTGATGAGAAGATGATAAATATTTACTGTATGATGACCAAAATGGCCCTAGATACCCAGCAGGCACAAGAAATTGTACCCTAACGTCGTGGAGACGTTGCATTTTGTTTGGAAATGAAAATCTGGTTTACATTAGAACTCAACATCAGCCCGATGTCAATTTCCAACGTCCAACCTAAAACCAACCAAATATCAACGTCTAATGATGTTACAGCTGGACGTTGTGTGGATGTTACCAATATGACGTCTATCAGACGTTGAATTTTGGTTGCCATTCCTGATAAATAAATATCAGTATTTGACATCAATATGATGTTGGTTTAAGATGTTGGCTCGACTTTGGATTATGGTCACTTTCTAACAACCTAAAATCAACCTAATATCAACGTCATTTGATGTCATTATTGGACATCAAAATAATGTTGTCCTTAGACCGTGGCTAGATATTGAATTTTGGTCACCTGACATCACAACCTAAATCTAACCTAATATTAACGTCTGATGACGTTTTGTGCCTGCTGGGCAATAACTAAACGCACTACAGAATGTTACATTTACACACACATGCACAGATTACATGTAAATGCATCAGCTTTACACAGCGTAATACTCACTACTTAAAAGTACTTATAAAAGGGCTACTTTTTACTCATACTTTGAGTAATATTCACAACAGATACTTTTACTCTACTCACACTTCATTTTTAGGCAAGTAATGGTACTTTTACTGAAGTAAGCTTTTTCAGTACTCTTTCCACCACTGGTTGTGAAGGACAGATCTATCGATTCCCAAAATCATGATCAGCATGACGATGGCTGATGGCACAGCAGCGTAATGACATTATCTGTTTAATATTTAATTATCCATGTGAGCAAAATTACATAAAATGAGCAGTAAACGGTTTGTTAAATGTGACACGCAATAACTTTTCAACTTTGTTGTGAGCTGCATGCTTGGCTCTATCATGTGTCAAGTGCAATTTATTGAGTTTTAAAGGTACAGTGGATTTTCCTTATTATAGTAGTGTTATAGTAGCCATTTTTTTAATCGCTGTATGGAATAACTGGATGTTTACAAAAGCATTTTGATATTGGTAAAGGTGTCTGCAACTTTTGTGAAGCATCAAATCACCGTCATATTAACTGTCAAAACATGTTCATGACTGCATAAATGTATAATTGCTTTAAAAAAAGTCACATAATGTGCATTTCTATTATCATACACAAATTGTACTAAAGCGATCTAAAAAGTTCATATCAATAAGTTTTCTCTTTGCACTACCAGGTGGCAGTCTACCTGGTATAACTATATATATATATATATATATATATATATATATATATATATATATATATATATATATATATATATATATATATATATATATATATATATATATAGTTAAAATAGTTATTATTTTCCCAAGTGTATATAACTACTACTGTAAGAAAATATCAGAATTCGGCACATACTTTCAGTGTTATCTTCTTTGCTTGAACTGAGCCGATCTAATCCTGTTTATATGAATTGAACCTGCTCCCGACCAGGTTTGAGCTAGCAGAACTGTTGCTATGACAACAACTCTTGAATCAGATTTGAACGAAACGATCGTGGATCATGTCAAATCGTCAATATCCAAATCCAGCTAACTGAGTAATCCACGTATAAAGAACAGCCCCCTGATTTTGATGCTTTTGTATTTATTGTAATAAACTTATCATTATATTATAATTTAACATATTTCTAGAGATTGATTTGAACAATTTATTAAACACTAATTAAAATAGAAATAAGAGACTGTGTGTGTGTGTAGTCATTTTCATCAACTGAGTTTTAAATTTTAGCTTTGCTGAATGAAATGATTAATCTCTTTTAAAAAACATTTTATATTAGAGACTTGATAAAAACAGAGACTCACTGTACAGCTGTAATGCTACTGAATACTGGACGGCAAAATCTTTAGAGAGGAAGAAGAGTATGAAAAGAAATTGTTATAACACATGAAGAAAGGGTAGAGAGTGTGAGTGAAGGTGGTTGTGTAAGTGTGTAGATGTTTGTTATTTACAGGATCAGAGAAAGACACTGTTCCTCTGTCATAATCCAGATCAACTCGCACTCGATCAAGAGCCTGATCAACATGAAAACCAGACTCAAACAGTTTATCAGGGTCATACCACACACTCCAGACATCAGAGTTAAAGAAACCCCCTCCCTTCCTCTGGTTTGATGCTGTTGTTACTCCAAGACTCCAGATTTTACTCTTTTTAACCTCCACGATCCAGCAGTGTTTTCCTGAGTTAAAACCCTCTGAACCCAGAACACAGCGATAACAGTCAAATCTCTCTGGATTATCAAGAACTGGTTGTTTTCTTCTGATTGTCACTCTGGTCAGATCATCAGACAGGCGGAGTCGTGGATTTGCCGTGTTTGGATCCAGGATGACAGGAGCTGAAGAGACACAATCAACAGCTGCTGTTATTCTGATGTTCATATAATGTGTGTGTGTGTGTGTGTGTGTGTGTGTGTGTGTGTGTGTGTGTGTGTGTGTGTGTTTGAGTGTGTGTGTGTTTGAGTGTGTGTGTGTGTTTGAGTGTTATGATGTGATGATCATAAAATATTGTTTTCATAAATTTTTAATAGTATTGTATCATAAATATTCTGTATTAACAGTGTTATTATTAATATAGTGACATTAAAGAGAAAAAGCTTTCATTCATCATCACAGCTAATTGACTTATATCAGGTCAGTTCACGCTATGCTGAATCATACTCATTACTCGTTTTTATTGCAGTAATGATTTCAGGAAAAACAGTTAAATATGAATAAAACTGCGGCATTGAAGGCTAAGATTGAAACTTGAAAGTGTAACGTTAAGTTATTAAGGTAAAGTTGGTATTATATTCACACATTTATTCAGTGACAACTTGTGACATACTCCCTATATAGTTTACCATGGCATTGGCACTTTGAATATTCCGTCTGAAAAAAACTGCAAGTGTGACTTGAAAATAAGATTAACACTGTTTATGTGACTGTGAACAATGTTGTACTTTGATAGTCATTGGCTGCTGATATGATTTCGCTATTTAGAGTTTGCAAATAATACTTTTAGGTAATTCTATTATTAAGGGGAAAGTCCGAATGTGCGAATATAAAACAAACCTTACCTCTATTCTATAAAGTTAGCTCCATCTTCTTTCTTTGTCTTTGAAACTCGATTTATAGCACTACATAGTGTTGAATCTGGTAATCATGGAGCATTATTTCGTGCACATGACCACACAGAACAACATTGTTGGCATCCAAATACTTGTAGGCCTTTAACTTCTCTCCTTTAAATTCACTTGGAGCTTCAATGAGATTGTATATTTGGGGCTGGATGCTTGGTCATTTTGTCTTATCCAATATCCATTAGGGGGGTGCTATCGCTAATGGACCTGTCAGACAAACGCCGCTCACTTTAACGTTAATTTTGCAGAATAACTGTGCTTATCACTGGGTGACGAGCTGTTATAATACAGTGAAAGCATTGTGTAAATTATATATTTATTCATTCATTTATTCTCTTTTCGGCTTAGTCTCTTTATTTATCCAAGGTCGCCACAGCGGAATGAAATGTTAACTTATCCAGCACATTTTTTATGCAGCGGATGCTCTTCCAGCCGCAACCCATCTCTGGGAAACATCCACACACACTCATTCACACATACATGGACGACACACAATTTAGCTTACCCAATTCACCTGTACTGCCTGTGTTTGGACTGTGGGGGAAACCAGAGCACCCGGAGGAAACCCACGCGAACACAGGGAGAACATGCAAACTCCACACAAAAACGCCAACTGACCCAGCCAAGGCTCAAATTAACGACCTTCACGAGTTCACACTCACAGAGATTTGACTGAATAGAATATGCATACTTAGTGTGCTGTCCGGGGAGAGGGCTCTGAGCTCGGGACGACATCCTAACTAGTGTTATTCCCCTTATCAGGATAAAGAGAGATAGGGTCCGAGCGCAGTGTCTAGCCCGGGTCCATAACGCTCCCGCCTCAAATTTAAAAAGGTATCTGGTTTAATAGTGTGGAGTTGTGGTGGTGGAGGGATGCTGAAGTCGAAAGAAAATTATGGTATGACGTGTCTGACTATTTATAGGGGTTTCCTCTCAAGCTGATTGGATAATAGAATGATTGTGTGTGTGATATGTTAGCCTCGTCAAAGACTGATCGTGCTCCTCCTGAAATATGTTTATAAAACACCACTTTACAAGTTCACATTCACAGATATTTGACTGAACAGAATATGCGTATTTAGCGTGCTGTCCAGGGAGAGGGCTCTGAGGTCGGGAAGAGACCTTAACTTGTGTTATTCCCCTTATCAGGATAAAGAGAGATAGGATCCAAGCGTAGTGTCTAGCCCGGCTCCAGAACACTTCCAAAAGATGCAATTTATAGAAGGACAGCAGCCAGACAGATTTCATGGACCCCCCAAAATTTAGTAGACTTGAAAATTTGGAGGGGAGCTGTACCGCACTGGGAAAAAGAGAAAAAATGGCTCCAGTGGGAGCGGACACTGCTTGTGCGGAGATATAGATGTGACTCCTTGGGAGCTGCTAATTTAGTTAACAGCGAGTCTCCTGTAGGAATGATCACTGTGCTTGCAGTGGTGCATAAGGTGTGCGTCTCTCGTAGGAGCTGTCACTGAGCTGGCAGTGGTGCATAAGGTGTGCGTCTCTCGTAGAAGCGGTCACTGAGCTGGCAGTGGTGCATAAGGTGTGCGTCTTTCGTAGGAGCGGTCACTGAGCTCGCAGTGGTGCATAAAGTGTGCGTCTCCTGTAGGAGCGGTCACTGCACTTATAGTGGGCATAAGGTGCGCGTCTCCCGTAGGAGCGGTCACTGAGCTGGCAGTGGTGCATAAGGTGTGCGTCTCCCGTAGGAGCGTTCACTGAGCTGGCAGTGGTGCATAAGGTGTGCGTCTCCCGTAGGAGCGGTCACTGCACTTATAGTGGGCATAAGGTGTGCATCTCCCGTAGGAGCAGTCACTGTGCTTGCAATGGTGCATAATAAGGTGTGCGTTTCCCGTGAGAGCAGTGGTGCACAATAATGTGTGCGTCTCCCATAGGAGCGGTCACTGCGCTTGCAGTGGAGCATAACAAAAGGGTGTGCGACTCCTGTAGGAGTGGTCACTGTGCTTACAGTGGTGCATAATAATGTGTGCATCTCCAATAGGAGCGGTCACTGTACTAGCTGTGGTGCGTAATAAAGAGTGCATCTTCAGCGGGATCTTTTTTTTTCTCTCGTCCGTTTACAGCGGGCGATTGCTGCTAGCAGCGGCAACCTTATAATAGAACTACTTGGAGGGATTGAGGACCAAGAATTAGGAAAAGCTTAGGGGTTGAAATAGTAAAACGGGCACTGATGGTGCATTTCCACCGACTTTTCCAATTCACTTCTATGGAAAACTTAAATCTATAAATCTATAAAGTCTATTACTCATTATTATCTTTCTTTCTTTCTTTCTTTCTTTATTTTTTACACAATTCATTAGTTGTTTCACTTTCAGAACAAAGATTATTCTGTGTATACGTTAATAACATATTTTTATACATGTTAAGTTTATACATGTTAAAAGTTTGTACATTTTAAGTACCTAGACAATGAATCTATGGGATATAGTCTATACACAGCGTTGTGATCGACAATCGATTGCTCTTGACTGCCTTGTCCTGTACTATACAGGTGATAAGCTGTAGTGTTTGCCTCTTATGTCGGAGTAGTACTGAAATAGCCTGGAGGAGTGGCGGCGTGGCGGCCCAAGTTAAGACAGCGACCAGCCTCTGTTGATATGCTCTGCCGAGTGCTGATGCGCTGGACGTCAGCTTGGAGTTTGAAGGAGCTGTGTCATCCTCATGGAAATTTGCTGTTTGGACAAGGTTACAGCGATTGGATGTGCCAATGCTGAAGTTGAGAGAAAATGGAGGTATGACGTGTTTAACTATTCATAGCGGTTTGCTCTTGATCTGATTGGATAATAGAATGATTGTGTGTGATAAATTAGCCTCGTCAAAGACTGATCGTGCTCCTCCCGAAATTTTTTTTAACCTATGTCTGATACCTGACTCAGCTGTAACAGATCTGTAAGCCTCATTTTGATCTGAAAGGCATTTCCCTAGATAAGGCCCTGGGGTGGTTGGTGTCTGAGCAGCACTTACTGTGAATATAAATGCTGTAAGAGTAGTTCTCTGTTGTTTATCACACCTGCGTGATCTCCAGTGTGTGTGTGTGTGTGTGTGTGTGTGTGTAAGAGCTCAGACTCACTGTACTGGACAATGTCCTGCATCTTCTTCCAGACTCTGAACGGCAGGTTGCCCAAGTAGCGAGACACATGAATCAAAGCTCCAGAAGGCATCTGTGGATCCGGCTGTGAGATCTGGACTCTGGAGGAACATTCAGGAGTCAGAACTGCAGTGGCTTTGACTTCAGAAGCAGAGAAACCAGCAGATCACTCACCTTTCCATTGAGACTGGAAACTCCTGCAGAACAAACACACAACTGATCATCAACAACTCAATCAATCATCAATCAATCAATCACTGATCTGAAATCAGACCTTCAGAAAGCAGACGTCATTGGCTTTCAGCATCTCCTCCGTGTCTTTGATCGTGTGTGAAAGAGCTGAGATGTGTGTGTTCATCTCCTCCAGCTTCTCCTTCATCATCTGCTTCTTCTGCTCCTCTTCCTCCCTCAGTGCAGTGATTGTAGCTTCTTCTTCATCTCGGAGAAACTGATGAAGCTTCTCAAACTGCTGTTTAATCTGACGCTCTGTGTGCTCAGCTTGAGCCTGAAATCAAACCACATTCACTTCAGTCATCTCAGACGCTTTCTGGAGCAGCAGAAGACTGATGGGGGAATGTGGGTTAGTGAACTAAAGCTGTACCTATTTGAAGAACTAGTACTGGAGTAGTAGATGTTGTCTCTTAACAAAACCACACTGTTTTAAAAAACGCTTAAACTTGCAACTTGATATAAATAAAAAGTGTTGATATTCAGACTCAAAGTGTCGGACTAGCCCTGTTTGGTTCTGGAAGCTACATGTGTATTAATATGCAGTTATGTTATTGGCTTTATTAAAAAGTAAATGCTTTAATCTTCTGTGTGATGTGGGACACAAAATTAATCCAGATGAACCAGCTGTTGAGTACCCCTGTATTAAGACACTATAAAGGCAAATGAGAGATGAATTTATTTTGGCGGCTTTGCCTATATGCTGTTGTTATGAAGGTCAGTCAGTAACTGCTTGTCTAAAGGTCAAATAACAAAGTGTCCTCAGGTCCTTGTTAGAGCGTCACCTTACATGCAGTAACCACAGAGTTGAGGCCAACTCAGAGGGGGGCACCTTGGGACAAAACCTTTGCTGGATTTGTGACCTTATTATGTTGCTATTGTAATGTTATGCACTTTGAAATGTAATGTTTTCTCACTAGTGAATTTAAATTCTTGTGTTGTGTGTTTTGAAATGGATTTTTAGGCTATTGACAGTGATTATCCAGACTTGGCTGGATAACTTAGCTTTAGCAACTGCTAGCATCTTTGTAATCTCTGGTTTTGATCGTTGGTTCGACTATAAGTCAGTTTACCGACAACTAACTAATGGCGGTTTTGTATTTTTCTGTTTTCAAATCCTCTTCTGATGAAGTTCTGTAGAGCCTGTTTCAGCTGAGCGTGAGCAGCTTGTGTTTTTTCGGCATCCATGTTAACAGATTAGAGCTTTCATAGCGCACGCAGAAGCAGCATGAGGCATGAGCGTTGCTGAAGCAGCAGTGCCGGGATAGTTTCGGCGATGGGTCTATTTTTGCAATGCTGCTCACGCTCAATTAAAGTGACAGTGCACTGATAATGACCAAGACACATTGAACAACAGTAAAAAGTAGCAATTTTACTCAATAAATGCATCTGTAATATCCACTGATTTATATATAGTCAATCAAATGAACTTAAACGCTTAAAAACGGTAACAAATATTTATTTAGGCCCGAACTACAAAACCAAATTTAAAACTTTTAGTAATTTAAAAATTTTAGTGTGACATGAATGCCACTCCTCAAAAAGAGTGAGAAGCAGACAGTTCTTTATGATCTATATCATGTGTAAAACAAAGACTTGCAGGTTACTTGCAGGACTTGCAGCCCTTGGAGGGCTTGGTGCAGATGAAATGATGAATGTGGCATTTCCCAAACACGTCATTTCAATGAACATTTCCAAACTGCATCGCAAACTTGTAAGCTTACAACTGCACCTCTAGAGCTGTAGTTAGACGCATAGTTCCGGGTAGTTAGATGCATAGTTCTGGGTTGTATTCTATTTCGCTGTATTCTATTTCGCCCCCTATGCCCTATTCATGTTCCAAAATTTTTATTTAGAATAATAAAAAAAAAGCATTAAGGTCATCTCTCTCAAATTTAATTTGCTTTCAAAGTATTTTTACAGTTCAGTTTTAGCGATCTTCATGTTTAGCGATCTTCATGTTTCATGTTAGTGCACTTTGACATAATTTATTCCATTTTGAACACAGCCGTGGCTCATGACGAAAGCTATAGGTGACCTATTATTTAAAACGGAATTTATTTTATGTTTCCAAAGCTTGTGAAAACAAAAATATAGGCCTAGCATACATTAATGCTTTTATTTATAGTAGGTTATTTATTTAAAAATGTGTCTGTACTGTAGGCCTATTTGACATGGCCCTGTTGGCTAGAACATTTCTGCAGTGGTTTGCATGTGCTAATTGTAAAAGTAGGCTTTTCAAAAAAAAAAAAATTTATAAAAATTAATAAATAAACAATATCCTACTTCATTTTTATTTTATTTTTCTTAATAAATAGTCTAATGTAAATTAGGCCTACAACCACTAACAATTTATACAATTTATATTTAAGATTAGAATACGTGTTAGTGTAGTGATTTTATATGGAATATTCTTAATACTATTTGTAAAGGAAACACAGGCCCTATATGTCATTTACATTTATTTCAGTTAATATTGTAAGCAAGTACATGTCTTTACTAAAACTAATGTTGGATTTTTTTTAAATGTGTGATCGTGTAAAACTATATAATTTGCACAAATAATGATGGGTTTTCTTCCTCTAAAGAAGTTGTTACTAACATTGTTCAAACGATGGATCTGCGGCAGAGAAACCATGGGATTTAGGAAACTATACTTGCCACTAGATCGTTCTTTTCCCAAACGATGCATCATACTATGACAGTTCAGCCGCAAGATATGTCGTGGTTTGGGAAACACACCCTAGGATGACAAAATGCTTTTTCTTCTGCTTTTATTATCAAAGCATATGTAATTAATTAATAAACGCTACAGATTTATATCCTTGCTGTGAGATACTATTTCACTGCATGGACTGATCAACATCACACTCCAGATGAGTCAAGTGCATGTTCTACATCCTACAGTGGGACACAGGAATCATGTTCATGCAATCTGAAAAGCTACAACTGTAGAGCATTATTAAGGGCGTACTCACACTATGTACAGTTGCCTTGAACCGGGCCAAAGCACGCTTGTCCCCCTCCCGTCTCCCCCGATGGCCCACACTCACATTACATTTGGGCCTGGGCACGAATCATCGATGATGCGCTGTTCAGTAGAGAAGCCCTCTCACTCAGCACAGTGGAAATTTCTTTAGTTATATTGTTTTTGTTGTTTGGGATGCAGTGACACAGTCAGATATTTCGCCGAACAGATCCGCCACTCTTGACGCTCATAAACAATCATAAAGCCCTCGTGCTGCAGGAATGAGGAGGTCTGCTGAAGGTGCAGCTGTGGTGCAGTGAGGGGTTTGTGTGTTTAATAATCTACGGCAGTTTGCGTTCATTGAACAATAGGAATGATAAATAAATTCATATGAAACAGTCCCTTAAAAGTCACGTCTCGCTTTAAGTTTTGGGCTCTGGCTCGTTTTGCACTCGTACACAAGCATACCGCACCAAACCCCAAGTAAACCGTGCTCAGGCACACCTCACACCCTTAGCCTTAGGAAACGGCCCTGGGCACGGTTCGGATAGCATAGTGTGAGTACGCCCTAAAACTCACACAGTGTGAGCCGGGCTTTAGACAACAGTGGTTCTGTCAAACAGATGATCTGGTAATTGGCTATCAATGGTTTTAGGAAACGCATCAATGATCAATCCTCACCTTGATGTGTCGAGCTGCTCTCTCAAACTCTCCTTTCACCTTTTCATTACGTTTAAGTTTCTCCTGTAAGGATTTCAGCGCTATGTTGAGCTCCTCCTAGAATTTAAAGGAAAAATCTATTAGAGACCAGAGATTTATGTAACTTGTTCATTGTATTACATAGTAATATTGGCTATTAAATACTAATATGTTTATGAGCAAAATGGTACTGAGACATTTATTGTCAAGCTTAATCCAGTCTCACCTTCTTTGCTGGGACCACTTCACTGATGGGTCTGAATGTGTGTTTGAGGTGTTTCTCTGAAGTACAACAGACTAAACATGCAGGCTGTTTGTCCTCCAGACAGAAGAGTTTGAGTTTCTCACTGTGTAAACTGCAGATCTCCTCAGATCCTGATGAACGTCTCTCATTTCCCTCTGCCAGGAACAACTCGCACAAGTTCTTTAAAGCCAGATTAACTGGAGGGTGTCCTTTGGAAGATCTTCTCCTGCAGACGGGACACTCCTGAGTATTCTTGCTTCTCCAAAACTGCTGAAGACACTCTTGACAGAAACTGTGACTACATGATAAAATAACTGGAGTCTTGAAGATATCCTGACACACAGGACAAATATAATCATATTCAGCTGAAGAAGCCATTTCCTCTGTTTGAGATCAAGTAGTCGACTTTACTTTCACTTTCTGAATGCTTAAAATGAAAAGCCAAAATAATTACAAAGGTCTGTTTAGAAACAAAACAACTAAAATCCCTCTTCTTTCTTTTAGGTCTAAACTAATCGCTGATTCCTGTTTGATTTTGTCCAGAAATGCAGAAGAAAGTCAGTTTGTCCATAAGTAGTGAAATAATCATTCATCGAGTGGGTGGAGCAGTTCATGATCCTCTCTAGGTTGTAAAGCAGGTCAAACAGGAACATTACAACAAAATGTAGACATACTTAGGTAATATAATTTTTCCCCCCACAATTTATTCAGTCTTCACATGCTGAATTAACAGTAATAAAAAACTGTTTTTTTTTTTAGTGGGTGGGGTACGGTGACTGGGAGAGCCTATATGCTGCAATTACAAAAAACGTCAACAAATTGAGGGAAGATCTTCATCTGTTTGAAAGCACACATGCTGCAAATCCTCACAACACAAACACAACAAAATGTGTTGCATTTTCTCGTAACACTTGCAAAATTAATGGAACACAACAGAAATGTTTTCAGGAGACACTAAAGTGTGAAGTAAAAACGTAACGTAAAAACTTGTGTAATATAAGTCTTTTGTTAAAGATTGAGGAAACAACTGCCAGCTTCTGCTCCCTCTTGACATGTGTTGTACGTTTGTTTTCATCACCAGGGGCGGACTTTACCAATAAGTGAGGTAAGCAGCCGCTTAGGGCCTTTGTGAATTAGGGGGCCACGACCAATACCAAGAAGCCTACCCACATAGTAAAATTTCTCTGGCCCACACAATCAGGTTTTGCTTGGCCCACATGCCACAGTGAATTACAGTAAATAACTGGACGAAGTCTGGTTTTCATACAAGGGCCAAACATGGACCATATCTGGGCCAAGTTAACAACCCATAACTGAGCCTAAACTGGGCCAGATATGTTGGTGTGCCACGGCTGCAATGAATTTGATAAACCCATGAAGCATTTTGCTCTAGGTTTGCTATGGGCGCGCTTTTTCTCAAAGCGACCTGATAGGTAGAATTTTTTCTTTACTCAAAATTAATTTAAGTGTATTTTAAAAGTGGGTCAAGACAGGCCAAACTTGCGTGGTCCACATTTAAAATTTTAACATCTGGTCCAAATACTACATTTCATATTTGGACCAAGTCTTATGTGCCACCTTAAGCCTTTAATTGCCTGATCGACCAAATGGTTGACCATATTTTGACTGACCATATCTTTTTGAGAGTGGTACCTAAATTAACTAAACCTGATAGAGCCATCTCTACTATTTGGTTGAAGTATGTTATGCCAAAAAATCCACTAGTTGTCACTAACTCAATCAACAGCACTCGTCACAACATTGCTTCAACCATTAAAGTTAAAAACAAGAAAATCACTCCAGACATGTGAATTGTTTTTGGTGAAAACTTGCAAGGTAAGCATAGTTTTTTTGACATATTACCCTCTAAGAGCCCTAACTTTACAACGTTATGTTACTTGGTGCCATGAAAAATATTTAGTGTAATATTTAAATTTTTCAAAAACATGCTCGACCAAATGGTTGATTTGTCACTTTATGGTAGAGGTAGAAAAGCAAAACTAATGTTTTCATATCATGCATTTCTGCAGTCTGAATGGACTGTTTGCTGAGAAATATCAACTTTTGATCATTCACAGAAAAAATATGATAGCTTGTTGTTAATTCATGAATATACTGAGAAAATTTCTTAGATATGTATTCTTTTGACATTTTTAGGATATTTTTGGAGTAAATATAAGGAATTCTTAGAATCTATGTGTGGAAATCACAATTTTTAAAGATGATTACCTCTTAAATGGCAAATGCTGGTGTACTAACATTAGCACAATTGTAAGAGACTGATATTTGATTGTTTGTTTGTTTGTTTGTTTTTTGATGGATGCTAACTGTCAATTGTAAAAAACAAGAAAACATGTTGCTGTGTTAAATGAGAATTTGAAATAATTTACGGGTTATGGCAATGATTTAGTATTCAAAAATTATTTATTTTGATTATGTTTTTAAATAAATTACACTTCATATTTTTTATTTTCATAGTATATTTATTAATTCTGGTACTTTTACCATGAACCGACATATCTACCTGGCAGAGGCTGATATTTTAGTCATTATGGGATGTGTTGAAAAAAATGCATTGATTGTGTAACTAGAGACATTAGGAGTTAAAAAATGCAATGCAAAAATTGTTTTATCGCTTTTTTCATGCTATGGCAGTTAAAGACGGTGCCGCCTCCAAACCTGGGCATTGTTTAGCCCACATGCTGTATGCCATTGCCAGACTCCCGGAATGAGGGTGTGGGTGTAGGATCAGTTATAATAGTTAAAGTAATCACTTTTGAATTCCTTGGATTTTACTTCAGTCATCGATGGTGTAATTTTACATACCTTACTTGTAAAACTACAGTAATTGGGTCATTTGTTTATATTACTGTTGTTGTATTACTACATTAATGAGTTAGTTAGTTGACATTGGTAATGTAGTGATTTCTCTCACTTTAACCCACAGAGGTCCTCTTCGACCTCCGATTTGGAAAGCTTCAAGTAATGAAACTTTTTTAGCACAATTAAGTTGAACTGTTCACTGCTTCAGAAAGCTTCATTTTACTATTACTAATGCTTTGAAGCCTTGGCACATTTGCTTAGACCGTTTCAGTGTTTCACAAAGCCTCCATCTGCCCACCACTAAAAACAAGAGACAGCCCAAGAATCAAAAACAAAAAATAAGAGACGCTAACAAAGTCCACAATGAAATAACCAATTCATAAAACAACATCCCACCATGAAGGTGAGTGAATGTGGTGCTTTAATAGTGTGTGTAATCTGTGATGATGACCTGCAGCCGTCTGTGTAAAGCCACCTTTCCACAACACACAACATGTGGACACGACTGTCGTAATACGCCCCCTTGTGGCAGCCGCGCAGAATTTTCTGTCATGCATCATAGGAGAGAAGCTGTTCTCGCAGTGTCCGAAATAAAGGAGTGCAAAAGCAACAGCTATGCATTCACCATGGTTGAATAAATGCTAGAAACTCATAGACCGCTAAAACTATTGGAAGACATGAGGATATATTTTCATTACTCACATAGAAACAGAATTTTTTTTTTTTTATATATATAGACTTTTTTAAAAAAAAATTTATAGACAGACCTGCTTGGACAACACTGAAATACAGCACATCCGGTGGACCGGTCGCATATGGGCTAGTTGCAGGAGTTTGAATATTATAACGGATCTGCAGCTCAAATCGGATCCGAGTTTTCCGCATACGGAGATGATCGGAACTCCGCACAGTTTCCGGACTGCTCTCCATTGTAAATGACTGACTTCCAGTCTGTCGCTTGTCGTGTGCAGTGGAAAGGAGGCTTGAGAGTTCAGATTAGTGAACAGTTTCAGCTGTGGGATGCAAAGCATGATGGGAGGTGTAGTCCGAGTGAATGGCTGGTGGAGTGTTCATATAACCGGAGTGTCGTCTAGTGAGTGAGGTGGGTAATCCAGCTAATACTCATGACAGTAACAATTTCAAAGTCTTTATTGTCACTTTTGATCAATTTATATACAAATATTAATCACTTCAAAATAAACGTTTACAATAAAGCTGTGAAGGGATGTGTGTTATTTATATTTGTGTACTGTAAATGCTGATATTCAGATTAACACACTGTAGGAAACTCAGAAGGCAAAAGACAGCAGACTCTTGCTAACAAAAAGAAATGAGAGCGTGCTGGTTGTGCTGCAGTGAAACAGGCATCTTCAAGAAGTCTACAAGAGGTCTGACTGGAGCAGTGTTGCCCTGTATGTTGCATAGGGGGGCAGTGGTAAGGGGGAGCTGGAGACAATTTCAAACAACCCTCCTGAAAAATCTAGCTTAAACCAGCCTTAGCTGGTTTTAGCTGGTTGACCAGCCTGGTTTTAAAGGGTGTTTGGCCACTTCCAGGCTGGTTTCTAACCATTTCCAGCCTGGTCCTAGCTGGTCAGGCTGGAAAGTGACCAGCTAAAACCAACTAAAACCAGCTTGACCAGCCAGGCTTAAGCTGGACACAGCTGGTTATGGCTGGGATTTCAGCCTGGCTAGGCTGGTCAAGCTGGTTTTAGCTGGTCATCTCCCAGCCTGACCAGCTAAGACCAGGCTGGAAATGGTTGGAAACCAGCCTGGAAGTGGCCAAAACCCCTCTAAAACCAGCCTGGTCAACCAGCTAAAACCAGCCAACCAGATTAGATCCAGTTAATCTGACAGTATTGCCGAGACATTCATGCAGGCAAAAGCACAGTTATAGTGACTGAAGCTCAGGAAGTGTATAAATGCAATAGGTTAATGTCTCCAGCACAATGAAACTATTCAGTTATATAAACGATTGCTAAATGCTAATCAACAACACTCAAACTCAAATGATTGTATTAAATGAAGTATTAGAAATGTTGGTGTAAGGTAGCCTTGCACACATTGAAAACATGAAGATTCAGATCTACTCAACCCAGGCTCATTCTGAAAACGTAGTTCCATGGACGTTTCTGGAGACCGCGAAATATGTCCCGGGAGGTACGAATGGCTGCATTTCATTTTTTTTAAGCGAACGATACGGGGTGGTGTGATGGAAGTGAGGAAGGCTTTCCCGCCGCAATCAGTTTGTGCAGTCAGCTCACCGTGTACGTCGGCGGACTTTAGATGCAGAGAGGAGGAGTTAACGAAGGCGATCGGGTTCGAGGCTGGGGAAGAGCGGTTCCAGAAATCAGGTAAGACAAAAACAGAATCCAAAAAATAAAGTGAACAATTCATAACAGGGTGAGAACGCGGTGAAATCCGAAAACGTGGTGAAAAAAAATCAGACGAGGGTTTTTCTAGGCGGCTTTTCTAAATTGTTGCTCGAGTTTAGGGAAGTGAGCGAGCGGGCGGGTCAATCGGTAAAACTGGTTGGGTTTAGGGAAGGAGGAGGGTGGGTCGCACAGTCAATCATTCGGTCAGTCAGACAGCGGCCTCTGGTGGGTTCACGCGAGAACAGCGCAGGCGCGAACAGCACGATAGGAGATACAAAAGAGCGCACACAGCGACCTCTCGCGGATTCGCGAAAACAAAAACTGCACACATAAGTACCTCCCGGGACGCATTTCGCGGTCTCCAAAACGTCCACTGGACTACGTTTTCAGAATGAGCCTGGGTTGGATCTACTGCAGTCATGTTTACTGAAGACTGGAGGGTAAGATCTGGATATAGTCATAACACCTGAAGAAAGGGTAGACAGTATCAGTGAAGGTGGTTGTGTAAGTGTGTATGTGTTTGCTCTTTAGAGGATCAGAGAAAGACACTGTTCCTCTGTCATAATCCAGATCAACTCGCACTCGCTCAAGAGCCTGAACAACACGAAAACCAGACTCTTCATAGTATTGATCGGCATCATGCCACACACACCACACGTTAGAGTCATAGAAAACAAGTTTCTTCCTCTGGTTTGATGCAGTCGTTACTCCAACACTCCACAAGCCGCCCTTTTTAACCTCCATCTCCCAGGTGTGCTTTCCTGAGTTAAAACCCTCCGAACCCAAAACACAGTAATAATGGTCAAATCTCTCTGGATTATCTGGCACTACCATGTGTCCTCTGAACATTATTCTGGTCAGATCATCAGACGGGCAGAGCCATCGATGTGCAGTGTTTGAATCCAGGATGACAGGAGCTGAAGAGACACAATCAACAGCTGCTGTTATTCTGATGTTCATATAATGATCAATCACAGATTATTCTGAATTATGACTATGGCTGGATGCACCCGACCAGAACCAATCAAGGAAAACAAATATATTTATGCTTTTTTGGAGTTAAACACCTTGGTCAACGCTTGAACAAAATTTAAGACCCTGTAAATGCGGAATTAAGAGTTTTTAATACCTTTTAAAGGCCCTAATTTTTTCATAATTGATTTATCAACTTTTAATACTTTTTAAGACCCTGCAGACACCCTGATAAAGCATATGCCAGAGTTCATTCCACTGTATAAATCAGTGATAAATCAGTGATAAATCAGTGATAAATCAGTGATAAATCAGGGACAAAGCTGAAGGAAAATGAACGATAAAGGGCGTCTATGATGCCAAAATTTGTTGGCTGTTTGGACAGAACTGTGTGTAGGTATAGTGTGTCCACAGTCATAATGGTGTGATAAAAACACAACAAGTCTCTTAGGGTGCTTTCACACCTACACTTTTGTTTCGGAACGTGTCTCGTTTGCCCAGTTAGCGCGGTTCGTTTGGCATATGTGAACAGGGCAATCGCGCTCTGTTCCGCGCCAAAGTAATCGCTCCGAGATCGCTTGAGTGAGGTGGTCTCGGCTCGACTGAAACGAACCCTGGAGCGGTTCGATTGCAGTAAGAAAGCGATCCGAGCGCGGTTATATCACAGTGTTTTATGGATATGTAATAGGCTTACGGCTATATGAAGAGAGAATTATGAGTATGGTGGGAAGTTTCGCGAGTCTCCAGATGCCCGCAAACGAGTGATGATCTCCCGGTAATCTCGTGTCTCCCTCCCGGTCCTCAAATAGGCATCGTCGCGCACCCTTCTCACCCTCCCCACCGCATCTCTCCTCAGACACGTCGCGCGCGCCCACCCTGTCAATCACCACCAAACCACCACCTCTCCTGACAGCTGCGCGGGACGCTGCAAAATAAACCCTGACACTCTGACCAATGTGAGGAGAGTTTACTCGCATGTGACTTGTTTTAGCTCTTTTGGTCCGATTAGAAACTTTGCAGTGTGAAAGCGAACCGCTCCAAGAGCAAAGAGCAACAATGTAACAATTGTAATCTCTGTTTCGGAACAACTGAATCGATTCACAGGTGTGAAAGCATTTAATAAATGATACATTGTTGCATCTTCTGCCGTCTTTGGGTTGTTTTCACACTACACTGCTGGCTTTGGCTTCCGAACCAGTTGAAAGGAACCAAAATGCAGTCATCTGACAAAATCCACATCTCTCATTGGCCAGATGTTGTTGAACATATTTCCTAAACTGCTTATTGATTGGTCAGAATTCACGTGCGGGAAAATGCCAATTAACTCCCGCAGGTGAACAAAACCTTTTACTCTGGAGGGACGACTGCGCTGGCTGATTGTATCCCTGCTTTAGACAAACTATACATTTCGAGAATGAAGCGCGGCCGCGGCTGGAAAACAGTGTTTAATGCATCGCTCGTCACTTCAGGAGGAGGCGTGAATTAATTTAGCTAAACAGCGACATGGTCATCTTGCGGAAATATTACCAACGATCCATCAGGTAATGCTTTCCCCTCTCTCTCTCTCTCTCTCTCTCTCTCTCTGTTGGTAAAGCGCTGTCAACAAATATTTTCCACCATATCCCATAATGCAAAGCGCATCGGCCTACGGCAGCTGGATTAGTCCAAAATGCGCAGTACTTTTTGCGGTTGGACCTGTTTTAGTTCAGATTATATTCTCACCCCAAACGAACCGCTCCAGGGTTTGTTTGAAAGCGTACAGAGACCACCTCTTCAAGCAGGTCTCGATACGCTTATTTGGTGCGCACTCGAGTACGATTGCTGCATTCTCACCTGCCCAAACAAACCGCACCAAAAGGGGAAACGAACTCTAGTGCGATTCAATCGAACTAAATAAGGCAGGTGTGAAAGCACCCTTAAAATATTTCCTGATGTTAAAATAGGATCCAAATCCCAGCAAGTTTCCCCACACATCGAATTGACTGACAGCCAAGTATGAACACATCGCCATACATGTGCATGATCAACATAAACATGTCCACAAGACAGGATTTGCAAAAAAAAACTGTGATTAAAAGATCTGCTCCAACTCTCTGATCATCTGCACCTCAAGAATGAGTTTTACAGCAAGTTAAAAATGTATTTAATAAAAATGTTGTAAAAGTAGTTCTCCAGTGTGTGTGTAAGAGCTCAGACTCACTGTACTGGACAATGTCCTGCATCTTCTTCCAGACTCTGAACGGCAGGTTGCCCGAATAGCGTGGCTCATCAATCAAAGCTCCTGAAGGCATCTGTATATCCGGCTGTGAGATCTGGACTCTGGAGGAACATTCAGGAGTCAGAACTGCAGTGGCTTTGACTTCAGAAGCAGAGAAACCAGCAGATCACTCACCTTTCCATTGAGACTGGAAACTCCTGCAGAACAAACACACAACTGATCATCAACAACTCAATCAATCATCAATCAATCAATCACTGATCTGAAATCAGACCTTCAGAAAGCAGACGTCATTGGCTTTCAGCATCTCCTCCGTGTCTTTGATCGTGTGTGAAAGAGCTGAGATGTGTGTGTTCATCTCCTCCAGCTTCTCCTTCATCATCTGCTTCTTCTGCTCCTCTTCCTCATTCAGTGCAGTGATTGTAGCTTCTTCTTCATCTCGGAGAAACTGATGAAGCTTCTCAAACTGCTGTTTAATCTGATGCTTTGTGCTTCTAGCTTGATACTGAAATCAAACCACATTCACTTCAGTCATCTCAGACGCATCCTGGAGCAGCAGAAGGCTGATTTAGTGAACTACAGCTGTAACTATATGAAGAACCAGCACCGGAGTTTGAAAAGCACACTAGTTTAATGTTTATTATTTTATGAAATGTAGACTTGATATAAATAACAATGCTTGATATCCAGACTCGGTCAGAGTGTATGAATACCAGAAGTGTCACAATGAAGAAATTAAAAAAACAACAGTCCCAACACAAAACCAAAGACGGGGCACATGATTATATGGTGTCATGGCTTTGCAATCAAGTAAAGTCAATGGCATGTTAATTTCAGTTGAGAGCAACTATTAATTTAGGTAAATTAATTCATTTAAATAGGTGGCGCAGTAGGTAGTGCTGTCGCCTTACAGCAAATAGGTCGCTAGTTCGAACCTCGGCTCAGTTGGCGTTTCTGTGTGGAGTTTGCATGTTCTCCTTGCGTTCGCGTGGGTTTCCTCCGGGTGCTCCGGTTTCCCCCACAGTCCAAAGACATGCGGTACAGGTGAATTGGGTAGGCTAAATTGTCCGTAGTGTATGAGTGTGTGTTTCCCAGAGATAAGTTGTGGCTGGAAGGTCATCCACTGCGCAAAAACTTGCAGGATAAGTTGGTGGTTCATTGCCCTGTGGTGACCCCGGATTAATAAAGGGACTAAGTCGACAAGAAAATGAATGAATGAATAATTAATTTAAATAGGTGACACAGTGGCGCAGTAGGTAGTGCTGTTGCCTCACAGCAAGAAGGTCGCTGGTTCGAACCTCGGCTCAGTTGGCGTTTCTGTGTGGAGTTTGCATGTTCTCTCTGCGTTTGCGTGGGTTTTCTCCGGGTGCTCCAGTTTTCCCCACAGTCCAAACACATGCGGTACAGGTAAATTGGGTAGGCTAAATTGTCCGTAGTGTATGAGTGTGTGTTTCCCAGAGATGGGTTGCGGCTGGAAGGGCATCTGCTGTGTAAAAATGTGCTGGATAAGTTGGCGGTTCATTCCGCTGTGGCGACCCCGGATTAATAAAGGCACTAAGCCAACAAGAAATAGAATGAATGAATAATTAATTTAAATATTTCCTTTAATCATATGATAATTAGGGATTTCCATAATTATCAATATTCAATTTTATTGATTATTGGTTAATGATTTAATTATTAGCCATTTTATTCTACTCATTATTTCTGAAAACAGCTTTTACTTCTTCTGTGTTTTACTTGTCTAGAAAACGCTTCTTGATTTAAAGAGGTTTCAGATATTTTGACTAAAAACTCGAAGAAACATTTTTCATTTATTTTGACCAAATATTTCGCTTGTTTTAAGGAGAAACTCACTTAATTTTCACTTTTCTGTTAGTCTAGAAAACGCTTTTTTGCTCTCATATTTAAAAACACTGAACATTAAATCATTATTGTTTGGTTTATCATTATTTAATAAATCATTTTATATCATTTACACTTCTTTATTTAGTGGAAATATTGTATTATTACTACTTTCCTATAATTATTGCTTTATGATTATTCCCCCTTTTTTCCTTATTGTTATAAACTTATGACTAGGCCCACACAGAATCTGTGCACTCAGAAATACACAGATTTACAGCCCATTATTGAATCTATATAGTTACCTGTGTAAATGTATATTTAACCAGTTTTATTTTATTAATTTCAGTAATATTATTGACTAATTTGAAAGTGTTCATTTGATTTATTCAACATACAGTTTGTAAAGTCATATTTTCAGTCTTTTATTAGATATATAATATGATAGACTTGCTTTGTTCACCAAATAAGTGGATCTAGATGGATTATTTTCATTACATATATTAAGTTTTTAGTTACGATACTCCTCAAATAAATCTGCATAAATCCGCAGAATTTTTACAAAATTCCCCACACAAATAGCACAGAATATTCGCAGATTCTGTCTGGCCTTGCTTATGACTGTGTGGATTCAAGAGAGACTTGTTTTCATGAGAAAGAGATAAGAGAGACTCTCCACTTCAAGGTCTGCGATGTCTCTGGACGATGTTGTGAAGCAGTAATTTTCCATTGCTGTTGCTTGCGGGATAATAACACTCGTTAGCTTTTGGTCAGATGAAGCATTGCAGGAATATTCAATAAACTCTGCTCTTTTACTTGTGTACACATATATTTATTCAGTTTTTACATTAATTTCAGTAATATTATTGACTAATATGAAAGTGTTCATTTGATTTATTTACAATACAGTTTGTAAAGTCATATTTTCAGTCTTTTACTGGATTTATTATATGATAAACTTGCAGGAATATTCTATAAACTCTGCTTTTCCTTTATCATCATCTCCTGCTTCTGTTATATTGATAATATTGACAAGCTACAATTATAGGATTATTACAAATCACTTAGTGTGTGAGCTGAAGTTTAGACGACAGTGGTCCTGACAGATTAGCTGCCCGGCTGAAAAATCCAGCTTACACCAGCCTAATATGGTTGACTGGTTTTAGCTGGTCGACCAGCCTGGTTTTGGAGGGGTTTTGGCCACTTCCAGTCTGGTTTCCAGCCTGGTTTTAGCTGGACAGATTGGGAGATGATCAGCTAAAACCAGCTTGACCAGCCAGCTATGTCCAGCTTAAACCAGGATGGTCAAGCTGGTTTTAGATGGTTTTAGCTGGCTTTTTCAAGCCTGACAAGGCTGGAAATGGCTGGAAACCAGCCTGGAAGAGACCAAAACCCCTCTAAAACAAGGCTGTTCGACCAGCTTAAACCAGCCAACCATCCTAGGCTGGTTTAAGGTGGATTTTTCAGCAGGGTGATCTGATTAATCCTCACCTCGATGTATTTAACCGTTTCCTCAAACACCATTTTGGACTTTTTTTTACGTCCAAGTTGTTCTTGTAAGGACTCCAGTGCTGTATTGAGCTCCTCCTGGAATTAAAGTCAAAATCTATAAGACATCAGATATAAAAGTAATGTGTTCATAGTGTAAACTATTGAATAGTACATTTTTCATGAGCAAAATGAATCTGAGACATTTCTACAAGTAAAAAAAATGTCTATGATTATAGAAGTTCAAGCGTAATTCAGTCTTACCTTCTTTGGTGAAACCATTTCACTGATGGGTCTGAATGTGTGTTTGAGGTGTTTCTCTGAATCTCTGCACACTAAACACACAGGCTGTTTGTCCTTTACACAGTAGAGTCTTCGTTTCTTACCGTGTAAACTGCAGATCTCCTCAGATCTTGATGAATGTCTCTTATTTCTCTTTTTCAGATGCGACTCACACAAGTTTTGTAAAGCCAGATTAACTGGAGGATCAGCTATTGAGGATCTTGTCCTGCAGACGGGACACTCCTGAGTATTCTCGCTTCTCCAACACTGCTGAAGACACTCTTGACAGAAACTGTGGCCACATGATAATATAACTGGAGTCTTGAAGATATCCTGACACACAGGACATGTGTAATCATCTTTAGCTGATGAAGCCATTTTGAAATCCACTAGTTTTAACTTTACTTCCACTACTTGAATGCTTAAAAGGAAAAACAAATTAAGTGTGCGATCCGCTGTGTGAAATCTAGATGAAGGTCTGCTTGAATGGAACAAGTGGGAGTCTCTTTCTGGTGAGCGTTTCAGTGGGCGGAGCCGTTGGGTTCAGTGTGTGTGTGTGTGTGTGTGTGTGTGTAGGGTGGTTCATATAAAGCACGCGTAAGTTACTCAAAGATGTGATTTCAGAGTTTGCATGCACACAAAAATATCAGTATGTTCATATTTCTTAACAATCTCTACACGGAAGAAAAAAAAAAAAACACGGAAAAGTGCAGCTCTGAGAAGATGAAGAATCAGGGTCTGGGAAGACGTTTTAGCATGATTGACATTGGCATCATCCAATCGGCAGGTAGCGCCGTCTTTTTTAAAAGCCTGATTGGTTGATGCTTGGGATGCCTCACGTGTGATTGTTTATATTTAAATTTACAAAATAAAAAAAATAAGTTTTCTTGTAAATATATTTTTGATATACAACAATAATAATAATAAAACTTTCGAGCAAATTTGTAAAATAAATTTCATGATTATATATAAGAAGTGCCATATAGACGAATTACCATGTTTGCAAACAACAAGGTACCAGAAGAAAAAAAAAACGGGAGCGCTAGCATTTACAGCGAGGCACAGAGTTTGTTTTTGTCTAAGAAATAAGTTATATTGACAACATACGTATATATATATATATATATACATATATATATATATAAATAAATAAATATATATGTATATATATATATATATATATAAAATTTACATAATGCTTTTAGCGTATTATAACAGCTCGTCACCCAGTGATAAGCACAGTGATTCTGTAAAATTAACGTTAAAGTGAGTGACATACCAGTTCATACTGACAATATACTGATCCACATTAGAAACATGACATGCCTTGCAATGACACACACACACACACACACACACACACACACACACACACACACACACACACACACACACACACACACACACACAGACACACACACATATATATATATATATATATATATATATATATATATATATATATATATATATATATATATATATATATATATATATATGGTAATGACATACCAATATATACTAATCATACTTGAAACATACTCAGAACACCTTAGCAACCACCTAGCAACCACTCAAAACACCTTAGCAACCACCTAGCAACACCTTAGAAATGACCTAGCAACTGCTAGCAACATCTTAGTAACCACCTGAAACACCTGAAACACCCTAGCAACCACCTAGCAATGCCTTGCAATGACACACACACACACACACACATATATATATATGGCAATGCTTTAGCAACCACTCAGAATTCCCAGGCAACACCTTAGCAACGGCCTAGCAACCAATCAGAGCATGCTAGCAACCACCTAGCAACACATAAGCAACGAGCTAGATCATCTATAGCAACCACCTAACACCTCCTTAGCAACCACTCAGAACACATCAACCGACTAGCAACATCTTAGTAACCACCTAGAACACCCTAGCAACTGCCTAGAAACACCTTAGCTACCGCCTAGCAAAACCTTAGCAACCACTCAGAACACATAAGCAACCACCTAGCAACGTCTTAGAAACCACCTGGAACACCCTAACAACTTCCTAGTAATGCCTTAGCAACAACTCAGAAGTCCCAGGCAACACCTTAGCAACCGCCTAGCAATGCCTTAGCAACTACTTATTAACACCTTAGCAACCACTCAGAACACCCTAACAACTGGCTAGCAACACCTTAGCAACCAATCAGAACAACCAAACAACTGAGTTGCAATGCCTTGCCAACTGCATAGCAACCACTGAGAACCCCTAGCAACATACCAAACTATATTGGAAACATGCTAATCTTTTGATAACTGTTTCAAACTTAAAACACTTCAGTTATTTAAACTTCACACTTTCAGACTCGGCTTTCTCAAGAGACCAAGTTTGTCTACGAACTTTAAATTTCTAGTTCATTCATTCATTCATTCATTCATTCATTCATTCATTCATACTGTTCAATGAGCGCAAAAAAATCAGAAAAAAACTGTTCAAAAGAACCGAATGGAGATAACGAGTCTGAACAGCAGCGACTCGGTTCACATTGAGCTTCGTGAACGCGCATATGGTAAACGTCATGGGTGTAGTGGGCGGGGTTTTTCAGGACGTACTAAAAGCGTATCGAGCGCTCTTTTCTGTCCTGTAGAGAGAAACACGTGTGACTGAACGGTTCTTACCATCTCTCTCTTTCAGTTATCAGCTTTACTGTAAAAACAGCCCTCAGTCATGGTAAAGCTCGCTAAGGTAAGATATTACCGTCAATCCGTTATTGTCGCTTTAAATGCAGCACGGATCTCAAAATGCGTATTTTCCTGTTTTTATTTTTACATTTGGCGAGAAGGCCCATGTGTGTGAGTTATATTTAGTTTAACATATATAATATTCGTCGGAATGTAAGGTTAAATATTCAAATACTTATTTAAGGATCAGTATTGACGGCTAAAATGAGCTAGCGTGTGTTTTCTGCTTTTCCTGTTTGTGAAGGTAACATGGCCGACCACGCTTCTGCATTTGCAGGCCTCAACAAACACGCATGATGAACATGCGTGGTGAATTTTAAGAAGACTCGTTTTGTGATGTTGTAAAAACAAATTGCGTTGATTAATAAACCCTGGGGAGGTGTTAATGTGTCGTGGATTTAGCTCCAAGGCATTTGTTCGCCATGCGTGGAAAGTAGCTAAATGCTAAACGCCTCCATTTTGGCTCTCTGTAGTGAATGTGGGGGCATTTAACACGTATAAGACCGTGCACTAAACACAATTGCGTTTTAACTCGTGTTTCACTGTTTATATGAGTCAAGTATGTAAATGCGGCACGAAATTTAATTTAATTACGTTATTTCTACTTCGCTGTAGGGTTAACGTGTGTTTTCCACGTGTTACGTTCAACCCACGTGGGATGATCCACGCGGGGAGTTTCGCGAGCAGTACTTTACTTTTTGAGTACTTTGTTACAGATCCATACTTAAGAAATATTCATTAACAGTCATAATTTTATTTTAGTTTATTATTTGTATAAGTACATTATTTACATTAAGTCATGCACTTAATAGTCAAATTTTAAAAGGTTGTACCACGAATGAATTATATGCAAAATCTCCAATAACACGTGTTACACCTTTAGTGATTGAAAGGTAAAAATGTTGGATTTTAGGAACCAATCTAAATATTTTAATTGGTGTTGTGCCAGTCTTGTATTTATCTTTTTTTTTTTTTTTTTTTTTTTTTTTTGCACATTTGTCTTATAAATGTATTAATACTAAAGATGAAAAGTTTTAGATGAGAATTCAGATTTTTATGCGAAATCTTACGCTTGTTTATGCAAGATTGTGTTTGTGTTTTAAACATGCACAAGTTACCTGTGAACTTAATGAATGCCAAGTCTTGTTAAATGTACACAAGTCAACATTTGAGGATGGTTAAGACCTTTCATTGGTCAACTATGTCTGTCTTGAGACAACTTGGGTGTACTTTTTTTTTTCCCCCCCTAGATGTTTAGTTTATTTGACCCTTTCATAGCCCTAACTGCAAGAGCTAAGGGGGATGTGCGATTTGGAGAAAATGTCTTGATTGCAATTTTTGTTTTGACAGATTTTTTTGATTTGAGTCAAGATTCAGCTCAGTCTGTTTCACTGCATAGATATGATTATTATTATATATGTTATTATATATTAATAATATTAATTTCACCATTTATTCAAATTAGTTGTTAAATATTCAGAAATTGAAATCATTTTTCGCTTGAGCAAACAGTAAGATAAAAAAAATTACCTTTCCTTTTTGTGCATCAGCTCAAAGTAAGGAGATGATGTAGCTTATTTAAGGTATCTGCAGAATTGTAAAGTTTTAAAATTAAATATATATGAATTTTAGGCCTTAAAGTCTTTAATCCGCTGCACTATTGTGTTGTAGGTCTTAATTTTAAACTGGTCTTAATTTTCCTCTGTAAAGCTATACCCAATCAGGACAGCACCCGTCTAATAACTAACATTATATTTCATAAGTTTAAAAAAAACATCATTTACACTATTTGCATATTAATATGGTTTTATTTATCTTTGCAAAAACATTTGTTTTTAATGATATGGTTTTAACTTGGCCATTAAAAAATCTTTAGTGTTTAGCCTTGTGCAAGTCTGAATTGGTCTTAAATTTGACTTGCTGGAACTTGTAGACACCTTGTTATTATACTTACAATAATATAATAATTGTGAAAGTACACTCCGCAAATTAATGAGACCGATAAGAGGCAGATTGAAAAGTTCTGATTGGGCAGAACGAAAGTGTGCTCACTCAATCGGCTAGTAAGACTTGACATTTGCTCTGAGTGTGGGACATTAAGTACATATTCTACATCGTAGTGCATTAAATCAGAATAATTGTCACTGATTTAAGTGAACATTTGTATAAAAATTCATGTAGGGTTTTTTTTTTCATTAATATATATATAATGACATTTGAGATTTCAAGTGTGAAAAGATTAATAATGGATCATGCTATAAACATGGTGACATTCAGAATTTTGTATTCTTGTCAGCTTTACCAATTGTAAGTTTCTAATTCAATGCAATATGGTTTCAGCTATGACTGTTTATGAAGTATGAACGCTGAGCATACAGATGTATTAAATTTATTGCACTTTTAAAGCTTTATATAGCCTAAACAAGAGTAGCCACACCTCATGATCTCCAAACAAATGCTGAAGTGAAAGCGTTCGAATGCATCAAGATTGAATGTGTCATTGATTGAAGCTTAAACTATATGCTGTCATTTCTGCATAATGGCATCTAGCTAATTTATAAAGGGTGGAACTCGTGTTTAATACATGCACAAGTGCTAAAACAATCTGTTAAATCTTTCTTGCACCGCAGGACTGAAACTGAAACTGAAACCATTTGAGGTTTCTGTTGACTAAATGTGCAAAGCTTTGACTGTCTAGTTGCTAAATCAATTT